GGCCATGAATTTCATAATTTTGGAAGAGGCATCCTTACTCATCATAACTATGCACTTAAGTTTGTCTGCTTAATACAGATTTTCAAAGAATTTATGCATCTTCACCATATAATTAATAGAGCCCTATCCTACATGTAACACCAGAACCCATGATCCAAAGGTCATGAATTTCACAATTTGAAAGAGGCACTTTTACTTATCATTACTATGTACTTAGTTTGTCTGCCTAGTACCCAGGAGAAGAAAAGATTTTCAAAGAATTCATGCATTTTCACTATGTAATCTATAGAGCTCTGCCCCAACACCAGAATGCCCAACCCTGGGGCTATGAATTTCACTATTTGGGAGAGACACCCCTTACTCATCTTAATTATGACTTTGTTTGTTTGTTTAATATTCAGATGCAGAAAAAAATGTCAAAGATTTAATCTATCTAATCAATAGAGTCCTACCCTAACACCAGAACCCAGACTCTGGGGGCCATGAATTTCAAAATTTTAAAAGAGACATCCTTACTCATTGAAACCATGCACTTAGTGTGTCTGCTTAATACTCAAGAGGACAGAATATTTTCAAAGAATCAATGCATACACATGTTCAATATATAATCAATACAGGCCTGCCTTAACAAAGAAATCCTGGGCCTGGGCCATGAATTTCACAATTTTGGAAAAGGAACCCTTACTCATAACTATGCACTTAGTTTGTCTACTTAATATTTAGAAGCAGAGAAGATTATTAAAGAATTAATGCATTTCTACTAAATAACCAATAGAGCCCTAACACCAGAACCTGAACCAGGGGCCAGGAATTTCAAAATTTAGAAGAGGCACTCTTTCTCATCATAACTAGTCACACAGTCTGCTAAATATGCAGGGGAAGAGGAGATTTTAAAAGAATTTATGCATTGAAAATTTTAAACTTTACGTCAATAGAGCACCACACTAACACCAGAACTCTGACCCTGGGGCCATGAATTCAAAAAATTTGATAGAGGGCTCAAAGCTAACAGTTTGACTGCTTGATGTCCAGGAGTAAAGAAGATTTTTTAAGATACCATTAATTTTGATTGTTTTGGTCCCATCCCTCAGGACCTAGGTATTCAGAGATCATGAAATTCAAACTTTCTGTTCCCATTTGTCCATAAATGCTTTATACCAAAATTAGTTGAAATTTGTTCAATGGTCCAAGAGAAAAAGCTGAAAATGTTTCAATGTTAACAAACGACCAACAATACAAAACAGGCTAAAAGTATTCCTTTATTATGGTACAATACAAGAGGCCCAAGGGCCTTGAATCACTCTTCTGATAAACTGTACAATCTATCACTTCTATTTTAAGCCTTTAAGTATCCTGTATATTTAGATAAACCCTTGAAATTCCAAAGGTAGGTCATCATGACCTACATTTTAGATGAAACACTCTGAGAACCCAAGATGAATCTAAGCCAATTAGTACCTGAGAGTTGGTCATGGTGACCTACTTGTCATTCTCTGAGGACCCAAGATGCATCAACTACGTTTGATGATTCTAAGCCAATTAATACCTAAAATATTTTTAAAACTATAACCATAAAATTTCAAAACTTGGTCACAGTGACCTACTTTTCAGATGACATACTTTAAGGACCCAAGATGCATCAACTGACAAAGTTTGATGATTCTAAGCCAATAAGTACCTGATTTATTTAAATAAAGCCATAAATTTTCAAAAATAGGTCACAGTGACCTCCTTTTCAGTCAACTAACTCTGCAGACTCAAGATGAATCAACTGACAAAGTTTGATGATTCTTAGCCAATTAGTACTTGAAATATTTAATTATAGTCATATAAATTGAAAAGTAGGTCATGGTGACCTACTTTTCAGTTGACATTTTTTGAGGACCCAAGATGCATCAACTTACAAAGTTTTATGATCATAGGCCTTAAAATGTCCAAATTATGCCTCTAAAATGTTTTGGAATCGAATGCCTGCAAAGTTAAAAAAGTAGGCCACTGTGACCTACTTTTTGATAAATATGTTTTATGGCCCCAAGATGCATCATCTTACAAGATTTAATGATTCTAAACATCTCAGTATTCCAATTAATGACCTTAATTGTTTTGAAAAAGATTAGCCATAAAATACAAAAAGTAGGTCAAGGTGACCTACTTTTTAGTCGACGTACTCGGAGGACCCAAGATGCATCAACTGACAAAGTTTGATGATCATAGGCCTTAAATTGTTCAAAATATGCCTCAACATTCTGAAAAAGAATGACCACAAAATTTGAAAAGTAGGTCATCGTGACCTACTTTTGAGTCAACATGATATGAGGTCCTTAGATGCATCAACTGACCATATTTGATGATCCTAGTCCTTATAGTAAGCAAAATATCAACATTTTAATAAAATGTAATTTTTTGGTCAACTTTGAAGTGACCTTGAGACCACGCCCTTTGCCCAAGGGTAAATCCCCATGCAAATTTTAATCTACATATCCTCATCCTTTTGTGCAAGTTTGGTGATAATCTGCCCAGTGGTTCTTAAGAAGAAGAAGATTTTTTAGCAACCAGTACTTTTGTTTCTATTTTCCTAATTATCTCCCCTTGTTTAAGGGTCACAACCCTAGTTTTAGTATAAATGAGAGCCCTTGGGCCAAGGATACCCTGTCAAAAATTTGACAATAATTGGCCAAGGGGTTCTTGAGTTATGGCCCATATTCTAAAAAGTTTACACACACCACACAAATGGCCATAGTATTAGCTCTTTGAGCCTTTGGCCCAGAAGAGCTAAAAACTACAGTAAAATTAGTTCATTTCTGAATGTAAACCTAAATTTATTCAAAATAAGACAAATTGATTTGAGAAAGGTTTTATTGTTTCATTTCTTTAAAATGACAAGTTATATATATCGCAAGTTCACAATCTACATGTATTATATACAACCTTATTCTAGTATGTACAGACTTTTTCGCTCACACATATCATTCAAACTCATTGGTCTCGTGATATAAACAATGCCATTCTTGTGACCTGATAAAACATGTATTTACAAGTACACAGGTGTTTTGCGATGTGAAATGATATTCTCAATGATTGAAATTGTCAAAGCTCCAACACTCTTTAAGAAAAAGATGATAAATCACAAGAAATTCTAACTTTACTCTTGTGACCCTTGTTTACAATATTCCTAAAAAAAATCTTAACTTGTAGTTCACAACCTTAACTATAAATATTCTGACCATATAAATTATACACAGTGTAGTTTAATCAATTAAAAAAAATATTTTAAAGTACAAAATAATACACTTGTACTTATTTTTATCTTTTACTTTTCTCTTTTCTCTAAATTAAAAACCAAAATAAAATTACCTATATTAAAATACTGACCTTGGAATTGTTAACTTATTTGCTATTTTCCCTCCAACTTTTTAATCTGCAATGTTGCAAAGACAACCACGTCAATTTGAATCATAATTATAAATAAACACAAGTAATTTATAAAATATGAAATAGCAACCTGAGAGTGAGTTGGGATTTTTACTTAAAAAAGCAAAACACTAAAAAATGCATATATACAAACCTACAAATAAAACAAATTAAAAAAAGACTCTCTCTTTTTAATTTAGGACATCAGAGAATATCTATACCACCATATTTTGTACTCCGTGCTTATGATTGGATTAGACTGAATCAAAAGTTAAAAGAAAAGTAATGGGTAATTTCTTCAGTTCCAAGCTTTTTGAAATTTGTTTCTTTCTCATTTTTCATGATTCTACTCAATAAAATACAAGATCCTGCATATTTTTAATTTTACTCATATGCCTAATACCACATAAATGAGAAAACTGCAGAAATTACCCACAGTATGCTGTAGAGCCAGAACATGACCTGTGATATATGTACCATATAAAACAGAAGTTTTATATGTATATTTTCATTTTATTAAAGAAGTTATCTATGTGAGGGCATCTTTTACCGAACATCGAGTGATTTTGTCAGTTTGTCAATTCTACAAGCCAAGTTATTCAATTTAATCACACATAACGTACTACTACATACAAGACTTGATGTACCAACACACATATTGTAGAACCTTCCATCATGACACATTAAAGGATTGGAATAACTTCCTAGCTCTGGCACACTGTGTTTAAACATATACAGGTTATAAAATTTACAAACATGTCTCACATACACAAGAGAAAGGCTTCAGCATACCTTACATCAGACCTTTGGGTAGGTGAATTATTGTACACCTATGATCAGATTAAATGACCTACCCCTTGAATTGGAGATTCATTTTCTCTTTTCATATTTCCATAAAACTTAATACATGTACTTCAAAAAATCCTGTATATGTTGCATTCATGGAAATGATGCACAAATCCACAGTCAACATTTTTAATTCTACCTATATATTCTTAAGACTTTTGACCATTGAGTTTTCTCAAAATTTACAGGAGAATAAAAGGATCGTAACAATTTTGATTTAAAAAAAAAAAAGCATATATTGTCAACCGGGTCACTAATGCATGAAACATGAATCTAAGCAATGTCTTAAGACAAGGAGAAAAACTGCACAAGACATAAAAACATACTATGGGACATCTTGCCAAATCTTCAAATTACTGTCTTTTACAAAATGAAAATTTGGCACCAGTTGAAGAATTTTTTTGCGACTTTCTTAAATCTTTCACACTTTACAGCTTACGAAAGTTTCATGATCTAAGAGCCTGTGCTTTAAACAAAGTGTAATAATTTTCATAAGGAAAAACATCTTTTTTACAGCAACAAACCTGAATTATTTTGGTTGTGCTCTTCAATACTTAGCATTAAATTATCTTGATCAGGAGACTAAAAATAATCACACTTTGGTATCCTACAATCCAATCAAAGTATTATGCATTATCTTTCATACTTTGTGAAACAACATTTAAAATATGAAACAAAATAAAGCTGACTGGCTTTTTTTATGTAAATCTTTAAATCTAAATTATTATCTATTTATACCTTAATGACACCATAAACAATTCTCTAATTAACAAGCACTGAAAAATCAGTCAACACAGACCTGTGAATTAACTGATCAAAAATCGAACATTTTGTGTCTAACAGTGAACTGAACTACATAAATATGTTTGACAAAATAAGCCTATGTATCCATCACAATGAAGCAAAGCAACACCATGGTAAAAAACAAAAAAATTATTTTTGTGAAAATTTTGATCCTTGATGGATTTTAATTTATACATGACTTATGGCAAGTGATGTAAGCATGGAAAAGGTTTGAGTAGTTCAAAACGAACCACCTTCTCATCACAGCATCAACAGATGAGAGGAGAATCATATCCCAGCATTCCAAACTCAGGGAGGACAATAAAGGGATATCCCAGTCACTGTTTAGGGGGATTCAGCAGAGAACTGCCCAGTAGTTACTTGATGAGATTTTGAGGGGTGGATCTGATGAGGTGGAGGTCCTATGTTTGTGACTGGACGGCCTGCTTTACACATGCGGCAAGTAGTTCATCAACTTGGTCTCCATCTGCCTCTGGATCGATATCAAATTCCTGCAAAAAAGAAAATAAAATTAGACCAATCATCGATACTTTTAAAAATATTATAAGTAGTTAAATCCTCTAAGTACAAATATCAGCATTATTGAACTTTTTAAAGACTAGTATTGCTTTATGACATGGCTTAGGATTACATTTTGTCCTTGTCCACTGCAAACATTACACTTGTGTATGCACACAACTTTTATCAGTCGCATAAGAACTTCATTAAAAGCATTATTTTGCACATCAAACTGTTTCGTCATTGATTTTATCTGCTGTAAATCTCTTTTTTTTTATTCACACAGTTTTCCTTACGTACAACTTCCAGTACTGTACGTCTCAATTAGGTCCGTACTCAACGTACCGACACCACAGTGGTTGACAATCTCTGTATATATTTTTTTATGGGGAAACAAGATCTGACTACACCTGTGGGAGTACTAAATGTACCCAGCATCTTGCATATATAACAACCAGAAGAGGGTCTTTAACAGATATTCGTAACAGTGTGACAAGAGGATCAATTTAACGTTTGGGTGGTCACCAATCACATTAACACTCAAGCATGGAGATCTAGCCAGATCAACTTCTCAGGTGGGAAAAACTGCATGTCATTCCCCTGTTTCAAATCAATCTTTACTGTCAAATAGCTAGATAATTTTCCTCAACATATTCATTCACAATGTACTGTTCAGTGCATCACTGATCCTGTGAATTTCTCTAGAAAAGAAAAATAGTATAATGTATCTCTTTGGAAAAAAAAATCCTTTCTGAGCCTGCACTATACCGATAATTTATGATACTGGTATTCAACTTTTCAAACTACCCTTTAAAATGTTCATATTTTTCTTTCCTTCTCTAAATATTTATTTAAACATACATATATTCCATGTCAATTTGAAACATGATTTATCTGCTCTGCATGTTTTCCTTGCAAAAATTTGAAGAAATAAAAAGCCTAAATATAAGACCATTTTTAAAAAATTGTTTGGTTGCTGTCTCCTGACCCACTGGCTAAAAATGACTGGACTCAAAACTTTTTTTATCTCCAGGAAGCAATTATGCATTCTGGATAACAGATTTTGAAAATTCAATACTAATTTTTTAATCCTGAGTCTGGAAAGGGCAGTAACATTATTTTAAAGTTCTAAGGCCTAACTAATAAATACATGGCAATCATTAAAAGAAAAGATGTGTTATTTTTTTATGCATAATTTTTTTTTTTTTTTTTTTGGATAACCAAAGTCTAACTTTCATGAGTCAGTCAATTTTTTTTTAATTGAATTCTTAAAACATAGTTTTCAAAAGTATTTATATCATAAGAGATATAATAATATACTATAAACAGATGAGAATTCTCAATCTTATTTTAGGAGATAAAATAATAATAGTCCAAATGCATGATAGCTGATGTAGTGGAATCTAGTCAAGAAATAGTTCATTCTGAACTAATCTGCATACAATATATTCTTTAGATTATGTAAAATGAGGCATGGGAAATACTTTAACCACTACCCTTTTATGTAATATTAAGAATTCAGTGACCTCTTTAGGAGGCCATCAAAGAAATAGGGCTAAAATAAATAAACCTGACCATAAAGATTCAGTGTCTGTAACATATACATATTGGACCTATAAAATTGTCCAATGAATCTACAATAAACATTCTGGTTTCATATGATCCCTTGAATTCTAGTTTATCCTCTTAAAGGGCTTTAATTTAAATCTATTATGAAGAACCATAAAATGACAATGCTGTTACCGGAGCAAAAGAGACCAAAACGCTGAACATATGCACAATGTCAGCAAAGTAAAACATCAGCTATTCTGTGACTGTACTAAAGGTAACCAAATCCGTCCAGAAAACATTTAATATGTTTGTGGCAATCCGACAGATTGCCATATAAAATACACTCTCAACTAAATGTAGGAGGGAGTTAAGTTTGTCCTCTACGCTATTACAGAAAACTTGTTCAGTCCTAGGGAATTTCACTAACAAATCATTTTGGGGGGAATAGTTTTCAGCACTAATTTAGCAAATTAAATAAACTAATGTGCTAAATGACCACTGCTAAATGACTTTTGCTTATAGGTATTTATATCTAAACTGACATTAACAAGATAAACAACAAAGAACAGTAAATATTTTTGAAAATTCTCACATTTCTACTTTTTATTGGCAGTTTTCTGCAAAGGATTAGAATGGGTTCTAAAACAGTATTATAGAGCTTCAAATTTCAAAGCTGTCTCTTGTCGACCATACAAAAGACCCAATAAACATGATAAAAGGCATCCAATAAAATACAGGTGTTCAAAATTAAAATTAAATGTTGATTCAAAACCTTTTCATCCTCTGCCTACGTATTGGTACATACAATGAAACTATCTAATTTTGTGGTAACATTCTTTCCCTAGTGACACCATTTCATAAATGTAAAAAAAAACATGAAACACATAGAAGTGATGCTACTGTTGATAAACATTTCAAAATAAAAGGTGTTTACAAAATTATACATATATTCTTTCAAATTTCGGCAAAAAACTTCCACATCCAGAGAAAAAAAAAAAACCTTTAGTATAATTTCTTCTTTATTTTTTCTCACAGAATTTAGTCTTGTGATTTTTATTTCCTTGGTAAGTTAGTCCCATTTAAAAACAAACAAACAAACAAAAAACAAAAAAAACACACCTTCAAAGCAGTATCGCTTTGTAATCACTGCACATGAAGATTTAACTGGAAAAAAAATTTCATACAGCAAACGTCCTGTTAATTTTCCTGAACATTACAAAAAAAAACTAGAACTGTCCAAAAGGAACAAATACCCCCCGCTGGGTTTTTTCAGAGAAAGTACCAAATCACTAAGAGAAATATGATTTACGACGGGACGTATTATGTTATAGCGTTCATGTTTGTCCGTCCGTTAGCTTTTTCATGTCTGGCTCATAACTTTAATACTATTAGGCCTAGAATTATCAAACTTTGTCAGCTGATACATCTAGGGTAGGTGTGTCGCACATTAAAACCATGTCGTTCTGACCTTTTAATAAAGACGCTATGGCCAAATATGGAAAAATCATAACTAGAAAACCATTAGACTTAGAATCAAAAAACTATGTCTTTTAATTTTTAAATTACACAATCCCAAAAGATGTCAGAGTATTGCAGTATCTTTATTAAAAAAGTGTTAAATCAAGAAAATACTAGTCTTATTTTTTTCATTATGTTCTTTACAGCAATCTGTAACAACAAAAATTCCACCTCTCCCATGGGTGTAATGATCAGGCACTGGTCAAGGAAAATTTTGATAGCAGAAAATTGCATGTCAAATTAGAGATAAATTAATGAGTTTAGTGTGAGGAGATAACTGGCAGAGCATCTCTGATCAAGCAGGTGTTATCTACATCTCTTGGGAAATGGGCAAAAGGAATCAGTCTCTTAATTAATTGCTTTTGTTGTATTGAATTGTTCTTGTTGGCTAGTCTTACTTTCAAGATAAATTTGATGTAATTAAAACTAATTTGATATTGTATATAATAATTAAAACTTATATGATATTGTATAATATAATTTAAACTAATTATTTTATATTGTACATTTTTTATTTGAATTTTTATATCTTTACAACAAATTGCAGACTGCCTTGTCTCGCAAAGATGTCATTCAAACAATTGAATCTAAACTGTTTCTGATAATTTAACAATATTTGATGGGCATATCATGCTGTGGTGGGGCACTTTATTAAATGAATGAAACTAAGGTGCAGCCTAATAAAACATCAACACTAATAATTACAGTGTTTTTTATTACATTGAAAAAAAAGTTTGCAACTATCTGCCATCTTTGTGAGACATGACACACTGCAAATTGATTGTTGAAAAAAAATATCATAATTAATTATAGAAAATCAAATTGATTTTAATACCTTTATATCAAACTCATTTTAAAAATAAAAGGCTGGTTTTAGTAACTATGTATTTTGACAGACATAAATTACAATTAAGAGACTTAGACAACAGAGATCTTTATTTCTTTCTGCCCAATTCCCCCGAGATATAGATAAGACCTGCTTGATCAGAGATGCCCTAACAGCTTCCCACACTGAACTCATTAATTAATCTTTAACTGGATGCATGTCCACTCATTACTCCCAAGGGACAAATGGATTTACACTATCTGCTGTGTAATGTAAAAACTGTTTTTAATACTTTGTGGGGTTTTTTTTAGTTCTAATGAGTAGTTTTAAGCTGTAGTTCACATTTTTGTACAGATGTTCTAGATTCTATGTCTCAAACCATAGACATGAACCCGAAATGACTAAGTCAATAAAAATAAAATTAAAAAAAAAACACCTGTAAAATGCAGAAAAATTATCAAATAATGTTGAAAATACCAGGTGCACATCTTCATATGATAAATAATAAGTGTACAAATTTTCATACAAATCTATGCAATAGTCTCTGGGAACAGATCCAGACAAAACCTCATAATAAAAATGAAAAAAACACCTGTAAAATGCAAAATAATTATCCAATCATAATGAAAATACCAGGTGCACACCTTCATATGGTGAATAATAAGTGTACAAATTTTCAGACAAATCCTTCCAACAGTTTCCAAGAAATGGTCCGGACAAAATCTCGTCTACAGACAGACGGACAGACGGACAGACAGACGGACATGCTGATTCCAATATACCCCCCCTAAACTTCGTTTGCGGGGGGTATAAAAACCCAAGCAATTAATAGAGATTCTTATCAGTCCATGTAAACGAAACTCTCTAATGTCGCCAAAATGCTGTCTTCCCCTTTTCAGTAGAATATGTAACGACTAATATTCTTAAAATCGATCCAACATCCCCTTTCTAAAAAAAAAACAAGGAAAGTTTTATCCGGCAATGGGAAAGAAATGCTATCGGCCCTTTTAACGGAAGAGTTTGCGTTTGGAAAATAATGGTCCCTGGGTGCACATCAATCATGAAGCAAGCAACAGACGACATTATCTGCAGTATGGAGGTGGCAAAATTTGCCATTGCAAGCCGGGATGTACGCCAATTAATTCTGTATTGGAAGATGGTGTATTGATACTGGCTATTAATGCTGACAATAATATGAATATTGATGCTGTAATGTATAGGCTTGTCTGAAGAGGGCCTCTCTCTCTCTGAATTCCATGTATTTTTACTGCCCAAATCATGCAAAATGGTACTCTAGCAACAAGATAACTTTAACCAATAGAAAAAAGAAACGTCAAGACCCTCATCTTTAGTGCACTTGTATGAAATCCTAAGCATCACGATGAGAAACACGTGTTTCCATTCAAACAAACATCAACTTTCATAAGATGGTAGACTATAAACTGTAAAATTTCACAAAGGCTTTTTTTCACATTAGAAGTTTTACTGATAAGACCAAAGAGCCTTAGTCTCTAAGCTGTTAAATCTGATAGATGTTGGACATGCTTTCCAAGTTTCCTGCATTTACTTTCTATTCGTGCTGAAATTTCCAAGATAGGAAAGATTAGAAAATTTATCGCATTCCATTTTTAACCCAACTCAGTTAAACTGCAAGAGTGTTATATCCTGATGCTAAATTCTCACACGTAGTCTTGTTACCTTGAAGAATGACATTGCGAACAGGGACACATAAAATATCAGATAAATTCAATTTGTTTCATTTACTGAACTGCTGGTAATCGGAACAATTTCTGAAGATTATTTAAAAAAAAAAAAAAAGCGAGATACAATTATCTACTAACAAGGATCATAAAATCACATACAGGACAGGCTTGTCCCTTAGACCCAGGGGCTGGGGAATTTCCCTGCCTATAATGAAATCCCTGGTTACTCTAGTTTTCCCCCTCAACCCCCTGTTAGGGGAGGAACCCCAAACCCCCTTCTACTTTTAGACAATACTCCATTTTTCTATAAATAACACTGACTTGATAATATTTTTTTAACAAGAGGTCAACAGCACAACTTTCAAAGGGTGGAGTTACATTTTAACAAAATTCTAATTTTTTTTATCTAAGCTTAGAATAATTAAGATATTTTGAGATACATTTCATAATACACTGATCATGATAAGGTATGTATAACAAGAAATCATGATAGTTGAACTTAGTTTTCTTGAACACTGATATCATGAATACCAGAGATATGTCGAAGGAGTTGGCAGTCCCAACCATGTTTTTTGCAATGTTTTTTACACTCAATATCTCAAAACTTTGGATATCTCAAAGTTTTATTTTGCTCCTGTTCAGTTCGAGATAACAAGATTTAAATGTATTTCACTTTTATAAACTTACTGCAATATATATTACAAAAATATTTCATAATGGAATGAGTGTTTCGATAACCATTTTGTAAACCATGCATCACAATACAATAATGTATATACAGTTGAACTTCGGTATCTTGAACACCGAATACTGATATCTCGAATATCATGGATATGTCAAAATGATTTGGAGGTCCCAACCCCTTATTCTTTAAGTATTTTACCCTTGATATCTCGAAGTTTTTTCTAGGTCCCATTGAGTTCCAGATAACGAAGTTTGACTGTATATGAGAATACTGCCCGCGTCCTATCTAATGGCTTACCTCATTGATTGACTTGAGGAGTTTGGCTATCAGTTTCCTGACAGATGACAGTTTGGATACGGCCGCATCGCTCTCCTGTTTTCTCTGTGCTGCCTCAGTTTGAAAATTTCCAACCAACTAAAAAAGAAGGGAAAAAACAAACTTCAAAACTATCCTTCATTTTTATGACACAGTTTCATCCAAACACACTACACACTGCCCTTTAAATTCATGAATTTTTTAATTCATTGTTTATTTTCCACAATTTTCAATTTGGAAAATGTATTAAAAAATCCTACTTTTCGCAGGCCTTTCTCGTAGTGATCAAAAAAATCATCTAGGGGGAAATTTGCCAGTTCCTGCAGCGTCATGGTTGTGATAGTATCCTTCTCCATGATCCACTGAGGAGGCAAGAAGTATCGCAAACAGGTCCTACAAAATAAAAAAAAACTTCTACATACCAAACTGATTCCAATGCAAAATTTTTATTCTTCATTAGAGATATGGGAAGTGCAAAACTGTCATAGGACCCTCTTGAAAAAGGACAAAGACTTATGAATACAAAATTCTTATAAAATATGATGTACATTTATTACTCAGTCTGCTTCAGCAACAACAGAAAGAAGACCTTATTATGCATTCTAATGCTGATATGGATATATGGCTGATATGGATATAACTGTTGTAATAAAAATTTAACAACTGGAATCTCATCAGTTTAAGAAACTCTTTGGTGGATGTTTTTTTTTTGCATGTTTTCTGTAGCAGCAACAGTTTTATGATTTGCACAGAGTTTTATGATTTGCACAGATCGATGATACTTCTTTCCATGAATTAATCTAATAATCGTGAACCAAATATGATACACTCGCTACCTTCATGACTCTAGAAATATGAAGTTCCATCATTTATCTACTGTACAATGAAAAGAATAGGAGCAATGAACTATGAAACCTAACCTGTAGCCGTTAGCGATTTCCTCTGTCACCTGATCAGATGACGTTGCCACGGCAGTTGTTGCTGTTGACGATGATGGCGTCTCTGCCGCTGTGTCCTGGGAGGAGGCCGGGGAGGGTGGGGTGTGATTTGTGGACTCTGATGAAGATGGATGACCATTCTACAAAACAAACTTCACTCATTCATCTTCTATATTCTGTTTCTCATTTGAAATATATTTTCAATCATTTTTTTAAAACAGTTTAAACATATGAGTATTTTCTTGTTTCTCATTTATTTCTAAACCTGGGTTTATGGAATGCAGATCAAATAAGATAATGTGGCATTTTTGAATAACAGCCATTTACATTTGAGCACAATACTTACAAGGAGTTTGATATCTGTACCACCTTTGTCAAACCTGAAGGGAAAAAAAATAATGTAAAGAAAGGTTCTGTTTCTCTGAACTATATGCAGAAATTTCCTTTCTGAGTGTAATTTGATAGGAACCAACCAGGATTATATACAGCAGTAACTTTTCATTAATACATATTTTAGTTTTAGCTCATGTTTTGTGGTCTGGGTTCAAACTTTAGATGAGGCTAATAAAGCAAACAATATGGTTCCCCACTCTGACTGATAGGACAGCATTGTATTCTGACAATACCCTGCACTGTAATGACTACTCTACTTCTGTCCAAAATAAACAGTAACTTTACAACTTTTTTCAAGGGAAGTGGAGCCAACACAATTTAATTAAGTTCTTTATAGTGTCTCTGGAACGTGCCAGGGATAAGACCTGGTGGGGAAAACACCACCCAGGACCCAGCATGCCTGTCCCCAATCACACCACTGCCCTACCAAAACAGTTCAGTTCTGGGGACTTGATAAATAAAGTGGTTGAGAATCCCCACAGAGAGAATACACTGCTTCCATAACCTGTGGTCAGTCCAGTCCCAATACAAAAGCTCAGAACTCTTAACAAAGGTAAGGATTATCTCCCCAGGACAACTCCTCCATAGCCCCCCTTATAATTACCTCATTACAAACACCACACATTAACAACTTGTTTTATTATCTATACCGAGAAACATCTCAAACAGCCTGAAATACTGAGGTATGGATCAGGAGCTTGGTAAAATATTGACGGAGGAGTGATAATTGTGGCCTTTGCTGGCTAATTCTTGGTATAGCACACGTGGCCACACACCACCGCATGGCTACCGAGGTGTATGGCATCTGACACTGCGACTAATCAGTTGCTATCCCCTACCTGTACACCTATTGTTCCAATGTGATATCAATGTTTTCAAACAGATTCCAAATATTGTAATTTGTCACCTCTCGGTTGACATCTTGTTGACTATGGTACAATATGAATCAAATGATAAGAATTCCAATGTACGTCACTGAGAAATTAATTTTTTTTGTATCCCATCTCCGATTGCCATTACAGATATAATGATCCTTGATCACTTACCAGTGTTAAATACATAAGAATTTTATACCTTCTTACATAACAACTAACATTTCAACGTATAAACTTTCCCAAAATGGGATTCTAATAAGAAATCTTAAGTAACTTCAGATATTAAAGCTCCAATTCAAGCACCTCAGTAGTGTTGGATTATGAAAGGAATCTCAATTTGTTATGAAAAAGATGAAGAAAAATGATATATCACATTAAGGCCCAAATATTATATTGTTGGGAATTTCATTATATTCTTGCAAATGGCCTTTAGGAAGAAAATTGACAAAACTGATAAATTACAGACTTTTAATGAAGATTGCTTCTCCTGTCCAAGTTAAGAACTATGCTACCGGTATGTCAAAAAAATTTTTTTTTATCAATTTTTGAGTTCCTGCAAGACTTTTCATATTTATTTTTTTGGGGATCATAAAAAGTAGAAAAGAAACATTTTTTTTTTTCAATCTCACAAATGATTTTATTAAAGAACAATGAGCAAGAGCACCTCATCAAAAGATCATTCAAAGCAACACAGTCAACACAAGATCTAAGGCCACTTGCATTAGTGCACCCGCAGAAAGAAAAAAAATCCATGTAACATCTGATTAAAATTTCATCAATGTCGAGACACGGGTGTAATTTTCCCTTGTCAAATGACCACAGACCCTGGTCTCTTTGTCAAATGATACTCCCACTGAAGAAAACGATCACTTTGCTTCCAATCACTGCATCCCAGAGTCAGTATCAATGACCTAACTGGCTCATCACAAATACCCAGATCAAACGATTCCCTCATGACTGGGGACTCCATTATGCTGGATGCTTCCTTTTGATTAACAGACTTTAAAGAAATCAGAAAATATACTAAAGAATTAGTTGTAATAAACTATGCATTTACTGCTACATTATTTATTTTCACTCTCAGTTCACAAATTCCCAATCTTTTACATATAAATGCATGTATATACTCTTATGAGGGGAAAGGGAAAGGGGTTGAGGGATTGGGATGGGGTGTGTGTGTTGAATCTATGGTTTATTACCCCTAATACTGATGAACAGCTAGTGTAGACTTTGTAGAGTTAACACACCATTTTTTTTCCATAATATATAAGTAAATTGATTAACAACAATAATCAAGATTCAGCATGACAATCTGAAAAGAAAACTACACTAGGAAAATATATATTATATATTCATCACTCAGTTTCATTAAGAGAGAAAACCACAAAAAATTAGCAAGAAATAACTTAACCCCACAAAAAATAATAGTTGCGAGTCCCCACAGAGATTTGAAGCATTATGCAGTCCATTGCTAAATGAAATCCTTCAGCATTTGCTAATATCGGCAAATTACACATAAGGGACAGTGCTAATTGCTTCACATAGACATAAAATTATATTGCTTACAATTGGTTAAAATTTACAACTCGACTGTGGACGGTACTTGTAAATTTTTAATCACTTTCGCAAAGAAATAAACTCTTTATTCCCAATTGCCATGCTGTTGTGTCAGAACCAACGAAGATGCCTGAAATTCTCGACAGATCTAGCCAGAACAATAATAAGGAAAACACATTCTGTGATAGGCAAGCAGCTAAATTTTACAAGTAAGGTGCCGAAACATCTCCAAAAGAAAAACATCTCGCACGTCGGGCCACCAGTCAAATGCAATCTACATCCCTGAAGAAAATAATTCTTTAAAGAATTCGCTAGAGATCTCTGTATCTATCCGGAGGCAAGGTGTCAATCAAAAAATGGATTATGTGATTATATTCCTAAAGGAACAGGGATTCAGGAATAGGAACAGCTGTCACAGATAATTTGGATAGAGACCCAAAATATTCACAGGAACTGGTGTGAAAACATTGGAAGCAGTGAAGGTTTCATTAAGTAAATGGAAAAAGAAGTCCCAGCTAATCAAAGATTTCTTGACACACCAATACATTTTAGTAATTATTGGTCTGTTTTTTTTATGCAAATACACCATGAGTAATAATGGGGAAAAAAGAAAATGCCATAAACAGAGGCTTCGATAGTGTTAAAAAATCTCCAAATTTTAAAGCTAATTTCTTTTTAAAACATACATGAATTGTGGCAGTTTAAATGTTGGACATTCCTCAATAATTTGTACTCTTTCTTCATTTAAATGGCCAAGAGGTGGTCCACTGTGTCAGATGGGGTAAGGACGGTACATTTAAATGTCAGCATCATGCAGTGAAATGATAGCGTCAAGAAGATCCAGGACAATGGACACAAAAGACAGGGGGGTGACTGACATAAACAGCTCCTTAGACTGACCAGTATAACGGGACAATTTTATCTGATGGTGTCAGTGGTGGATCTCCATATAAACATTGTCTTCGTCTTATGACTAACATCACTAAGAATGGGTGTGAAAGGCCTTATCAAGATGGTATAGGAATTAGGTCTATTGGACATACATAAACCTCTCAGTGGCAGTCTTACTGTAAATAGAAGTCACATTGTATGAGAGAGAATCAAGGCTGGAATGAGTCACACAGATAACCGTACAAAGGGAAATAACCCCCACAATTCCTCTGTACTAGGAGCAGGTTACAGGTGATTGTAGTGAAAGAGCTCCATTTCTCAGTATTATACTTTCACGTAAATTAGTTGAATTTGATTTATGGAGGAACATTTGTTTAAAAATATGGTTATCCTCTAAATTATGAAACCAGAACTTAGCAACAGTCAACATTACTTGATGATGGGTGATATTCGCAAAAATATTGAAAGTGCAGAATCTATGTGCACTTGTTTCACCTTTATTTGTATAATCCAATAAATATTGCATGTAGTTAAGGGCTGCACCTCAGTTGACAATGGTTTTCCTGGGAAGAAAATTTTCAATCTTACCTTCAACTATATGCAGTATTTATACATTATATCTTCAACAGTTATACTGTAGTTTTCAAATACCTTGCAATTGTGACAATAAATTGTGTAACAAGGGCACCACAAAGTGGAGCATCCCTTCACAAAAGAGCACACTGATTAGATATAAATTACTACTTGTGTAACTTTCGTTATGCATGCACTCACTCACCCACCCACACAACAGAAGCGCATTACTATATACCCTTCAACTTCGTTACAAGGAGATAATAAAGCTGCAATGATTTTTTTTCTTCTCTTACAATTCCTCAGTAAAGCTGCATCATACTTATAATTTAATGCAAGACTGATATTTCTACAAATTTTCATTTAGAACTAGAAAACTGACCAGTCAGCAAGGGCCCCTTCAAGGGGTAGAAACATAAGGGTGCAGCTTACAGAATGAGAATTTTAATTGATTACAAAAATTGAAAAATATACAAAGAAGAATATGCAATAACAACTGTATAAAATTTCAAGATAATTCATAAATATCCAACAACCTGTAAAGAGTATCCCTGTATTTACATAAGGCAGTAAAAAACATCATATCTATAATAACTCAATTAAATGTATATTTAAACAAGAATAAAGCATGTGTTTTATAAAATGCCAGCCTTCAGTGAATGCAAATATCACCCAGGCTTGACCTTACCTTCAAAACAAACATCAACTGCAGACAAATGTTAATTTATCTTAAAGTGACAAAGATAAGCCTGGAAAATTTTCTGCCCTAGACAAGATAATTAATCCCAGGGGATTAATTGTACTGCTCTCACATTCTTTTCTCCCAAGTTTACAATAAGAACTTTTTCAGTAATGATGGAATGAGTTTATTATTGGACTACCGGTTAAAATTAATAGTATTCTTGAATTTACATATGGCAGCAAAAAAAAAAAAAAAAAAAAATTAATAAATAAATAAAATAAGTAAATAAATAAAAAAAACCCATTAAAAAAACATATCTTTATGTATATCTTGTTTTTTTTTAAGAAAATCATAACTCATTGTGTATTTTACCAAAATAAAGTATGAACATTATTTAAATCCACATTTCAGAGAATGTAAATCATTCAGAATGGACCTTAACTTCAAAACAAACTTCATTTGCAGACAGAGGTGTTAATTAATCTCAATTTGACAGAAACAGATAAAGCTTTGGATTTTCTTCAAGAGGAAAGTTAATTAATCTCATAGGACTAGTTGCAGCTTTCACAGTTTACAATAGGAACATTCTCAGCAGTTATCTCTCTTTGCCCTGGCATTCATTCTAATGTAAAGTTAAGGAATCTACCCCACCACCCCAGCTCCAAAGTGGATGACATAGAGAACCAAACTTAGCATCAAAATATGTCTTACTGCCTCTTCAACCAACATACCAAATTTGAACTTAATTGGTCAACTACAAAAAAGTTATTGGAAAAAAAACAGAAAATTTGTGGATGGAAGAATGAGAGACAGACAGACAGAGTGATTACTATAGGGAACCCGCAAATCCTTGCAGGGCCCTAATTAGACATGCATTGAATTGCCTGACAATACATACATGTATATGATTATTACCTAATTCATTACTCATATGGTGTACTTTTTTTCCATAATTGTGCCCTTTTAACAATTCACAGCTTACTTATTTACAATGTGTATAAGAAAAGAAGTACATCATCTTGTTTCTGACAATCAGATAATAGTACAAACCTAAGGAGAGATTTTTTCTTCCACTTTTATTTGTTGTTGTTGAAAAGACACAGTGCACAGTACTGGTAAATATCAAAATATGGGACATAATCACACTTTTGTTCATTAATTGATACATATTTTCTAGATTTGTTCATAATGACAATCTTAACTTTCTCAGAAGCAATAGGACACAAATGCCACAGTGCTCACCAGATGCCATCTTAGCTCAACTAAATTTCAAAAAATATAAAAATATTTTGTAACTTCACTTTCTTTCCATAATTTCTTTTATTACCTATCCATATACGGAATGTAGACTTCCGACTGTACACATTTTTTTTGCCCTTTAAATACTAATGGCACTTTCTTTCATATTTGACTACGGATATTGGCCAAGCAGTTGTAAAGAAAGTAAGGTATATAATAAAAGTTCCAGATAGCAGTAACACCAGATTACTGCCACTTTTCAGTCTATCCAGTTCAATATGACATTGTGAGCTGAAGTCCAATATGGTAGCTTTATTCTGATATGACTATTTTTTTAGAACAAATTTCTGAAAAAAAAAACTTAAGATGTTCAGATTGGGCAATTCAAAGCAAATCATTCCATCGACTTATGGTTAATCAACACAGCTGTGCATTCAAGAAATAAACTCCCACTAGTGTGTGTAACATAATTCTGAACAGTTATTAGGGGAGAAAAGGTTCTGTAATGTCACACATCAGGTATCAGAATTTCCTATATACAAGTACTCCACTGACCACAGGTAAGATTTTCACGTGTTTTCCCTCTATCATTGCAACATTAGCTATTATCACGCTGAAGTACTCATATTCATGTGATGTCAGTTGTTAAGATATTGATCATTGACTATATCATTTGCACCCTTATTTTCTTTTTTAATATTTGACTAAATGCTGGTAAATCACATTTCCAAGTGTTTATGAACTGTTTCATTCATCATCTTTAAGTCTATATCTCAGAAAATGTCTTCCTGATCTACAGATATTCTATGAAAGCACAAAATCACTCAAAGCTCACACTACTTCATAACCTTGATCACAATCGAGTATTGCATTCTATTCATGAGTTAAGTGTGCATCACTGTGCCTAAACATACAAAACATGGAGCTAAAATTCAAAATGTGCAAGCTTCTGCATCTTTACATAATGCAGTTATGATCTTTTCCAAATCCATCTAAGGTATTCCACCTATATAATGTACTATAATAAGAAACCAGTAATGTGACACTATATAAAACACTTACCATTTATCATACTTGTCCCTGGGATTGTTATCAAATTTAACTTTCCATTTCTTGTCTGCGTGGTTGACTTTAACCACCCTGCCAGTGTACCTAAAATCAAAAAGAAATCCCGACATTACTTAAAATCCTCCTCATTCCATTTCATTATTCCTCCAAACATTACTCCACACAAAACTTACCATTTCTTACTGACTTGAACTTCTACTTTGGTCCCAATTTCACCTAAAATTTAGGAAAAAATTGCAATATGAACCATAAATTAGAGACATGCACAATTATTTTCGTAAAATACATGTACTTCAACCATACCAATATGTATGAATTTTTTGCACTACTTACTATCACTGTCAGCATCTGTTGACGACAATCGACCTACGTCATTGTCTTCTACTTTTGAATCATCTTCACATGAAGACTGCAAAGAAAATATACCTTCTTTATTCTAAATATTGCAACACACCCCAATAAGCTACAAAACTTGAGACTGAATGCATCAGAGTTAGGGTAACATAGGGCCTGGACTAGGGCTACCCTCACCATAGGGTTAGCACCTAGAAAAAGTGAGAAAGCAGTGGCCGTAATTCAATAACCTTAGCATTTCCAACTTGAACAGTTTGTCTTAACATAGTTGCCCTCCCTTATTGATTTTCTACTTCCAGTATATGGTCCAAGGGCCTTGAATCACTCTTCTGATAAACTGTACAACCTATCACTTCTATTTGAAGCCTCTAAGTATCCTGTATATTTAGAAAAAGCCTTGAAATTCCAAAGGAAGATCATCATGACCTACATTTTAGATGAAACACTCTGAGAACCCAAGATGATTCTAAGCCAATTAGTACCTGAGAGTAGGTCATGGTAACCTACTTATCACTTGTCATTCTCTGAGGACCAAAAATGCATCAACTAAGTTTAATGATTCTAAGCCAATTAATACCTAAAATAGTTTTAAAATTATAACCATAAAATTTCAAAAGTAGGTCACAGTGACCTACTTTTAAGATGACATACTTTGAGGACCCAAGATGCATCAACTGACAAAGTTTGATGATTCTAAGCCAACAAGTACCTGATATATTTAAACAAGAGGCCCATGGGCCACATCGCTCACCTGAGCACATTGGCAAGGCAAAAGCACAAATCAGTTCAGTATTGAAAAGATTGGGGGGGGGGGGGGCTTGAATTTTAAACTACCTGATGATGCTTTCATGTCAATATAACAAATGGCTTTGTTGTACTTGAGAAGATTTTTTAAAAAATTTCCCATATATTCCTTTGTAAAAATTTGATCCCCCATTGTGGCTCCTCCCTATCCCAGGGGTCATCATTTGAACAAACTTGAATCTACACTACCTGAGGATGCTTCCATATAAATATGACTCATCATGGCTTTGCTGTTCTGAGAAGATTTTTAAAGATTTTTTCTATATATTTCTATGTAAAACTTTGATCCTCCATTGTGGCCCCACCCTACCCCCTGGGGTAATCATTTGAACAAACTTGAATCTACACTACCTGAGGATGCTTCCATATAAATATGACTCATCATGGCTTTGCTGTTATTGAGAAGAAGATTTTTAAAGACTTTTCCTATATATTTCTATGTAAAACTTTGATCCTCGATTGTGGCCCCACCCTACCCCAGGGGGTCATGATTTGAACAAACTTGAATCTACACTACCTGAGGATACTTCCATATAAATATGACTCATCATGGGTTTGCTGTTATTGAGAAGAAGATTTTTAAAGATTTTTTCTATATATTTCTATGTAAAACTTTGATCCTCCATTGTGACCCCGCCTTACCCCCTGGGGTCATGATTTGAACAAATTTGAATCTACACTACCTGAGGATGCTTCCATATAAATATGACTCATCATGGCTTTGCTGTTCTTGAGAAGAAGATTTTTAAAGGTTTTTCCTATATATTTCTATGTAAAACTTTGATCCTCCACTGTGGCCCCGCCCTACCCCCGGGGGTCATGATTTGAACAAACTTGAATCTACACTACCTGAGGATGCTTCCACGTGAGTTTCATCTTCCCTAGCTTTGTGGTTCTTGAGAAGAAGATTTTTAAAAGATGCTATTAATTTTTCACTAATTCTTTATTATTTCCCCTTGAAAGAGGGCGTGGCCCTTCATTTGAACAAACTTGAATCCCCTTCACCCAAGGATACTTTGTGGCAAGTTTGGTTGAAATTGGCCCAGTGGTTCTTGAGAAGAAGTCGAAAATGTGAAAAGTTTACAGACGGACAGACAGACAGACAGACAGACAGACAGACTACAGACAAAATGTGATCAGAAAAGCTCACTTGAGCCTTTGGCTCAGGTGAGCTAATATAGCCATAAAATTTCAAAAATAGGTCACAGTGACCTCATTTTCAGTCAACTAACTCTACAGACCCAAGATGCATCAACTGAAAAAGTTTGATGATTCTAAGCCAGTTAGTACCTGAAATATTTAATTAAAGCCATTAATTTTCTAAAGTAGGTCAGGTCACCTACTTTTCAGTTGTACTCCGAAGACACAAGATCCATTAACTGACAAAGTTTGATGATTCTAAGCCAAATAGTACCCGAAATTTAATTGCAGTCATATAAATTGAAAGGTAGGTCACGGTGACCTACTGTTCAGTTGACCTACATTGAGTACCCAAGATATATCAACTGACAAATTTTGATGATTCTAAGCCATAAAATATTAAATACAGCCATAAAATTTCAAAAGTAGGTCAGGGTGACCTACTTTTCAGTTGTCATACTCCAAGGACCAAAGATGCATCAACTGACAAAGTTTGATGATTTTAGGCAAATAAGTATCTGAAATATTTAATTAAAGCCATAAGTTTTCAAAAGTAGGTCACAGTGACCTACTTTTCAGTCGACCTACTCCGAGGACCCAATATATATCAACTGACAAATTTTGATGATTCTAAGCCAAATAGTACCCGAAAATATTAAATACAGCTATAGAATTTCAAAAGTAGGTCACGGTGACCTACTTTTCAGTTGTTGTACTCCAAGGACCCAAGATGCATCAACTGACAAAGTTTGATGATTCTAAGCCAAATAGTACCTGAAATATTTAATTAAAGTCATATAAATTAAAAAGTAGGTCAATTGACCTACTTTTCAGTTGAAGTTTTTCGGGGACCCAAGATGCATCAACTTACAAAGTTTTATGATCATAGGCCTTAAAATGTCCAAATTATGCCTCTTAAACGCTTTGAAATCGAATGGCTGCAAAGTTCAAAAAGTAGGTCACTGTGACCTACATTTTAATAAATGTTTTATGGCCCCAAGATGCATCATCTTACAAGATTTAATGATTCTAAACCTCTCAATTTTCGAATTAATGACCTTTATTGTTTTGAAAAAGATTAGCCATAAAATTCAAAAAGTAGGTCAAGAAGACCTACTTTTTAGTCGACGTACTCTGAGGACGCAAGATACATCAACTGACAAAGTTTGATGATCATAGGCCTTAAACTGTTCAAAATATGCCTCTAAATCATTTTGAAAAAGAATGGCTGCAAAATTTAAAAAGAAGGTCACAGTGACCTACTTTTGAGTCAACATGATATGACGTCCTTTCATGCATCAACTGACAAGATTTGATGATCCTAGTCCTTATAGTAAGCAAAATATCAACATTTTAGTAAAATGTAATTTTTGGTCAACTTTGAAGTGACCTTGAAACCATGCCCTTTGCCCCAGGGTGATTCCCCGTGCAAATTTTAATTTACAACATATCCTCATCCTTTTGTGTAAGTTTGGTGATAATCTGCCCAGTGGTTCTTGAGAAGAAGATTTTTTAGCAACCAGTACTTTTGTTTCTATTTTCCTAATTATCTCCCCTTGTTTAAGGGTCACAACCCTAGTTTTATTATAAACCGGAGCCCTTGGGCCAAGGATACCCTGTGACAAATTTGACAATAATTGGCCAAGAGGTTCTTGAGTTATGGCCCATATTCTAAAAAGTTATGCACACCACACTAATGGCCATAGCATTAGCTCTTTGAGCCTGTGGCTCAGAAGAGCTAATAAAGGTTTGGTTAAAAAAACAAATCTAAACATTATGAACCTTTGTAGCAAAACCACTCTAAGCCTGCTAAAGTAAATAAAATGTCAAAATTGCACTGATAACCGAAATGATGCGTACTATATCTGCTACTGAGTTACTAAATGCTGATCTCCTCCCCCTTTTGACAGGTGGTGCTTCATCCTCTGTATCATCTGCCTGTGTTTCCACAGACTTGTGTTTATTAGAGTTCACAATGTCACTTTCTGAGTCCACTGAGGAGGTGGCTTTAGATCTTTTAGCAGGACTGGGGAGTTCCTCGGAATCACTGGAGACATGGGACTTCCTCTTCCCTACTGAATTCACAACTTCCTCTCCTGTCCCATCAAAATTCTGTCAAGAAGTAATATATATACAGTTTTATACATAAACTAATTTTCATGTGTGACCGATGTTCTGGAATTGATATGGCAGATTCAAAAATATGTCTAACTTTTACTTTAAACTCGCACACTGTATGACTGGGATATTCTAGAATTTACAAAAGGAAATTGCCACATGTATTTAGAATTGAAAACATCACAAAAGGAGCTAGCTGCAAAGATAGTTACAGAAACCTGGATGACCAGCCACTCATGTCATTTATTTTTCTTAATCTCAGGTCCCACATCGTAACATTTCTTCACTGTGCATACCTGTGTATTTTTAATGTTGGTAAGAGTAACTCGGGGGTTCTTCATGGAGGACTGTGATACAGTTGGTGACCGGATGGCTTTTGATTTTGAGTTGTTGACGGTGGCCTTGGATTTAGCAGCTGGGGGAGACATTGCTCTCTTTTTAGCTGCCACAGCTGCTTCCTACAGAACAGAACCAATCAACATAAACATTGTCCTTCATTTCAGAAAGAACACCATAAGCATTTTTCTCATGATTTGCTACTTGTGAATTGTGAACTAATAATGCATTCGAAAAGTTATCATCTGGAAACTAATGGGATGAACACCCACCCACTTGCCCACCAGGACATCAAGACAAATCAACATAAATGTTTCTGAGGAGCTGTTTTGTGCAGTTCTTACATACAAAAGAATTCTATTCAGCTACAAATTCCAGCATTCCTGGATATCCGTACCCTGGCTTTCCTTTCCCGTTCTGCCTTTTCCCTCTCTTTTTTGGCCTTCTCCAGTCTGGCATTCCTCTCCTGCTCCCTCCTCTCCCGTTCTCGCTCAGCCTCCTCTCTCCTCCTCTTCTCTTCCCGTTTCTTCTTCTCTGCCTCCTTTTTCCTCCTTTCCTCTTCCTCTTTTTGTTGCCTCTCTTCTTCTTCACGTCTTTTCCTTTCCATTTCAGCTGCCTGCCGTGACGATGTCACTGCCTTTGTTTTCTAAATTAGATCATACTTTCTCAGTAAATGTACAGCATGTCATAAAGCCAACAAATGCTCAAAGACAATGTCTGTGTCTTTCTGAATATTCACCAGAGATAACCAGCACTTACATTCATTTTCTGTAGGAGTTCTTGCTTTTTCTTGATTTCCTTTGTTCAAAAATAAAGAATATCTTATTAAAGAGATTAACAATGCTAACAAAAGAACTAAATGGGCAAAAACAAAACTGATGAAAATTTCCCCTATCCAATGTTATTTATTGCAACCAGTTGCAGAACATTAATGAATATATGTATTTCATAAGAGATGCACCTTTGCCATCCATTTTACACAATTTTTTTTCTCTATCTTTGATAACTGATGGCTTAAATGTCTCAAGACTTAGTTCAAAATATTTCTATCTAATTCCAATTATACCTCTTCTATATCTTTGGTTTTCTGTTCCTTTGTTTTCACTTCTTTCTTTAACATCCCTTCAGGTATATTCATCTTTTGTTCTATTGCTGAGCATCTTCAAAGGGAAAAAAGTACCAAATATTAAGATTATCCAGAAAAATTCACCTACTATAAAATCAATATACATGTATTTCATTGCAGTTTCATTCATAAATAACCCTTCCCATGAATTAGCAATACGCACAAAAAAGGAAACTGGAAATTTTTTCCATATTACATGTACATGTAACTCTCACAATGTAAGAATCTTTTACAATATACATGTATATATCTATGAAATCACACTCACAAAAAAGTAAACTTTTAACAGTATGTAAAAAAAAATGATTCTACAGTAATTTATCTCCAGAAACTCTTCACCTCATACTTCAAACCAGATTTATCCTCTACCCAACTGAAGTGAAATTGACACAATATGAATTTGATTTTACATGTGATATGTACTGTATGGTACATTAAACACCTACTTATTATGTTGAACATCAGGGTTCATTGCACACACCCAATCATCATCGAAATCTTTGCCGATATTATTCGATGAAAATGGTAAGGTCCGCCATCGCAGGCAATTATCTAAAATTCAACGTGAACATTCAAGATGGTAATTCGAATTTTACGCAGGTATTTTGTAAAGAAGTTTATAACAAAATATTAAAAAATTTTAACTCATGCCATCAAAACAAGACATGTATTCTTGTTTCACATTTACAATGAAATTATAATTTCTACATTCACTACTACACCTGATAACACAAAATATACATGTACTTACCACACTGTAATGTTACATTAATTTGCATTGCCCTTTTCCTCACAAACTTCATATCTTGTGATGGTGGATCTTTCCACTTTTGAGAGATGTACCCAAAGTTCTCCCTGGGAAAAAGACATTCATGTACCTGTGTTACTAGATCTTCTCATTTTTTGTTCAAAATAAAAGCTTGACATCTGGTATCAGACTCTCAAAGCATTTCTCAAGAAACTTATCATGTTTTGCTGATAAAACTTTTTCATACACACCATGTATGTTTTACAGTCAAGTACATGTACTTACCAAAATTTTGTAACTCCTTGTTGAGCTGTAAAAAGATCCAAAAAAACTCAACTGAAATCATTAGACCAATTGAAAGTAATATCACATTTTGGAAAAAAAAAATTTGGTATGAAAAGAAACTTGCTAACTTAATTTTGTTTTCAAAAATATATACCTGAGTATTCTTATGGGGTTTTCCAGTAAAAAATTCTATCCTACCTTAGGACTCCAGAAAATTTATCTTAAAAACAAGAGGCCCATGGGCCACATCACTCACCTGAGTAACTTTGGCCATGCTGTTCTTTACCAGATTTCCCCCCTTTTAATATACCTATTGTGGCCCCGCCCTACCCCCGGGGGGTCAAAATTTGAACAATTTAGAATCTACACTACCTCAGGATGCTTCCAAATATGTCTCAGCTTTATTGGTCCAGTGGTTCTTAAAAAGATTTTTAAAGATTTTTCTTATATATTTCAATGTAAAACTTGGATTCCCTATTGTGTCCCGCCCTACCCCCGGGGGTCATGATTTGAACAATTTAGAATCTACACTACCCCAGGATGCTTCCATATAAGTTTCAGCTTTTCTGGCCCAGTGGTTCTTGAGGAGAAGATTTTTAAAGATTTTTCCTATATATTTCAATGTAAAACTTGGATTCCCTATTGTGGCCCCGCCCTACCCCCGGGGGTCATGATTTGAACAATTTAGATTCTACACTACCCCAGGATGCTTCAATATAAGTTTCAGCTTTTCTGGCCCAGTGGTTCTTGAGAAGATTTTTTAAGATTTTTCCTATATATTTCAATTTAAAACTTGGATTCCCTATTGTGGCCCCGGCCTATCCCCAGGGGTCATGATTTGAACAATTTAGAATCTACACTACCCCAGGATGCTTCCATATAAGTTTCAGTATTTCTGGCCCAGTGGTCCTTGAGAAGAAGATTTTTTAAGATTTTTCTTATATATTTCAATGTAAAACTTGGATTCCCTATTGTGGCCCCGCCCTACCCCCGGGGGACATGATTTGAACAATTTAGATTCTACACTACCCAAGGATGCTTCTGTATAAGTTTCAGCTTTTCTGGCCCAGTGGTTCTTGAGAAGAAGATTTTTTGAAGATTTTTCCTATATATTTCAATGTAAAACTTGGATTCCCTATTGTGGCCCCGCCCTACCCCCGGGGGTCATGATTTTAACAATTTAGAATCTACACTATCCCAGGATGCTTCCACATAAGTTTCAGCCTTTCTGGCCCAGTGGTTCTTGAGAAGAAGATTTTTTAATGACCCCACCCTATTTTTGTCTTTTCTTGATTATCTCCCCTTGTAAGGGGACTTGGACCTTTATTTTAACAATTTACACTCCCCTTCACCCAAGGATACTTTGTAATAAGTTTGGTTAAAATTGGCCCAGTGGTTCTTGAGAAGAAGTTGAAAATGTGAAAAGTTTACAGACGGACGGACAGACGGACGGACGACGGACAATGGGTGATCAGAAAAGCTCACTTGAGCTTTCAGCTCAGGTGAGCTAAAAAGAGGACCATGCATAGAATGCATTTTTCATACAGGAACCTGGGATAGAAGCAATTTATTTATGGTTATGAACATTTTGGTAGTGGTTTTTATGTTATATAGATGACTAGAGATCTCTTGAAGTTCAAGGGACCTAAAACAAAAGTCTGATGAAGTGGTTTTCAAGATCGAAAGGGGAATGAAATTCGGAATTTTCAGGTCCAATCCTTATGGTTCAATTTTATGTTTAACTGAAGTAGAAAAACATCCTGGTACATTTTCATTCGTATTCTACTGGTAATTCACTTGAATTCAACAACAAATAATGTATCTTAAATAAATTTAAAAAAAATTTGAGTTTCAATATTTATTTGTTCTTAATTCATTTTTACACTCAGTTGGTATTTAGTGTAAAAAATTAAATTCTGAATAGCACACCTGATCTCTCTAGGTTGACCGTTTTCTTTGCCAGATTACTCTGTAAACACTTTTCATTTCTTAAGACAGGAATTTTGTGCAATGGTTGCCATACTGGGATTGCAGAGAAATGAAATAATTATATTTTATGAGAAATTATTGACATGCCTTGTTGACTCTCAAATCAGAATCAGTCATATATAGCTATCTGTTTTTGTAATCGACCAATCAACCAATTATTTTAGTATTAACTCTTGGATGACACACAGTTGTAGTGTCACCTATATAAACACTCAATTTATACATCCATGCCAGCCTCAGGCATTCATATCCAAGCAAGTCCATGCTGAATTAATCTCGTGCTTGACTGTTAGTGTGCATGCACTGAGAGATGAACAGTGAAAAACAATGAAATCTGTGTAACTGGACTCAGATTTTGGTTCGATCGATAGAGAACTTAGGGAGATCAGAATTTCAATATATCAGGAATTACAGGACCAGAGTTTTACTTCGAGAAATCAAAAACTTAAAGAGAGATTGGAGTTCGAGCCATCAAGAGTCACCTGTATTTGTCATATAATCTTTGAAAGTAATTTTTAGGGATGTCAAATTGGTCTATTTTTGATTATCGGTTACTCGGACGTTTTTCCGATCGAGTACCCGGGTACTCGGAAAAAATGTTAATACAAGTCTGTTAATTTTGTTGAGCCCCGTTAAGCTTTGTTAAACTCCAAAGTTGTTTTTTATCACATTTATAAATGTATATTAACATGGAGTCCAACGGAATTGATTTTTTGGCACTAAATTTATTTATCAAATAAACACAAACGACACAATTAATACATCAAAAATTACAAATGGTTTAGTTCTTCTTCAGGATTTATTTCATCAACGCAAAAGGAGAACAATCTATTAAGCAGGCTTGTGATGATATTGGACTAGCGAAAGAGAAGGAACGGACGTTGCTGGGATCGCTAGTCTAATATTATTTCATTTGTTGGTTGTTTCCCCTGTATACACTAAACTTACTAAGCAAACTGACTTTCAATATTTTTTTTTAATCTTTAGTTATTTCTAAATATTTCTTCACTTTTGAAGTGGGTAGCGGTGTTTCTATGCATGTCCGATTTCACTGCCGTATATTAACTAAATAATTTTGAAATGATTTGAAGATAATAGACCATATTTAAACGATGAACACCGAAAACATTCATTGAAGCCATTCAAAAACTAAGGACCACAATAGGTGAGAACAGCTGTGTACCAGGTGATTGGCCACCAAGTACTGTATATACACAGTCACAGGCGAGAACGGGTGTTTTACAGGTATAGGTGACGACACGCTAATTACCGTATGCACATCTAAGTTATTTTTTGATAAGTTTTTGATAAAAATAGGTATTTTGAAATAAGAAAAAATACACATCCGAGTAACCGAGTACCATTTTTAGTATTCGATACTCGGACGTTCGATCGAGTACCCGGTTAACTGGGTACTCGTTGACATCGCTAGTAATTTTATAAACTTACCATAAAATTTTATTTTACAAATGAGATATGACCTAAAGTACACAGCTTAAAGCAGCTGCAGCTGTTAATTAATTACTCCCATTTGTTACCACATCAATAATAATGATCTTGGAATATGAGAAGAAGCAAAAAATAAATCAGGCTCAATTTACTGTCTGTTCAAATTTGTTTTCAATTCATTAATGCTACAGACGTTTCAAAGAGACCTGGTTATGGTTTAAAAAGAAAAAGAACTTATAGCTAAAAAAACGTGCAGGGTTAGAAGATATTTCTGGAATTAGATGTTAACAAGACATCAAAGAGATAGTGACCATTTCGAAGGGTTTCGCTTTAAACAATGGACATTTGGATGGCAGAAAGATCTAAAGAACCGTTTTTGGAGAGGACCATTTTGAACTTAGTAAAATTTTGTTTCAGTGTTAAGGAGAAAGAAATTTGGCCTAAGATCACTGCACACCCTCTACCCACTCTTATTGGTGAATTTTTTGCCAGGAAGGCCAAGGGGAGAGAAAATATGCAGCAGAAAAAGGATTTTTTGACCCTGAACTTTAATCTAAAAAAAATTTGTTCAGGTCACTGCATCCTCTACCCAGTCCAGTCTATGAGTAAATTTTGCACTAGAAAGTTTGTGGGTCATGGGGAGAGAAAATATGCTCTGGATAAAAGATATCCAATGGACAGATGGACAGACTGATCACTATAGGGCACCTGCAGAGTGGGGCCAAAATTATCCATTTACCTACAACAGAATTGATTTATTCATAAGCACCCCAAAGGATAGCATAAAATTTTTTGGCCATCCAGGGGTCGGGTAGATTTTTCTACTGGAATAGCCCTTAGCATCATTAGGTTGCCAGATCATAAATATCAACCACATATCTGTCTTAAAAATTCTTATGAAACTGACCAACACCAATGTCCTTCCAATACTGGACCATGTGTTCCCCCATGGCTTTCAGTAGGTGTCGATATTCTTTGGCATCTGCAAAGTCCTGCTTGTTGTGTGTGGGTTCCAGCACCAAATATGGGATATCAACCACCCCTACAACCCCACTGCAGTATCTGTCAACAACAGAGAAAAAGCGACTTAAAAATGTCATCAACATGTTCATACAAATGGCAGACACCTGGTTGGAGCATAAAAGTAAAGCCACTATCCTAACACATATCATTTTAGCTGCAAAAATGAAGATGTTGTCAGTGAACAATATTTAAGTCAAAAAATTAGATCATACATAAGAATGATGATGAAAGAAAGCAAAGGACAAAGGCAATTTTATACACGCTTCCTATCCAAAGATTCATTAACTCTCATTTCCGTTTACCTTCCAGAAATTTATATATCATCATAAAAAGATTTATTTTTATACATAACTTTTTGAACTAGGGCTGGGCAATAATACTGATATCCTGGTGTATTGTAATAAAATTGTGATATCTGAATTTACATGTAGATGGGATACTGAATTATAATGTACCAATAATCATTAACAACATGTCAAAATGGATTACATTTATACTCCTGACGATTTCTTGATAATATAACTTTGAAAGTCAAGTTAACCAGCTAAAAAAATCCCATTTGGTAGATCACAGATGTACATGTAAATAAATAATGTACATAGATTTGTTTTTTTCCTACTGAATATTAACACAACTTAAAATATCATAGTATACTGCAAATTTTTCAGCAATGCCCAGTCCTTTCTATACCATATATGTTTTTAGTATGTTTCATTTATATAAAAGTCTCTATCCCATGCCAATAAACGGAAGCCATATTCAGCCCACAAAACATGCTACATACCTGCGCAGAGGTGAAGTTTTTCCACTAAGAAGGCATAAATAATGAAACCAGGATGAGGGTTAATTTATCAAACAGGGTAATGGTAAAACAAGTATGCTGAGTAATTGCAAAAGATATGTTTGGATCACTGCATGATTTTAGTACCATGCATAAACAAGATGCTATGATTGAAATGATACAAAAAATCGAAGAGGAATGACAAATTAAGCTTTCTGCATGTTTTCAAAACCATGCATACATTCTGAGCAATACATGCTTTGGTTATTACTCTAATGAAGATTTTCTAAAGACATTAAATGCATTCCTTATTTTAGCAAAATGAAGCTATTTCACATACTGGTATACCTTCCATCTCATCTGACATCCCAAACCAAAGCCAAACATTAAAATACACAGCTAATCTCAACTCTAAGGTTCAAGGAACACTCCAAAGAAATACTTAATATCACAATGACATTTTATAATTAAGTGAAGGTAATTATATTTTTAAATCGCAATTTTTGACATTCTTATCAGGAACAATATAGAAAATAAAAGCTTTAAAAGAGATAAAAGGGATTTTTCAATACATAGAGTCAAACCTCATTATCTTGAACTCAATGGGACTAAGAAAAACACTGAGATATTTGAGGATTTGGGTTATCAGGTAAAATACTTACAAGAATAAGTGGATGGGACTTCCATATCACCTCAACATATGGTACTAGAGATACCAGTGTTTAAGATAATAAAGTTTAACCATCATGTTAAAAGTAGATGGCCAAGTTTCCTTGCTTACTTAAAATTCTATTACCACAGACTAGCACTCTGTCCACTTAATACAGTTGGACTTCGGTATCTCGAACACTGATATTTCAAATACCATGGATATGCCAAAGTGATTTGGAAGTCCCAACCCCCCCCCCCTTTTTTTTTTTAAAAGTATTTTACCCTGGATATCTGAAATCCTCAGATATCTCAAAGTCTTTTCTTGGTCCCATTGAGTTCAAGATAACAAGGTTTGAATGCATGTTCAATTTTAAGCTATAAATTATTAGTTCAAAATTAAATTATATTAATTCAGTAATTCTTGCATTCTTATTTTTAAGACCAAGAAAATTAGAAAAATACATTTGCTCTGTGCATTTTTTCTACTCTTTTTCAGAAGATATTAGCCTATGAAAGATCCTGATGATTAAGCAATTCTGACAGATTTGTGAGTAGTATAGAAGACTTATGTTCATTTATTTACATTTATACTAAAAAAATAAATTAACTTGGATTTGGTTATTCTGATATGTTTTATACACTATTTGCCCAGTTCAAAGGATGTTACATTGATCCTGACACATTAATTTACATAAAACTTACCATGTGATGTTTGAATCTTATAATTACTTCTATATACATGGTTATTTTCACCCTTACATTTTGTCCATTTTAAATTTGTCCATACACAATTGTATTTAAGATATAGTATGTTTACTTTGATTTCATCCCATTTTAAGTTCGCCCATTTGTGACAAAGGCAAAAAAAAAAAACTGGACAAAAATTCCCTATATACAGTAACATAATTTTTTTTTGAATTTTTATGGTTCCTCCCAGACAGATAATTGATGGACCGTGAGATCCCCAAGTGTCTGTTTTGCCGGCAACACTGCTACAGTACTACAACCTAGCCACTCCCCCTGGCCGCCTGACCACTCCCCTATAAGCTTGGGCACTCCCCCAATGCACTTTTACTTACACTCCACCTTCTGTCTGCGGTCCAACTTTCTCATACATCTTGATGAGTCGACTGCAGTTGTACACAAATACCCCATCATGGGCTCGGTTCTCCAAGTTGATTCCAAAAATAAAGTTTAGAAGTTTTGGATCTTTAAGAGCTCTACAAGAAAACATTCATAACTATTGATGATGTTCCAAATTCAAATGTACAATGTTTATGTATGTATTTATCATTTCAAATCATACATATTCTTTAGAAAAACAGAACACCCCCTTCTCTTCTAGCACCAGTCATATGATTACATAATAACAGCCTTGAATCACAACCATGACACTCTTCAGAGAGAAAAACATGGTAATCAAAGATTACGAAAAACATAGGTAATCAAAGATTACGAAGCTAACCTTTAAGAATGTTATCTACAAGTAAGGCAAATACTGTACTCAATTTTTCATATTAGTTTGCATCCCAAGATCAATATCCATGCAAGTTTGGTTTGGGTAGGACTTGTAGTTACTTGAGGACCAGAGCTACTCCAAAAATTTTACCCTACAGAGGGGCAGAGGTTCTTAATAAGGAACAATCATTTACATATCTTAACCTGTCTATTTCTTTTTCTTGATTACTCACTTGCTCTTTCTTTCTGCTACCTGCTTCTTGAGAAGAGCATCTCTCTTCATCTCTGCTGCATGCTCCTGTGCCTTTCTTAACTCTGTCTGTATTAAAGAAGATATTCCAACATCATCCCCATCTTATTTATTTCAAAATACATGTAAATATTTTAACATACTAAGGTTTATGCCCATGAACAGTACAAGCATTAATGTACCAATATGTCTAGTCTATACTTTCTTTGTACATTTTCTTGACTTGAAGTTTCAGGGTTTCTCCATTTATTACTTTAACTGTAATGAATGGAGATAGGCTGGTTATCAAATGGTGCATCCAACTTAAAAAAAAAAGAACTCATCAAAATACCAACAAAGTCTAATGTCAATGACTCATGTAACCAATACTAAATTATTTGTATTGTACATGGTAACATATGGCTGTAATGTGAAAGCCAATGCAAGGAAAAAACACCTCTCCAGTCATGATGATAAAACTACCTTTATAGATTACATTCCATGATCACTTACTCCAGGAAGTAATTTTGTTCTTGATAAATAATACTATATCAGTACAAAAATGTCAAAGGTTTACAGGCTAGTTTTAACTTACGAGAATACTTCCTCTGTTTATAAACAACAATATTTTATAATTTTTTAAATCAGCTATTCAAAGATACAATCTTTATCCGCCTTACAAAGTTACAACTTACCCTCTGGGCTTTGGTAACTGAATCCCCATATTTGTTTTCAAGAAACCTGTGAAAAGTAGACAGAAAATTAATTTTGTAAAGCTCAGATTTCTAACTATCTACTTCACAGACATGTACATATATCAATACCTATAACGTTAACAAACTACTCCAATAAAATGATTTAATGACAAAAATAAATTTGCTATGCATTGCATCATTAAAATATAAAGAATTACAAAAAAACTGTAATGGACTTCTTAAAATGATAACGATAACTGAGACCCAGATATGATTGCACAGACAAATGATCATAAAAGGTTAATGGTACAAACTGTAGTAAATAAAGATATAAAGATTTCATGAATGAAATGGCAACCAACATTTTTGCCTCAAATATAATAATTGATATTATCATAAATGCAGTTGAAATAAAATCAAGAAGCCCATGGGCTACAGTGCTCACCTGAGTCACTATGGCTCTTCATCAGATTTTGTCCCTATATATTCCAATGTAAAACTTTGATCACATAATATGACCCAACCCTACCCCCTGCCTCTGATCGGTTATTGTAGCCTTACCCTACCCTGGGTTTCGATTGGAACAAACATGAATATTCACTACCTGATGATGTTTCCATTTAACATGACTAATAATCATGGCTTTGCTGTTCTACAGAAAACTTCTCCTATATATTCAGATTTCCTCTGAAAAACTTTTTATCACCCATTTTGGCCCCGTCCTACCTGTGGGTTTGACTGTCATTCACCGTCGTCTTTTAGTGTCACTGTCAAAAACAAGGGTCTTGGACCCTTAGCAACCGTAAGAAGCGGTTTTTATATCAAACTTGTCAAAATAATTGTATATCATTGATTTAGATTATACATGTACCAGTTTATTTTCTAAAATTTGTCTAAAAAAATTTCCAATGAAAACAGATGTTATAAAGACATAATCTATATAATAATTACATTCTATAACTTCATTGTTCAATAAAAAATATTTAAAGATTTAGGTATCGTTAAAAAGTACTGTATCATATTTCAAATTTAATGGTTTGGTATTGTACTGTTTCATCCTTAATGGTATCTAACCCTGGACAAGTTTGGTTGAAATAGGCCCAGTGGTTCTGGAGGAGAAAATGAAAAAGTGAAAAATTTACAACCATCAATAGACAAATTTCAATTAGAAAAGCTTACTTGAGCCTTCAGCTCAGGTGAGCAAAATAAAAAAAAAGCACATATCCCATTGGTGATGTGTATTACTCAAAAATGTTCATGTCAGTCAAACAAAGTAGGCATTTGTTTAACATCTCAAGGCACTGATTAAGTACACATAATTCCAAGTTTTATACCAGTATTTGACTAATCTACATGTACTAACTTGGCTTTGCTCTCTGCCTCTCGAGATTTAGATTCCGCTTGCTTGGCCTCTTCCTTGGCTTTTTGGTGTTCCATCTCTGATCGAGCTTTGAATCGATTTGAAGAATATTTGTACATTTTGGGTTTATATAAACAACATGCTAGCTTTTTCGTGCGGACTTTTTTGCCCTGTATGTAAATTTTCATTCTAGGATCCACATATAATATTGCTGTATATGCTCGAAATGATTTTCTCTCTGGCATTAATCTGTAGATATTAAGAGAAAACAAAGATATGATTATCATGACAACACAGACACAGAATATTTTATTCCTGAAGGACAAAAAAAAGATTTTTTAAAAGCTATTTTATTTAATACCACTGCAAAGTGCCTTTAAAAAAAGAACAGCTTGAACTTCAGGTCTTAATTTATATTTTTTCTTAAAATCATAATAAACACAGATATTAGACTGAATTTACTCTTCTTATACAGACCTGATGGAATTTTTTTCACCATTTCTGATCAGTTAATTGCTAAAGGATATCTTAAGTGATCATTCAGGAAAATTTAAAGGATCATGTCTGACTAAAACTAGAAAATGAATAGGCAAGAGTGTCTTTATTTTGGAACTGATGTCCCTATAATAAAACAAATTTTTATACCCCTCATCTGAGTCAAAGTCGGATTCTGGATTTGCTAGAAGAATATCCGTTGGATCTGAGAGGACATCTAATTCTGGATCTCCACTGTCTAATAGTTTCACATTATACACTATAACACAAGTTCCTGTGTTGCCCTCAATTTTATCAAACTGGGCAAAGAATTCATCCTCTGTCTTGAAAGGAGAGTACTTTAGAATGATGTCCATTTCTAGTTTATGCTGCAACAAACAAAGGAGAATGTATGTATACAAAGATATCAATTCATAAAGGTCATTAAGCAAGAAAACCCTATAAATCCCTTTATATTGGATACATTAACATCCATTATTACAAAAAAAAAATATTTTGGTATGAACGAGATTTTTAAAAATTCAATCCAAATCATTTTAATGGAAATTTATTTGAGCCCATCTCATGTATAAAATGGAGTCAGTTTATTGTATTTTTCAATTCTCACCTTTTCCTTTGCTTTGGCACCTGTTACCAGTGTATTTCTGGTATTTGTTTCAAATGATGGAATTGGCACAATAACCTGCCAATAAAAATAACACATAAATTCAAAGTCATACTGTTATTATAATTTCTCAATCCTGTGCCTATTGTGCAATTCAAGAATTATTCAATTGACTTCACACTGCTCATTTACAGTGATTATTGAAAATGGTTATCATGGGTCCAAGGGACACCTTTTAATGAGTCTCTCTTAATGACAACAAAGCGTCCGGATCCAAGTGTACATCTATTCAGATATTACAGAGGAAATTCTGGCACACTATAAAACATTGCACAAAAGTGCCAAATGTTCTATTGTAGCTTTGGGTGGTTCATATTATCAATCAGAAGTAAGAATATGTGGTTTTGTGGCATGAAAATAATACACTATCAACTATGTACCTTGGGTCCATTTTTAGATTGTAAATACAGTCTCACATATTATATCAGACATAAAATGCACAAACATAAAATGCACAGAAGCATATCAGCTGTTAAAACAAATGAAAAACAGAAAAAATAAAAAATCAATACTTATCAGCTTCTAAAGAAAAAATTAAAATGATACATGTAACAGAATATATGCTTCAGAAACTTTAAAATTTCCACAGTAGACTACTTAAACTATGCTATCCAGACTTTCAAATATTTTCTGTTAAATTGCATGTTATTTGCAATTTAACACCGAGATGCGAAACCTGACCTGTTGTTGATGACCTTATACCTACCAAAATTGCTTGTGCATATACATGTAGCTTATCATGTGGATATGATGCAATCAACCAATTTTTGAATTAGATTATACTGAAATAAACTAAAATAATAAAAATTGTCTTTCTATAATTCTATAATAATTACCGTATTTGGCCGAATATAATACGCATTGGTGTAAAATACGCACCTCCCTTTTTGAGCCTGAAACTGGGGGAAAAAACGCAGTTCGGTTGTATTATACGCAGCAGAAAATTTTACCAAGCGGTGTTCTGAACTTTTGAAAATCGCGGTAATTTGCTATGAAAATCGGCGCGGAGATGAAGTGCCGAAAATTTACAGAACACGATGTTTTATTCAAATGCGTTTTTATTTCTTAATCTTGACTTTCCATATCGCGGCAATCTGGAGAAATTATTTATTTTAACAAAGCACGAGATAATGTTGCATTAAAGTATTAACAGAGTTTATTATTAATTTTTTTTTTAGCATATGGTGATATTGAAACTATACGTCGCCGTATTCTAACTATTCTTTGTAGAAATAATTTAATTTCAACAAAGCACGAGATATTGTTGCAAGTTTAACAGTTGTCATATTTATTTTTAGTTTAAGGTAATCATGTTGAAAATTACGTTAATTTAACAGGGCAAGCGATATTGCAACATCAAAGTATTCATAGACTACGATTTTCCTCTTTTGAACTTGAAATTAATTAATTAAATAAATAGCTGATGTTATAAAAATAAAATCAAATTTAACAAGCATGTAAAGTTATCAACACACCTCCAAAGCTGTGAAAAATGATGTACAAAGGTGGGATATATGTCTTCATACATCGAGGTAATCTTCGGGGATATCTTATTTTCTACAGAGAACGAGTAAATGATAACACTTAAGTTCAACATACTTCATATTTCCTTTCTTAACTCTCAATTATTTTAACACGAGGCCGATATAAGATAAAGTAAAATTACATTTAACAAGCGTTTAACTGTTTAATGTGTCGTAATCACATACGAAAAATCATAAACCAACCCCCGATTTTTAACAAAGAAAATAATCAAAGCCATTAATAAGGGCAGTAAATAATCAGTGCTCTAACTGTAAAAACAATGCTTTGGAGTTGGTAAACAATTTAATTGCCTGGAGGGGTGTTGAGGGGTAATTATCAAGTGACAAGCGCACGTGTTCACAACATTGGCTTCCATTCATTGGGACGTATAGACTAGGTACATGTGTACTATGATTACGGAAGCACGTGGCAAAGGAATGTGTGAACATCTATAAATAACATCGTTAATGGCGGCCTACACGGAAACGATGAACATGCAGCTCAAATTAATTTTAACTTGCTTTTAAATTTAATTTAACTATCAAAAGGTTATAAATATAACATTTTGAACAAGCCTACATTTCAACAATAACTTTCCGAAGTATTAAATACGGCGATAAACAGCAAGAAATTGCATAAGTCTCTAGGTAATACTACGGTATGTGCGTATGATAGCCGTGTTTCACATGAAAGAAAAACCTATCAAAATCCCATTGTGGTGTAAAATACGCACCCCTTTCTCACAGAAAATTTTTTGGGGAAAAAAGTGCGTATTATATTCAGCCAAATACGGTATATTATATATTATTTCTCCACTGGGATGCATATTTATTGAAATCATACATCCTGAGCAAAAATTAATAATTTACACAAGATGCAGGCCAAAAATGAAACACTGCTCATATGATTGCAGTAGATATTCCATATGGAACTGGAAATTCTTAAAATATTTCAAAAATTTCTAGAAATAAAATATATACACAATTTATTTTTTAAAAATCTAATGCTCACTTCATCAATATGTTCCTCTTCATGAAATGATCGGGACAGAAAGAGACAAGTCATCGTTGCTCCCTTCTTTGTGAAAAGAATGAGGTCATTACCAATCCTCATGGAACCACTGAAATAAACAAAGATAAATAAGACTTTCATCAAATAAACCTCTTGTAAAAGTGATTCCACAACTGTGAAACATGGTTACAGCTAACATGCTTATAATGAATTAAAGCTTTTACAGTGAAGTGATTTTCATTCCCTGTTGTTTAAAAATGTATCATTCACTTAATGGATATAACGAATTACATTTTTAATGAATCAAAACTCATTTAAAAGTGTTCATTCCTGGCACTTTGCAATGATCATTCTTTACTGTACATGCACACATATGGATGCTTCCTTCATCGTTACAATTCTGCATAGGAAAATAATATATTGAGATTAAGGAGCAACCATTTAAATAAGCTTATTTGTCTTCCTACTTACGATTTCAATCCATTTCCATACATGCCAATGTGTGACTCATCCAAAGATCTCTTAGTGGATCTTCCAAATGTGATGATATCTGCTGTCTCATCTGTAAACATTGAAAAAAAAAATTATTTTCAAACTCTTCAAAAGAGGAAATCCTTGAAGTTATTCAAATCTTGCATTAATTGCATAATTTCCAAAATAAATTAAAATAATTGAAATTACATTAAAAATAATTACATTTCAGAGACGTTGCTTGGAAATATTTGATCAGGAAAGTGAGGAAACGTATTGTACAAATATTTTCAATAATATTAAACATTTACAAGATATGTTCAAACCAATAAAACTTCAATGTTTACAATGAAATTCTTTGTAAAAGCTTACTTGGATCCATTCCTTCTCCATTATCCACAAAAAATAACATGTATCCTCCTCGTAAGCTTTCATCTGGTTCTGTAATTAAAAGTTCTTTCCAATGCAGAATACAGTTTATATATAATCACCATTAAGTCTGGTTAAAAAATCAATTTTCATGGCAAAATTAGATTTTCCTCAAGTTTTTTTTCAAATATATATAATACATGCATTTGATTCCCTATCAACATGATCAATGATCATTTCCTTGGATATTTAGCAAATTTATCATATCTATAGGCACAATTATTTCTGCTGAGGTTGACTAGCAATTGTTCAATATCATTCATAGTTAGTAGATACAAATAGCCTTTGGAATAAACTTTGGCAAAGAATGGCAAATAGAGTGCAAACCTGAAAATATGTCCATTCTGGTTGCATTAGCATCTCTACAAAAAAAGAAGAAGAGATTTTTTTGTAAAGCAATCAAATCATTTTAATTCATGTAACTTAAACAATGTTAAACACCATAAAAAATAAATACATGTTGAACTTGACGATTGGAAAATTTGAAGATTTTCATTGTAGCAAATGTTACACAAGTACTTACCTTGCATTATCAACCAATTCAGCAAGTGCACCAAACAAAAACTCATGAGTTGTTCTGAAATGTATTGTTATTTAATTTCATATTAATTTTCAGATAAAATTTCAACCTTAGATTCATTAAGACAGATATTTAAGGCAATTTTTTTTTGTTCATTCATATTAACACTATTATAAGGCTCATAAAATTAAAAGAGAAAATAATACCAGAACAAAAGGATCTTAGACTAGTTGGGACCAATCTCCCAAATGGGGTACAAATTAACTTCGATTTCTATTGTATAGTACATATATATAATACTGGCAAAATTATTCAGCATGTTGAGGGGGTACGACTGTAAATTGGCTTTCTCTAACAAAGTACTGACTGGCAAAATTGTTTGGGGCATGTCCCCAACTCCCATCCTAACAGTTCATATGAAGTTGTCTTTTTCATAAAATATCAATAGATACTATAAATATATTCTCTTTAGAGAAGTGGACAGGCTTTCGCCTACATCCACTTCTCTTTGCAAGCCTTCATGTTTTGATTCTGGAGTTTTCTTGTGACAGTTGTGTGTATTTATGTTAAAATTGATAATATAACACGTCTGTTATGTACATTCAGACGTATTTTAGACGAAATGTCAGTTGAAGTGTAGACCGTCACCGGTTCGAGATTTACACGTTTTCCAGAATCAAAACATGAAGGCTTGCGAAGAGAAGTGGATGTAGGCAAAAGCCTGTCCACTTCTCTAAAGAGAATAACTATAAATACAGATCATAGTCTGCTGGAAACTTGGTGTTTGCAAGTAACAACTTTGCGCTCATTTTTTAAGATTTAATGGGAAAAGTGATCAATACATCAAATTGAAAATATGACATTTTACATTATATAGCACTGAGCTCTTAACATGTGCATTAGTTACAATAAATGCTATAGTACATGGTACATTTTTAAGTCAATATTTATTACATAAGCAATGTTATGACAAGGCAACTTACGAATTTGTGTGCAAGTATTCAAAACTTAATTGTGCACGGCTTAGTGTGTTATAACTATTGCTGGTCATTTTCTTGGTCTTTTTCCGATGTAATAACGCAGTATTCCTTTCTCAATAGTGCGCGAAAAATGACTACATGGAATCCAGAACGTCCTCCCTTATTTCACGATGTCCAGGCAAATTCATCATTCTGAATAGATGCAATTTCACAGTTTAAGTATTTGCATTCATAGTTCTGTGCATTACTGAATTAATATGTATAGATTTCTAAAAATTATCTATATTTATCTTCAGTTCCATACACAGCCTCATGTAGCCGAATCACAGCATTTCCTGTTTATACAAAGATTCATCCACGTGTCATCGATAGAGTACACCTCGCTATGAAATCTCAATACGAAAAACATTTATTGGAGTTATAAAAAATTAGACAACTTATTCTGCAACATAATGGTGAAAACTTCCCCTAAATTTTCATTTCTCCTATCGCGCATGTATAAATAATTCTGGGACTACTTTCAGATCTCATTTTGAATCCAAATCTAGTATTTAAGAATTAACAAATCGAAAAAGATTTTTTTGCAAATTAGTGGATGATACATGAAGATAAAAGAGATTTTTTTTCTTTTTTTATATTCAATATATGAAGACAATTGCATAAACATGATAATGAATGGTTTATTATCAATTTTCTTCTTTTTTTAACATTTGGTATGAATAAAATGGAAGACGAGTCCGATTCAGATAGTTCAACCGATGAAATCGAAAATCAGCGACTAAAAGAGGCAGCTATAGGTGTTGAATTAATCGTAAGAGAGACCAAAAGTAAGTTTTCATTGTCTAAATTTCTATGACAATTATTATTTTACATAAAACATAAAAAGGTATCAATGTGTAAGACTCGAATTTCCTCTAAATTATCATAAGCATGTACATTTTGAGTGATTTTCAGAACATGGCATGCTGAAATGACATACAAGCATTTGTTCCTAAATTTTGCACAGTGATCGGTGATTGAGATTCACATAAAGGGTGGTTTCCATGAAATTTTCATATCCGTAATGCTAATTGAACATGTTATATCGTTAAATGCATTACATTGTAATATTTAAATACAAAAGCTACATTTATTTTTCTCAGGAAAAGAAACAAGGAGCCAGGAAAATGTATTGCTACCATCCCAAAGGTATTCCATTATTGATTTCATCAATGTAACCGTTCTGAAGCAAATCCAATCAATAAAAAATATATTTATTTGTTATCTACTGACTATTTTTTATGTACAAAAACTATTCTGTGCATGAATTAATCCTCAACATTTTCCTATATATCCTCAGGTAGTGTACATTCAATTTTGTTCAAAATTGTGGGGGGAGGTATGATAATCATATTCATATGGAAGTTTTTTTTTTCAATCTGAATCATTTCATTGATTTCAACTATGCCCCTCCCCCAGGGGTAGGGGAGGGCTACATTTAACATGGTTACCATTATATATAGGGAACTTTTAAAGTCTTCTGATGAAGCACAACAGGACCATGATTTGTCATATTAATATAAAAGAGTCCTCAGATGATATAGTTTTAACTTTGATCAAATCATGCTCTCACTGGGGCAAAATAGATCAAAGTTATATAGGGGAAGAAATCTTCAGAAGTCTTCTGAAGTACAGGAGGGTCATGATAAATTGCAAGCATCTGCAGATAGTGTAGCTTCAAGTTTATATAGATCAGGGCCCCCAGGTTAGGGTGGAGCTATGATAGGGGATCAGAGTTTTTCAAGGAAATATGTAAAGGAACAAATCTTTTGCAAGAGTAGCAAGCCATAATTTATCATATCAGTAAGTAAACTTTTCTTGGTTCTATTATTCTTTTTTTTAGCTCACCTGAGCTGAAAGCTCAAGTGAGCTTTTCTGATCACCCGTTGTCCGTCGTCCGTCCGTCCGTCTGTAAACTTTTCACATTTTCAACTTCTTCTCAAGAACCACTGGGCCAATTTTAACCAAACTTGGTACAAAGTATCCCTGGATGAAGGGGAGTTTAAATTATTAAAATAAAGGGCCAAGTCCCCTTACAAGGGGAAATAATCAAGAAAAGACAAAAATAGGGTGGGGTCATTAAAAAATCTTCTTCTCAAGAACCACCGGGCCAGAAAAGCTGAAACTTATGTGGAAGCATCATGGGGTAGTGTAGATTCTAAATTGTTAAAATCTTGACCCCCGGGGGGTAGGGCGGGGCCATAATAGGGAATCCAAGTTTTACATTGAAATATATAGGAAAAATCTTTAAAAATCTTCTTCTCAAGAACCACTTGGCCAGAAAAGCTGAAACTTATGTGGAAGCATGCTGGGGTAGTGTAGATTCTAAATTGTTAAAATCATGACCCCTGGGGGTAGGGCGGGGCCACAATAGGGAATCCAAGTTTTACATTGAAATATATAGGAAAAATCTTTAAAAATCTTCTTCTCAAGAACCACTTGGCCAGAAAAGCTGAAACTTACTTGGAAGCATCCTGGGGTAGTGTAGATTCTAAATTGTTAAAATCATGACCCCTGGGGGTAGGGCGGGGCTACAATAGGGAATCCAAGTTTTACATTGAAATATAGAGGAATAAATCTTTAAAAATCTTCTTCTCAAGAACCACTTGGCCAGAAAAGCTGAAACTTATGTGGAAGCATCCTTGGGTAGTGTAGATTCTAAATTGTTAAAATCATGACCCCCGGGGGTAGGGCGGGGCCACAATAGGGAATCCAAGTTTTACATTGAAATATATAGGAAAAATCTTTAAAAATCTTCTTCTCAAGAACCACTTGGCCAGAAAAGCTGAAACTTATGTGGAGGCATCCTTGGGTAGTGTAGATTCTAAATTGTTAAAATCATGACCCCTGGGGGTAGGGCGGGGCACAAGAACCACTTGGCCAGAAAAGCTGAAACTTATGTGGAGGCATCCTTGGGTAGTGTAGATTCTAAATTGTTAAAATCATGACCCCCGGGGGTAGGGTGGGGCCAGAATAGGTATTACAAGGGGGGGGGGGGGGGGAAATCTGGTAAAGAACAGCATGGCCAAAGTTACTCAGGTGAGCAATGTGGCCCATGGGCCTCTTGTTTAAATTCAAGTTATAGTTATTTATTGACCTAAGGGTTTGTGTAGGACTAAAATCAGAGGTCAGATTTTTTTCACAATGCTAGTGTAATGGAAAAAAAAATCTTCTCAGAACTATAAATAATGTAGCATCTCCGTATTGGGATGATTCAAGCTGGTTAAATCATAACCCCTTGAGGCTAGGTACATGTAGTGGCCACAACATGGAGTCAAAAATTTTCATTGGAATAAAGGGAGAAAAAAGTCTCATAAAATCTTCCTCGGAATAACAGTAGGGCCAGTGTGACTCAGGTGTGCATTGTGGCCCATGGGCCTCTTATTTATTGGTATCATCTTTGCAGAATTTGAAACCCAATCCATGTAAAGTATGTGCTGTTATGAAGTTCAATTCATATTTCAGAGCTTCTTCTCCCGTGCCTGAAAATAATCCACTGAATACAACACCAGAATTTAGAAATTTTGTAGCCAAAAAGTTGTCTGAACTCTTAGATAGGTAAAGACTTTAAGTTTTTCCCTGCAGAGCACTTTGCTCAGTGGTTTGATCAGCTACTTGTATAAATTTTGACAAAATTTGATTAGAGTAAATATATAAAGAAAGTGTACTAATTATAGATTCTTTATAGGGTTATACATAAATTTCCCTTTGACAGGTAACTGGAAACCTTTTGTTTCTAATCTAAATGTTCACTGAATGGAATGATTTAGCCATTTTTCTTACACTGCATTTAAAATTTTATTAGTTTGTTTACCATCATGCTTGACTGAATGTTTAAAATCTTGACAATACTGTTTGGGTGCTGGAACATTTCATGTAATACATGTATTTTTTGCACCAGGTTCTTTATTTTCCTGGCCTATGTACTTATAGCTCTATTTTTAGCTTTATTTAGGATGTACCAGTAATATGCATGCGGGAATTTTTCATAAATTATCTACATGTATTTTTTGTAGAAGTCTCAAAGACAAAGGTGAAGAAATAAAGAAAATTGAAAACAATGAGGAAGATACAGGTAAATAATTATATATTTTTTTTATTTTTCTTTTCCTCCATGATTTGAGAATAGGCAAGATCTTTCAAATCAATAAAATAGTAGTAAAATACTAAAAGAGGGGAATTTAATGAAGAAAAGGCCTCAACAGTAAAATTCTGAAGGGGGGGGGGTAGTTCTGCTTGGTCCCTGAGGCCAACTTTAAAATAAAGTTTGTTTGCCCTCTCCTGATTCCAGATGAAAAAAAAATTGGGTTGGTAGGTAGGTGAGAAATTTTTTTACCCCAGAAAATTTCAACATCAATGCTGAATTTTCAAATATTTTTTTCTGGAATGCATAAAAAAAAAATAATTGCTTCCTGGGGATTAGAAAGTTTTGAGTCAGGTCATTTTTAGCCAGTCGATCGGGAGAGGGCAACCAAAACAATTATTTAAAGATGGCCTCATATTCAAGCCAGAAAAAGATATATTCTGCAGCAATTGTTTCTCCCATTGTTATTGTAGGTATCAAGCTATTCTCTACATCCAGCACCTTGATAAGAGAGGTTGATGAGGAGGTACCTACGTCCTCTGCCAAACAAAGGCTACCCCCTGTCAAGAAGATGAAACTTGACAGCAGCAGTGACAGGTAGGATTTAATAAAATGTAGCATTATTTTCCTCTTTACAATTTACTTTTTTTTTTAATCTCCATAGCAGAAAAATCAAAGAGGATCTCTGACAAAGGTAGCAGGGTAGACTCTTAAGGATCCCTCTAATATATACAGTTGAAATCTTTGGTATCTCAGACATGGATATCTCAAATACTGTGGATATATTAAAGTGATTTGGAAGTCCCAACTGCTTATTCCTTAAGTATTTTACCTTGGGTATCTCTAATTAGTCTAATCTTTGGATATCTCAAAGTATTTTCTTGGTCCTATCAAGTTCAAGATAATGAGGTTTGACTGTATATGTCCATGTAATAGGATTTGAGAGCATTCAAGATTGTTCAAGTTGCATAGGTGACAAATTAATTGCCTTAATTGGTTTGTTTGTCGATTAGATTACAACATGGCTAACAGCTGTTTTCACACAAAGGTCGCATATGACATCACACATAATGGCACGTAAAATCGAGAAAGAAAATATGCATATCGGAAGATTTGAATTTTGTTGCTTTCAAACTCAAAAACTTTGCAAATTAATTCATTTAAATAATATCTTTATTTATTTGTAGAACACATAGAATGAATTTCACATAAAAAAATGAAGTTTTAAGTGACATGCGATAAGTCCTTTAAAACCCAAGTATAGTGAATATTTTCACAACCTGTTACATTTATCTGTCTATCTCATTAAGAGCCAGTACTTGGTAAAATTAAGAAAATAAGATGCTTACATGTGAATACGCTCAGTACATTCATGTAAAAATTTAAAATTGCATATTTTAGTTTAACCATTTTATTTTCACTCTTTAGTTCAGATGAAGAGAGCAAATTAGCAGATGCAGCCGTATCTGTTGAGCAAATTATGAAAGAAAGTAAATCTCCTTACATTAGGACTCATAATAAAAAAGAAAAGACAATACTTATAGTGAAAGAAGAGACAGCAGCAAAGAAAAAGAAGAAAAAACACAAGAAGAAAAAAGATGAAATAAAAGTTTCATGAAATATCATCTGGTGTTTTTCTTTTCTTTTTTTTTTAATGTTTTGGGTTTTCTTGAAATAAGAAATCTTTCATCAATAAATATATATGATTTAAAGCATGTACATATAAAAGGGCTTTCAATTATTTTTAAATTGAGGAGGCAAATTTATCCATTTTAAGAGGCTATTGTAGAATAGCTGTGTTTCGAGTTACGTTGGAACACCGTTTTTATTATTACTAGTACATGTATATCCAAAGTTACTTTGCCAATTATTAATTTTATTAATTTAATTTGAAGCAGTGAATTCCAATCAGTGATAAATCACCTCCCGTCAGCCTTTATTAAAATCTCTGTATACATGTATCTATCAATCTTGATGAAAATATGATGTACACGCACTTTACAAATTACCATTTGTAATGAATGGTATTTCCATATCATGAATTGAGACTTGTTTATAAAACATGGTTCAGATTATCAGATGGTTAAGATTATTTTTTATATATACTGTAGATACATATACATTGTAGCTACATGTTCATTGTAGAGCTTAGCTCTTGTAAAACTTGGCTAAAATGACGAATAGCCATTCATTACAATTTAAAGTATTTCTTCCCAAACAGGTTCCCAATTATAATATCCTAAAAGTTTGAATTGAAATTTGATGGAAGAATGCAAAAACATAGTTCATCAGATTCTGAACCTTTAGTTATGTGGCAGTCAGGCATGTTCAATCATCGATGGCCAGATAGCTCGGTAGAGCAAGTGATCAAGGGGGGCTGGGTTTGAATGCTGGTCTAGTCCATCACATATTTTTCCCTCGCCAGGTACATATGGCGCCATGCCATGCCCTAGGAGTGACAGGTGAGAGACCTGCCAAGGAAGGACCAAGGTTGGTGTCTTTGGGGTCAAAGACCTTTAAATTTAAGTAAATTATACCTCTCGAGTGTTAAGTAAAAACAAACTACTTTTTGGGTTTTTGTGAGGCTTTATCATACCTGTAGAAGTATCAACTGTACCAACAATAGAAAGAGGTAAATCTCTGTAACAGTATATACATATACAAATAACATGACGACAACAGGTGGATAACATTTAATCAATAATAAATGTACTTCAATCAAAATAAAGCAGAACTTTAGCAGCAGAGAGAATAAAATTGGTATGGTTCAGTGGAATGTATTGCTGCATATGGGTATTCAGTTGTATTTATTACACATCTCAATATTAAATTGAAATGGACAAAATTTTTTGAAAATCCTATTGAAACCTTAATGCAGCAAAGTACATGCATGTCTATTCTTCAAAATGGCAACTTAATGAATATTGACTATTGTCGTACATTTCAATTTAACTTGTAAATAAAATCAAACATTTGATGAAGGAATTTATGAACTGTATACTCTTATACATATATATATATATATGGCATAAAATCTGGAATGCTTACTTGTATGGTTTTGTTTTTTGTCCAATCACCAGAAGTAAAATTCAATTTAATAACTTAATATAGATGGACAGGCATACAGATTCATAATGAAATACCTGAACTCCCACCCAATGGATGGAAAGATTGTGAAATGATTTCTTAGGAACTAAACCACATTATATTTAGTTAATTTATTTAACATTTTAGTTGAAGCTGGCATTACTTCTGTACACAAGTTTCATTAAAAAAAAAATCATATTTATAAAACTTGAGATCTGGGCAAGATTGCCATCTGTTACACCCAAGCACTTTCAATACATATAACATAAACAAACTGAAAATGCATCAGATATTGATTTTCATAAAATATAGCAATTGAATGCATAGGACTGTATCAAATAAATTCAAATTCAAAAGTAAGTTATAATGAAAAAATTATGAACATATGCGTGCAAAAGTAAATCTTTTATATATATACATTTGTATATACAATTGTTGTAAAGTACACACTTTTCCTTGAACATCATATGTCACCAGTTATGTATAAGTCTTGCTCAACTTCCTCAAATAAGAGTATTTCATTCATACTCACATACCAGTTTGTGTACTATACATAGATAAATATCTTGGACTAAAGATGAGGAAGAAACAAATGTAAATGAGGAAATAAAAATGCTAAAACAAACCCAAACAGTATGTAACTAAAATTAGAAAAATATACTCCCATAAGAAAATAGCCCCCTTTTGTGCACGTATTTAATCATGTGAATATGTAAACTGCTAATAAATATTGCCACAAATGATGAATATACTTAGATGTCTAAACTGAATCTCCAATCAATTGGAGCTAAAATTTTCACTGAAAATAAACATCGGGAAAGAAGAATTATAGAGCTTCAAAGATAATGTTATTATATGTGTCACATTCTTAAACTAATAAAATTGGTCCCCACTATGAAATCAGTACCAAGGGGTATTAATAAAAGAACAATGAATAACTTTTCATATTATGCTTTCTACCCTTATAGTTTGCTTAACATACATGCACTTAGCTCAATTTCAACAGTTCTGTCCAATGGCAAAAATAGGCAATAACCATTTCTCTTTATTATATCCTAATCTGTTTGATAGATTTCTTTACTGCATGGGCATAAACATATATACATGTATTTAGATATGGATACACATTTATTTGACTCCAAAAATTCAGTTGAACAGTATATCTCAAATACCATGGATATCTCAAAGTGATTGGGAAGTCCTAACTACATATTTCTGAAGAATTTAACCCTTGATATCTCGAACTCTCAGATATTGCGAAGTTTTTTCTTGGTTCCATCGAGTTCGAGATAACGAGGTTTGACTGCATAAATATGTATATGGTTTCACATTTAAATAAACTAAAATTAATGAGGCAATTCACAGTACATGTATCAAAATTGCTAAAGTCTTTTCTAATGGCAAGATGCAAAATCAGAATTACAATACAGCAATACTAGAAGTTTACAAAGAGAAATATTTGATTTGCCCTGCAGTATTGCAGCATTAGAGTAAAGCAATGACCATTTAGCAGTGTATAGATAAAACTATTAAGTTGACTTGAGATTAGCTGATATGAATGACCAACATAATCCACACCATGAAATACAGTGGTACTACCAGGGTGAGAGATTCAAGCAACAACATCTTATCACATTAGGAGAATCACAATTTTTGCCTTTAACCATCACAGTGAAGAATAAATATAAATATGGCACACAACATTGGTGTCCAGTGAGCAACCAAGCAGTCACATAACACATGATGACTTTTGAATGACAAGAATGTTCATGTAATATTGCACTAAATCTGAACCTTTTGTGTCTTATTTCAAACTTTGGTTGGTACCTGGAAAGAAAAAAAACACAATTGTTTAAAGCATGTTTTCATGTATTCCTTATGCAACTGAATCATGTAATTGCCAAGATATTACAATTTAGCCCCCCCCCCCCCCCCAATAAATTGGGTTTCCATATATTCTGGAGTCAGTTATTTTTCAGCATTTCATTTCTGATTATCAACTTCAGGGAAAAAAAGGTCAATTGGGAAAAAACCATATTAAACATATTTCTAAACAATGAGTCAAAATGCTCATCTGAGTCATCTTAACTCTGCTGTACTTCAGAAGTTTTTTTTCAAAGATTTTTTTCTCAATAACTAATCCAATAAAAAAAATTGACTCTATAATATGGCCCAATCCTAGCCTCAATGGATCATGTTTTTACCAAATCTGAGTCCACAATTGTGGTGATTCTGAATATCAATTTGACAAACACAGTCTTGCAGTTCTGGACAGGAAGAACTTTAAAGTACCGTAAAGTCCTATGTAAAACTATGATCTCCTACTGTGGCTCAAACCTTATTGATTTGAGCAATTTAGAACTTAGACTATCTTGGGAAGTTTTCACACAAGTGGTTCTTGAAATTTTCTTATACATTTTAATGTAGATCTTTCATCCCCAATTGTGGCCCCACCTTACTCCTGTTGGTAATGATTTTTTTAACAATTTAGAATCTACAATTCCTCAGGAAGCTTCTACATATGTTTCACCTTTTTCTGGCCAAGTGGTTCTTGAGAAGTTTTTTTTTTCAAGATTTTTCTTACCAATATATATTTCAATGTAAAACTTTCATCTCCTATTGTGGCCCCACCTTATTCCCAGGGGCCATAATTTTATACAATTTGGAATCCACATTTTTAGATTTTACATAACTTTCACCTTTTCTGTACCAGTGGTTCTTGAGAAGATTTTTTTAATGACCCACCACTTTTCTGCCTTTTCTTGATTACCTCCCCTTAGAAGAAGTCTAGGCCCTTCGTTTGCACACTTTACAATTCTCTTTACCGAAGGATACTTTGTGCCAGCTTTGGTTAAAATTGGCCTAGTGTTTCTTGAGAAGAAGTCAAAAAATTGAAAACTTTACAGACTGAACAGACGGAGCCAGACAACAGGTGATCAGAAAAGCTCACTTGAGCTTTCAGCTCAGGTGAGCTAATATAAAATAATGTGGAACAACAATTTCTAAATAACATTAAACAATACCTCTGAGTATGAGCCAGACTTGCTTTTGTGTGTGGATGGATGACCTTTGATCAGGGCATAACAGATGACTGTCACAAACATGACAAACAGAAAGTAGGTGGTGTGCATCAAGTGAAGGTTGATAAGGGACCTGTCCTCCTATAAAACCATTAAAACATGTTCATAATGTTCACCCTTACAACTATCCACATCTTCTCAAGCCAAGCTTTACTACTCAATAGATGATACACATGAAACAAGGACTCTAAATCATTGAACTCAAATTATTTGACAAACTTTTGATTTTTGAAATCGCTAATTTTCATTGGGTCAGATTTAAGTGGTTTGAGGAAAAAATTTGGTTTATGGGAATTTAATTTTGTGGTTGAAGCATAGCACTGAGAAAACATCAAAGAAAACTAGAAGTATCACTGGGAAACCATTTTATGCAAGATATGAATTTTTCACCTTGTCCTTTTGACCATAGAGTCAAAAGGGGTCTTATTAAGTCTTTAGGAATTATAATATAAAATTTCATAGGGAAAGCTTAAGGAAAACTAGTTACTTTTTGCAAACAATTTTTTGCTTTGTATGAATTTCTGATCTTGACCTTTTACCTTTTGACAACAAAATCAGTAGTGGTCATTTTTAGGCTATATGGAGTTTTGGTGTAAAATTTCATTAAAAACAGCTCAAAGAAAATTAAAGTAAGTAAAGTGTGGAAACTGTTCCTTGCAATGATTGAATTCCTGACCTTGTTCTTTGACATTTTGACCTCAAAATAAACAGGGGTCTTTATAAGGCCACAAGAAGATGTGCTATGAAATTTCATTGTAAAAGCTTAAAGACATTTTTAAGTTAACATCCGGAAACAAAAAAGTTACATAGGGACAGAATGTATGAAATTATGACCTTGACTTTTGACCTCAAAATCAATAGTAGTCTTATTAGGTCATAGGGAGTTGTGATTTTAAATTTTATTGAAAAAAAGCTGAAAGAAAACTATATTTATCATCAGGAAAATAATATTTGCAATGTATGGATTTCTTACCTTGACCTTTTGACCTCAAAATCAATAGGGGTCTTTAATAGGACACAAGGAGTTATGCTATAAAATTTCACTGCAAAAGCTCAAAGGGTTTTAAGAAACTGCCCAGAAACAATAGTGTTACACACAGACAATGTATGAATTTATGACCTTGACATTTTACCTTTGACCTCAAAATCAATAGTAGTCTTGTAAGGCCATAGGGAGTTGTGACATTAATTTTTTTCAAAAAAGCTCAAATAAATACTAAATTTATCATCTGGAAAATAATATTTCCAATGTATGGATTTCTGACCTTGACCTTTGACCTCATAATCAATAAGCGTACTCTTTAGACCACAAGGAACTGCGTTATATAAAATTCCTTTGCTAAGTCTCAAAGGCTTCTTCAGATATCGCCTAGAAATGAATGTGTTACACAGACAGAATGACAGACAAACACAAAAAAATTACAAAACCCACTTTCAAAGAAAGCAGGGGACAAAAAGTGATTAATTGTGCACTTATTACTATTCATTTCTTCATGGACAAAAGAAGTTGATCCATTTTGTTATTGTACTTACCAGTGTTAACAACATATTCATGGTGGGATCTAGCTTGTACTTCATTGTGACTCGAGGTAAATGTGCACACAGATTTTCTGCGGAGTAACTCCTGGGATACCCCACCATTCTTGAACTGAAGTCACCCACCCCCTCAGTGACACTTACAGTACTTCTACAGCCTCCAAAATGTCTGAAATCAAGTCATCAAAAATAAATCTGTATTATTGACTAATAAAGTTCTCCATCTCTTACTTTCTCTTTCATTTTCAATTTTCATTTTTACTGTTATACAGCCTTTGTTTCCGCATAAAATTTTATTTCAAACATGTGGCAAATCAATAGTTATCAAGAGAGAAAATTTTCATTCATTATTTATAATTCAGAATATAGACAGAGGATATCAAAATTGATAAAGTGTTTCATACTCAATTGTCATATCTAAACACTCATGTGAAATTGATCTGCTTATACATAATTAACCATTAATCTTTCATACTGAACTTTTAGTAAAGTTTGTTATGCCACTGAGTTTTTCACAAGGTTTCAATCAAATGACATTCTCTGAAAGGGTTTGTGCTGGTGAAATCATCCAAATCTACATCTTTTTAAATACATATCCAAATCTACATCTTTTTAAATACATATCCAACAAAAATATGGTAACAGAGTAGGTTGTGAATTAACTACACTGATCTGTCAAATGTTTTACCGTTGGCTAGGGAAAAAAGAAGCTGGTCCCTGGAAATTTATGCAAGTCAGAATTTGGATTTTCTGACAGTTTTTATCTGTACAAACTGCTTCATTCCATTTGATGGGCAACATCATGGACACGTTCATACTCATTTTGGAAGCTAAACCTGGAGAAAAAAAATCATTATGCAGTGTTTACCAGTATTCGTTCAAGGTCCTACTGCTTTATTACCATTGGATATACAATGACAAGAGATATTGTTTGTGAAACACTTATCCCCTCCCCAAATAATTGGAATTTTTCCAAGTCCAAGGGGCATAACTCTATCAAAAATGGCTCAATCATACCCAAAACCAAATTTGACCTAGATATTCTTATGATAAATCTGTATACCAAATTACATTTCAGTATGTGCAACATCTGTGAAGAAAATGAACGGAAACTTGGTGGACCGACAGACAGACAGACCAACAAACAGCAGCAAAGCAATATGCAAATCCTTCTTCAAAGGAGGGCATAAAAATTTCTAAGAAATTTGAAAGGGACAATTAAATCTTAGTCATACCTGCAGGAATAGCAAAAACAAAATTTATTTTAAAAGGACAGAAAATTGGGGATGGATAAAATTGTATATTCTGTATACTGCTACCATGATATAGACATAAAGAAATGCCCCAACAAAAATATTTACTTTCCATTAGACATAATCCTAAAATTAATGTAAATGTAACACATAAAATATTTAAATTAATCTAATTCTTCATTACAGAGGCAAAGCAACATTACTAGCCTCTAATTATCAGAGTTGTTCACTAAGGTTTTGGAAGAATTCTTTCAAAAGTCACAATATTTCTGATATTTCAGAACAATCTGTAGAGTTTCTACCTCTCAGTCCGAGTTCACTGCCATTGACAGCTGCCAGCAGTGTGGTGACATTGTTTGATATGTTGAAGAAACTATCACTCTGAGAGGGGGTGACCTCAATTAACATGGATATAGATGTATTCCTGTAAATTCATAACATAAAATATTACACAGAAGAGTTACCCACAGAAGATATACAAAATTAATGCATAAAAGATCACATCAATACAAAACTTGTCAATACTTTTTTCATGTTTTCGACACCACTATCCAAAGGAGTAAAGGAAGCACAATGTCACATAGAAACTTCATATGTCTCATGAAATGTATATGAACAAGATAGTATTCTTTTCAAAGTAGTCTATAAGAATTTCAAGGGGGAAATTCATAGTATAAATACAAACATGCCAAATTTTTTTTACATCAAATTAAGAATTTTTATCCTATTTTCATTAAATTAACATTCCAGTACATTTATAGAGATTAATATCAAATCAGCCTGATATTAAGAAGGTACAAAATTTCACCTACACAATCTGTCCTTTCTCTAGTTCAACAGTGGTTTTTACATGGCCTTTCAGAACTGACTGGTGTAATTTGGAAAGTTTATCTACCAACTTAGGTTCTGTAGTAGTTGCAATAATTTCTTCTGTTTGATTTCCTAACACGCAGAATTCTACCTCAGCAAAATTTTCAAAAAAGTTGTTCCATTCCTGAAAAGATATATCCTTAATATTAAATACAAACAAAGCCTCAGTAATCCGGGAGCCAAAAATCTGGACACTTCACTTTCCAGAAAAAAAATTGTTGGGAACAGAATTTACAGTCATATCTACCAATTAAAAAGATACATTTTAGTAACATGGATGCATCATTAATTCAGACCATTAGCTTGGGAAAAGTGTCCAGGTGACCTAGACTCTATTATACATGCTTGTTATTCAATAAATGTCTTTCATTTTCAAATTGTGTAAGAAGTCATTCAAAAATGTATTTGTACACATAAATTGAAAATCTGAGGAAGGATTATTTTTCTTGAATTAGCCAGGGATATCTTGAAATGTTTTTTTCTTCAATTATTGTAATTTTTTATTCTTGATGTCTGGAAGAGACTCCCCAAGGATTGTCTAAGTGATCATAACAGCAATATCAAAAGATGCTTATAGAAAAGTTGTATTTCTGCTAGTTTATGAAAGGATGATCTTTTTAAATTGATACAAAGGAATCTTAAAGAAAAAAAATATTAAATTAATGAAAGTACAATTCCACATAATGACACTGTATAATTAGTGTTACAGACCTTTGTGATACTGTCATAGTGTAAAGATTTATTTTATCATGCTAAAATCATGTTGAATGTTCACATTTGAAATAAACAAAAAGCAAAACCAAAAGATGTCAATTTTTTTTTAGCCTTGTCCTAAATGAAAGGAGAAAAAAAACAAACAAGAGGCCCATGGGCCACAACGCTCACCTGAGTAACTTTGACCTTGCTGTTTTTCACCTGATTTACCCCTGTAGTACTTATTGTGGCCCCGCCCTACCCCAAGGGGTCATGATTTGGCCAATTAAAATCTACACTAACCCAGGATGTTTTTACATAAGTTTCAGCTTTTCTGGCCCAGTGGTTCTTGAGAAGACGATTTTTTTTAAAGATTTTTACTACATATTTCAATGTAAAAACTTGGATTCCCTATTGTGGCCCCGCCCTACCCCTGGGGGTCATGATTTGAACAACTTAGAATCTTCACTACCCCAGGATGCTTCCACATAAGTTTCAGCTTTTCCAGCCAAGTGGTTCTTGAGAAGAAGATTTTTAAAGATTTTTTATACATATTTCAATGTAAAACTTGGATTCCCTATTGTAGCCCGGCCCTACCCCTGGGGTCATGATTTGAACAATTTGGAATCTACACTACCCCAGGATGCTTCCACATAAGTTTCAGCTTTTCTGGCCCAGTGGTTCTTGAGAAGAAGATTTATTAATGACCCCACTCAAGTTTTGTTTTTTCTTGATTATCTCCACTTTGAAGTGGGCTTGGCCCTTCATTTTAACAATTTAAACTCCCCTTCACCCAAGGATGCTTTGTACCAAGTTTGGTTAAAATTGGCCCAGTGGTTCTTGAGAAGAAGTTGAAAATGTGAAAAGTTTACAGACAGACGGACGGACGACGGAAAACGGGTGATCTTTTCAGAAAAGCTCACTTGAGCTTTCAGCTCAGGTGAGCAGAGCTAAAAATGTCTGTGAAGATTGAGAATTCTTACTCATTGCATGACAGTATAATGTACATGTATAATAAAAGATGTGTCTTTTAAATTCCATGCTGTGATTTTTCTCTTGACAATTTCTCTATCCCTTACCTACATATCAATCTTCATAAAAGACTCATAGGAACCTACCATTACTCTACAGGTTACTTCAAAAACTGGGAGGAAAACAAAGAAACAAAACAAAGATATTTTTATATCACACAATTCGTCAGAATATTTGTAGATATAATACCTTTGTGAGATCTGGATTGGGTAGTTCTTTGACTTTGACTATGTATGCTAGAGTTAGCAGCACCACGGCAAAGGTCCCTAGGCTTATCACAAACAGTACCATTGGTGGCTTGTTTTTAGCGAAACTCTTCAAGTTTTCACAAATAGCACAGTCAAATGCCATTATCGCTACGTTTCGTAGTCCCTGAAATTAAAAATAAAATGCAGTTTAGTGTAAAGAGTATCCCTATACTGTGATAGTCATAAATACCAGACATTGGGAACAATTTTGATTGTTTAGAACAATCCCCCATTATTTGTTGATGTAATTTCATATTACATGTATTTCTTCCTGATAGCATGACAAAATATTTGTTATTTGTCATTTGTTTAAAGATTTACTAATAGAAGCCACCAACAAAATATTATGTATACCTTTGAAACATAAAATGGCGTCTTTGTACAAAGTATTCTGAATTTTTTCATAAATACATGTATTCTGTATATAATCTTTGATTTTCCCTATAATGATTTTTTTTTTTTTGGTGTGTATGTGTGTGTGATATCTATCCCAAATTTTTCTACTCACATTTTCTACCTCAATGATAAAAAAATACTGTTAATTTTACAGTTTTAGGTTTTAACTGGAAAAGTATCACTCTAAAGAAAATACACCTGTGAAGCATTATCTATACTCACCTGTTTCAGGTGAAGAAAACCTTTCTTTTTTGAGTGGAATTCAAACTTCATAGTGATGAAGAAGAACCCCAAATGACATAATGGTGAATTGTTGAGTTGCTCTGTATATCATAAACTAGAGCTGATTAAACAAAAATTTATACCCGCTGCAAGACGAAGTGGGGCACATTTGAACCGCATTGTAAATAACATTCATTTGAATCAATTAAGTAAAGACTCCTCCTTAATTCCCCAATCAAATAAACATTTTTTCGTACTATCTGTTTCTTAGAAAATTTTCAGTCTAACAAGAATTTCACATGTTTTATATGCAGTGACCTTTGTCCTTATGAAATTGAAATCAGGTTACGTCATGACCGCTGTCTGGACATTAACAATTACAGGTATAATATCAAGTATGACCTTTGAACATTTCCTCCTATTATGGTGACCACACATAAATTAAGTTTTGAAGCAGACAGACAGTCTAGCTATTATTTTCCAATATACCCCAAAACTTCATCTGCATTGGGTAAAATGACATGCTGACAAATCATGCGAGAATTTTTTTTTCAAATTTGTGCACATGAAATTTTCATTTTAATATATCAAACAGAAAAAAAAATGTATGTATCACTAAACTGATTGATCAGTGCATTGATTTTACTGATTAAATATTAAAGGTTGACAGTATTGCATGATCCAAATTCTTAGAAATATACATGTATCTTGAATATCAGCAATCAGTTACCTGAATTTTTTTTCTTTTTCCCTATTTCAAACATTTTTTTCCTATATCATATATAATACAAAAGATTGATCAAGCACCATAATATTCATACGAGTCATATATGTATTCTAGTTGCTCCAATGGATATACCTAATTGGTTTAGTTTTGTTAGCAAATTTTGTTAACAAATTAGAATTATATTATACTATTTTAGCTACTATTTCATTATAAAATATTCTATAGAAAGATACATGTACAGTTGCAATTCTGCAATATCCAGGCCAGTAGGAACCAGTATACATGTATTTACCATACCATAAAAGAAAACAGTGTTATTGTACACTAAACAATAGAAAATCTGTGCTTATTTATGATAGTGTGCCCTCAATAATTTTGTCTGATGACTTTTTTTCTGGTATTAAGGAATTTCTGTTCATCAGTTGAGATTGCCCCCCCCCCCCCCAAAAAAAAAAATTGCCTCCTATGTGCCTGATATCAGATAAACTTGTAGAAAATTTGATAGTTTATTGCACAGTAAGACACAATCAGCATTTATGTGAAGCACATCAGGAGTTGCTACAGTGAATTTGAAAGGAAGTGGATTTTCAAGTTGCTTTTTTCATAAGCATAAAGCAATTTTCATAGATACTAGCTAAAGTCTCAAATTGAAGTGTAAATATTCTTGAGAAATAAATCCAACATTGGAAAATTTTGAAGTAGTTTTCTATGACCTGTTTCCATTAGTACTTTCAATGGATTGATCATAATCTCATTACTGATTGACAGATTAGCAATTTTCTTCATTAGAAACAGTTAATGCATACATGTGTTTCTCAGTCTGAGAGCAAATTCATTTGTAAAAAAACAAACAAACAAAATTGGTTGAATTGCTACAGTAAACATCATATCAGAAAAAGGACACCTTTTTCCCCATCTTATTATTGGTACTTTCAGTTTGCATTAACCTACAAGAACTTAGTATGATGTGAATAAAATGGGAAATTTGGAAAAGGATTAAAGGCTTTTTATCATGCTTCTAAATTGATCTAAAATGGCGATCAAAATAGGCATATTGAGAAATTCAAACTTTGAAACACCAAAAATATTAATTTTTAAGCAAAGAAATTTAAATGGATGATTTTATTAGCATCTAAACTTTGATATTTATATTAAAAAAAATGAATTACGATAAAAATCCATTAATGCATATATACTTGTAAATAATACTGTGTCATGAAAAACATCATGTTTTTGATTCTCTATGTTAAACAGTGAAAGAGATATGGTGACAGAGAGAAAACATAGTTGTCTAGGAGCCATAACGCTCACCTGAATCAATTCAGCATTTGCCAGCTTCATTATCTTATAAATGAAATTTATACTTAGAATTGAAATTGAATGTGATATATATACAATATTGCTAAATGCATTAAAATAAAAACAAAATTAACTACCAAAAATACATGTAAAACTTGATGAAGGTTATTCATTAACTAATATTTGCTGGCTATTAATAAATTCTGGAAATAGTCTATTATACGAATTTGAAAGCTAGAATGGAAAAGGAACCACAGAAAGGTTCCAGCAAACTGTGTTGTATTTAGTGTGGAGTAAATTTAGTGGTGCCTGAATGACTTGTATTTTTTTCAGAAATCAGTTAGTGTACTTTTAATCAGACAATAGGCATTTACAAAGATCATTTAGAGCAACATAATTCTGACAAGCATAAATTTCAGGCCCACCAATTTTAATAGGCAAAGCACTGAAATAGTGTGCAACAAAAGTTTTACAAGCCATAAACATCTTGGATATACAAGCAGTTCAAGCAGGCAAGGACATTAAGTTAAATAATATTAATAAATTATTATTTAATAAGCACAATGTCTTGTTAATAATACTTCCCTAAACATGATTTGAGAGGCATCCTTAGTTTTTAGTTGCATACTAACGATCAGTTTACCCTCACCCCCAATTTTTTTCTTAACCAGTTTTTAAGATTATCTATTGATTGCATTTAGAAAATCTCTATGCACATGCACATATATTAGAAATATCTGACACAAGCACTGCCACACAGCATTTATGTCTACCTTACTTGAATGATTTTCACTATAAATAAAATGAATAAATCTTTACAGTAAATAAACATATTTTTGAAACATCAAACAATTTGAGCTGTGTCTGAATAGCATCATTGCTTGACAGTAAATAAATTTAATTGACATGTTTAGACTATCCACATCAAATAATGAAAAAGGCAGGATGAAGAGTGCTGTTTTTGGACAATACATTTTAGTTTACCCTCAGTCAATGATAGCTTCTAGAAGAATTTAACAATAGATTTCCATTTATATATATCTTCAACTTATTGGTGACCATGTGTGTGCTTTCTAATTTCATTACTTGATTCATTTTTTTGCATTTATTTTTTTAAATTTCTCTGTTTGCTTCATTGTCTTCTAAGAAGAATGCTAGATTCATTGGAAATATTTACATTAAAGTCAATAAAAACAGGAGTATACGCTCAATTTCAAATTGATAAACATTATTTATTAAAACACCCACATCTGAAGTTCTCATTTGCTTCATGCTATAATCCCAAACAGGAAATTCAAATTAAAATCAACATGTCTACATTCTTTTCACAGTTTTACCTGTTTGTTTGAGTAATTTGGATATCTGTTACACTATCGTAGCTCGTATAAAATCTTTCATGTCATTTTTTCAACGTTACTGCGTCGAACTTTGTTGTTACTTTCAACTAAGGCCAATGTACGTGTCCATCGTCAGCCATGACAGGTGTGTACTATTAAAAACTATTCGAAACGGATATTCTATTTCCGGCCACTTGTAAGGATGGAACAATATTCGTTTTTTTTTTTAATATCAAATCAAAAAGTAAAAAAAAATAATTTAATAAATATAATTTTATAATCAACATCTCTTTTATCAATATATTTTATAATATACACTCACAAAAAAACTTTTTCTTTTTGTATTGAGTTATATCGCCTTTTCTGTCTGTGTATTTATTCTAATAATATATTTAGTGTTTGGAAGAAGTTGAGACACTGAAAAAGACCAATATGAACGAAATGAGACCTTCGATCCGCTCCAACTAGATCGCTAGACACAAATGAGGGATCAATCTAATTGGAGAAGATCAAATATTATTTTAATTAGATTGAAAAGAAACTGTATTAATTACTGCCACCAGTCAATAAATCATGGTTTATGATTTATTTTGTTCACTTTGAGTATGACTTTGCAAAGCTTACAAGTTAGTAGAGATTACATAAAAAAATAATGACCCCATCCCCTTTTATGAATTTAATATCGAAAGTGTGGTGGTCTATAGCTTTGCACAGTTCAACAAAGAAAGGGGGCTGGAACACTCTTGGGATTCTTACAGTTATTCAATTTATATAATCAAGTATCCCAAAATGACCTAGAATTCCCTAGGAAACACTGACACTTCGTAAGTTCAAGTTGGTAAGAAGATTCATGCAGATATGAAGGATCGAAACCGGCTTGGCCGTCATGAGAAATGTATGAGGCGCCGTTTTGGCATTTACTACCATTAAGTGATATCACCTATCCGAATAGGTGATATCACCTATTCAGTTGGTGATATCACCTATTTGAATAAGTGATATCACCTATTCAGCTCCTGAATTGGTGACATAACCTATTCGAATAGGTGACGTGGCTTATTCAAATAGGTGATATCATCTTTTCAAATAGGTGATATCTCATATTCTTTTTGAATAGGTGATATCATTTATTTGAATAGATGATATCGCCTATTCAAATAAATTAGTTGATATCACCAATTCAAATAGTGATATCGCCTATTCAAATAGGTGATATCACCTATTCATGAATTTTGAATAGGTGATATATCACTTAATCGAATAGTTCAGTTTTCTCCTGCGTTTTAGTAAGAAACATTTCTAATACCTTATGTTATCGATACCTATAAAGTTATATAAAATTTATAAATTTTACTTGCAGATCTAGTTTTGCATATCATTGATAGTTTTTCTCTGTTATAATTATTCATATTCAAAGATAAGTCTCGTCACATGACTAACGAGGTTTCTCGAAAACACATACATGTACCATATCTAGTCTTGGGAGCAGTTGTTATGAGAACAGCAGGACCAGAGTGACTCGGATGAGCGTTGTGGCCCATGAGTCTCCTTTTTGTTTGTCTGTTTTAAAGGAACATCATGACTATGAATGAGAGTTGAACAATCGTGTGTCAGTTTCCCTACTCCCTACAGTGTCTAATGTCCGTATGTTCTACGTGTGTCATCTATAAACATTTCACATTTTTTCCAGGGTTACGAGGATTCAAGTTTGTTCAAATAAAGAATAATGGAGAGATAGTTAAGAAATATTGAAAATATGGTTGGATCATTAAAAAAAAATCATCTCAAGATCCATTGATGCAGAAAAGATTAAAATAATGTGAATAATAACGTCCTTATTTTGTGCAGATTCGGGTGTCTTCAAAGCTAGCCCCTGTGCTTAGGGTGGAACCAAAATAGGGGGGGGGGTATCAAAATTATACACCCTCGAAATCTGTACATAGGAAAATCATAGAAAAGAATCTTCTTTTCAGGAGGAGTACGATATAAAGTTATAAACCATATTATTATACAAACTTGCCCAGACATTTCAAATTCAAACGTATTCAAACCGGAATATAAGTTATAAACCATATTATTATACAAACTTGCCCAGACATTTCAAATTCAAACGTATACAAACCGGAATATAAGTTATAAACCACATTATTATACAAACTTGCCCAGACATTTCAAATTTAAATGTATTCAAACTGGAATATAGATGGGTTATGATAGGGTTTAGATATTCACATGGAACATGCATATAGGGAAACAATATTTTAAAATCCAGGCCTGTAGCAACGGTTTCAAAATGGGGAGGAGGGAGGGGCCAACTTCCCAAATTAATTTGACATTAAAAAAAAAAAAAAAAAAAAAAAAAAAAGGAAAGAAAAGAAAAGCCAGTGCTCTACCTTACAGCAACATAAAGTGGGCGGGGGGGGGGGGGCAGTATCTAAGGTAAAATTTACTATAGCAAAATACTATATTTAGAAAAAGTGGATAGGTGGGGGGACTGAAATCTTCTTCTTAAAAAAACAACAGTGCAATAAATGGTTACTCACACTAATATGCAAGCATCCCAGTATAGTGCATTTTTTTCATGGTCCCAGGGGGTTGAGTCAATGCGACTAAACATATGGTATTAAAAATTTGAAATCAGAAAAATCGAGAGCAGCTGAATGACCAAGAATCATGTTAATTGAGACAAATGCTTCCACATAAGTTTCAGCTTTTCCAGCCAAGTGGTTCTTGAGAAGAAGATTTTTAAAGATTTTTTATACATATTTCAATGTAAAACTTGGATTCCCTATTGTAGCCCGGCCCTACCCCTGGGGTCATGATTTGAACAATTTGGAATCTACACTACCCCAGGATGCTTCCACATAAGTTTCAGCTTTTCTGGCCCAGTGGTTCTTGAGAAGAAGATTTATTAATGACCCCACTCAAGTTTTGTTTTTTCTTGATTATCTCCACTTTGAAGTGGGCTTGGCCCTTCATTTTAACAATTTAAACTCCCCTTCACCCAAGGATGCTTTGTACCAAGTTTGGTTAAAATTGGCCCAGTGGTTCTTGAGAAGAAGTTGAAAATGTGAAAAGTTTACAGACAGACGGACGGACGACGGAAAACGGGTGATCTTTTCAGAAAAGCTCACTTGAGCTTTCAGCTCAGGTGAGCAGAGCTAAAAATGTCTGTGAAGATTGAGAATTCTTACTCATTGCATGACAGTATAATGTACATGTATAATAAAAGATGTGTCTTTTAAATTCCATGCTGTGATTTTTCTCTTGACAATTTCTCTATCCCTTACCTACATATCAATCTTCATAAAAGACTCATAGGAACCTACCATTACTCTACAGGTTACTTCAAAAACTGGGAGGAAAACAAAGAAACAAAACAAAGATATTTTTATATCACACAATTCGTCAGAATATTTGTAGATATAATACCTTTGTGAGATCTGGATTGGGTAGTTCTTTGACTTTGACTATGTATGCTAGAGTTAGCAGCACCACGGCAAAGGTCCCTAGGCTTATCACAAACAGTACCATTGGTGGCTTGTTTTTAGCGAAACTCTTCAAGTTTTCACAAATAGCACAGTCAAATGCCATTATCGCTACGTTTCGTAGTCCCTGAAATTAAAAATAAAATGCAGTTTAGTGTAAAGAGTATCCCTATACTGTGATAGTCATAAATACCAGACATTGGGAACAATTTTGATTGTTTAGAACAATCCCCCATTATTTGTTGATGTAATTTCATATTACATGTATTTCTTCCTGATAGCATGACAAAATATTTGTTATTTGTCATTTGTTTAAAGATTTACTAATAGAAGCCACCAACAAAATATTATGTATACCTTTGAAACATAAAATGGCGTCTTTGTACAAAGTATTCTGAATTTTTTCATAAATACATGTATTCTGTATATAATCTTTGATTTTCCCTATAATGATTTTTTTTTTTTTGGTGTGTATGTGTGTGTGATATCTATCCCAAATTTTTCTACTCACATTTTCTACCTCAATGATAAAAAAATACTGTTAATTTTACAGTTTTAGGTTTTAACTGGAAAAGTATCACTCTAAAGAAAATACACCTGTGAAGCATTATCTATACTCACCTGTTTCAGGTGAAGAAAACCTTTCTTTTTTGAGTGGAATTCAAACTTCATAGTGATGAAGAAGAACCCCAAATGACATAATGGTGAATTGTTGAGTTGCTCTGTATATCATAAACTAGAGCTGATTAAACAAAAATTTATACCCGCTGCAAGACGAAGTGGGGCACATTTGAACCGCATTGTAAATAACATTCATTTGAATCAATTAAGTAAAGACTCCTCCTTAATTCCCCAATCAAATAAACATTTTTTCGTACTATCTGTTTCTTAGAAAATTTTCAGTCTAACAAGAATTTCACATGTTTTATATGCAGTGACCTTTGTCCTTATGAAATTGAAATCAGGTTACGTCATGACCGCTGTCTGGACATTAACAATTACAGGTATAATATCAAGTATGACCTTTGAACATTTCCTCCTATTATGGTGACCACACATAAATTAAGTTTTGAAGCAGACAGACAGTCTAGCTATTATTTTCCAATATACCCCAAAACTTCATCTGCATTGGGTAAAATGACATGCTGACAAATCATGCGAGAATTTTTTTTTCAAATTTGTGCACATGAAATTTTCATTTTAATATATCAAACAGAAAAAAAAATGTATGTATCACTAAACTGATTGATCAGTGCATTGATTTTACTGATTAAATATTAAAGGTTGACAGTATTGCATGATCCAAATTCTTAGAAATATACATGTATCTTGAATATCAGCAATCAGTTACCTGAATTTTTTTTCTTTTTCCCTATTTCAAACATTTTTTTCCTATATCATATATAATACAAAAGATTGATCAAGCACCATAATATTCATACGAGTCATATATGTATTCTAGTTGCTCCAATGGATATACCTAATTGGTTTAGTTTTGTTAGCAAATTTTGTTAACAAATTAGAATTATATTATACTATTTTAGCTACTATTTCATTATAAAATATTCTATAGAAAGATACATGTACAGTTGCAATTCTGCAATATCCAGGCCAGTAGGAACCAGTATACATGTATTTACCATACCATAAAAGAAAACAGTGTTATTGTACACTAAACAATAGAAAATCTGTGCTTATTTATGATAGTGTGCCCTCAATAATTTTGTCTGATGACTTTTTTTCTGGTATTAAGGAATTTCTGTTCATCAGTTGAGATTGCCCCCCCCCCCCCCAAAAAAAAAAATTGCCTCCTATGTGCCTGATATCAGATAAACTTGTAGAAAATTTGATAGTTTATTGCACAGTAAGACACAATCAGCATTTATGTGAAGCACATCAGGAGTTGCTACAGTGAATTTGAAAGGAAGTGGATTTTCAAGTTGCTTTTTTCATAAGCATAAAGCAATTTTCATAGATACTAGCTAAAGTCTCAAATTGAAGTGTAAATATTCTTGAGAAATAAATCCAACATTGGAAAATTTTGAAGTAGTTTTCTATGACCTGTTTCCATTAGTACTTTCAATGGATTGATCATAATCTCATTACTGATTGACAGATTAGCAATTTTCTTCATTAGAAACAGTTAATGCATACATGTGTTTCTCAGTCTGAGAGCAAATTCATTTGTAAAAAAACAAACAAACAAAATTGGTTGAATTGCTACAGTAAACATCATATCAGAAAAAGGACACCTTTTTCCCCATCTTATTATTGGTACTTTCAGTTTGCATTAACCTACAAGAACTTAGTATGATGTGAATAAAATGGGAAATTTGGAAAAGGATTAAAGGCTTTTTATCATGCTTCTAAATTGATCTAAAATGGCGATCAAAATAGGCATATTGAGAAATTCAAACTTTGAAACACCAAAAATATTAATTTTTAAGCAAAGAAATTTAAATGGATGATTTTATTAGCATCTAAACTTTGATATTTATATTAAAAAAAATGAATTACGATAAAAATCCATTAATGCATATATACTTGTAAATAATACTGTGTCATGAAAAACATCATGTTTTTGATTCTCTATGTTAAACAGTGAAAGAGATATGGTGACAGAGAGAAAACATAGTTGTCTAGGAGCCATAACGCTCACCTGAATCAATTCAGCATTTGCCAGCTTCATTATCTTATAAATGAAATTTATACTTAGAATTGAAATTGAATGTGATATATATACAATATTGCTAAATGCATTAAAATAAAAACAAAATTAACTACCAAAAATACATGTAAAACTTGATGAAGGTTATTCATTAACTAATATTTGCTGGCTATTAATAAATTCTGGAAATAGTCTATTATACGAATTTGAAAGCTAGAATGGAAAAGGAACCACAGAAAGGTTCCAGCAAACTGTGTTGTATTTAGTGTGGAGTAAATTTAGTGGTGCCTGAATGACTTGTATTTTTTTCAGAAATCAGTTAGTGTACTTTTAATCAGACAATAGGCATTTACAAAGATCATTTAGAGCAACATAATTCTGACAAGCATAAATTTCAGGCCCACCAATTTTAATAGGCAAAGCACTGAAATAGTGTGCAACAAAAGTTTTACAAGCCATAAACATCTTGGATATACAAGCAGTTCAAGCAGGCAAGGACATTAAGTTAAATAATATTAATAAATTATTATTTAATAAGCACAATGTCTTGTTAATAATACTTCCCTAAACATGATTTGAGAGGCATCCTTAGTTTTTAGTTGCATACTAACGATCAGTTTACCCTCACCCCCAATTTTTTTCTTAACCAGTTTTTAAGATTATCTATTGATTGCATTTAGAAAATCTCTATGCACATGCACATATATTAGAAATATCTGACACAAGCACTGCCACACAGCATTTATGTCTACCTTACTTGAATGATTTTCACTATAAATAAAATGAATAAATCTTTACAGTAAATAAACATATTTTTGAAACATCAAACAATTTGAGCTGTGTCTGAATAGCATCATTGCTTGACAGTAAATAAATTTAATTGACATGTTTAGACTATCCACATCAAATAATGAAAAAGGCAGGATGAAGAGTGCTGTTTTTGGACAATACATTTTAGTTTACCCTCAGTCAATGATAGCTTCTAGAAGAATTTAACAATAGATTTCCATTTATATATATCTTCAACTTATTGGTGACCATGTGTGTGCTTTCTAATTTCATTACTTGATTCATTTTTTTGCATTTATTTTTTTAAATTTCTCTGTTTGCTTCATTGTCTTCTAAGAAGAATGCTAGATTCATTGGAAATATTTACATTAAAGTCAATAAAAACAGGAGTATACGCTCAATTTCAAATTGATAAACATTATTTATTAAAACACCCACATCTGAAGTTCTCATTTGCTTCATGCTATAATCCCAAACAGGAAATTCAAATTAAAATCAACATGTCTACATTCTTTTCACAGTTTTACCTGTTTGTTTGAGTAATTTGGATATCTGTTACACTATCGTAGCTCGTATAAAATCTTTCATGTCATTTTTTCAACGTTACTGCGTCGAACTTTGTTGTTACTTTCAACTAAGGCCAATGTACGTGTCCATCGTCAGCCATGACAGGTGTGTACTATTAAAAACTATTCGAAACGGATATTCTATTTCCGGCCACTTGTAAGGATGGAACAATATTCGTTTTTTTTTTTAATATCAAATCAAAAAGTAAAAAAAAATAATTTAATAAATATAATTTTATAATCAACATCTCTTTTATCAATATATTTTATAATATACACTCACAAAAAAACTTTTTCTTTTTGTATTGAGTTATATCGCCTTTTCTGTCTGTGTATTTATTCTAATAATATATTTAGTGTTTGGAAGAAGTTGAGACACTGAAAAAGACCAATATGAACGAAATGAGACCTTCGATCCGCTCCAACTAGATCGCTAGACACAAATGAGGGATCAATCTAATTGGAGAAGATCAAATATTATTTTAATTAGATTGAAAAGAAACTGTATTAATTACTGCCACCAGTCAATAAATCATGGTTTATGATTTATTTTGTTCACTTTGAGTATGACTTTGCAAAGCTTACAAGTTAGTAGAGATTACATAAAAAAATAATGACCCCATCCCCTTTTATGAATTTAATATCGAAAGTGTGGTGGTCTATAGCTTTGCACAGTTCAACAAAGAAAGGGGGCTGGAACACTCTTGGGATTCTTACAGTTATTCAATTTATATAATCAAGTATCCCAAAATGACCTAGAATTCCCTAGGAAACACTGACACTTCGTAAGTTCAAGTTGGTAAGAAGATTCATGCAGATATGAAGGATCGAAACCGGCTTGGCCGTCATGAGAAATGTATGAGGCGCCGTTTTGGCATTTACTACCATTAAGTGATATCACCTATCCGAATAGGTGATATCACCTATTCAGTTGGTGATATCACCTATTTGAATAAGTGATATCACCTATTCAGCTCCTGAATTGGTGACATAACCTATTCGAATAGGTGACGTGGCTTATTCAAATAGGTGATATCATCTTTTCAAATAGGTGATATCTCATATTCTTTTTGAATAGGTGATATCATTTATTTGAATAGATGATATCGCCTATTCAAATAAATTAGTTGATATCACCAATTCAAATAGTGATATCGCCTATTCAAATAGGTGATATCACCTATTCATGAATTTTGAATAGGTGATATATCACTTAATCGAATAGTTCAGTTTTCTCCTGCGTTTTAGTAAGAAACATTTCTAATACCTTATGTTATCGATACCTATAAAGTTATATAAAATTTATAAATTTTACTTGCAGATCTAGTTTTGCATATCATTGATAGTTTTTCTCTGTTATAATTATTCATATTCAAAGATAAGTCTCGTCACATGACTAACGAGGTTTCTCGAAAACACATACATGTACCATATCTAGTCTTGGGAGCAGTTGTTATTTCATAAATAATTTGGTGATCATCCCAATGAAACCCGCGTTCTACGGGCCTGCAACCTCATTATTATGAAGACCCATCACATAAGGCAGCTGTGGCGTTCCATATACATAAAGAAACATAAGCAAGATCAGGGGAGTGGGGTCTGTCAGCTACCAGCATTGCCGAGTACAGTTGCGGATGATAGCTGACAACCACTGTTGGATCAGGGGCCTATATACTATACTACTAGTATATAGGTCCCTGGCAAGATATGTTGATTATTTTTTTTTTCAAATTTTGGATCCTGGGATTAAATTATTAGGCTTAAAATCGGAGCATGTTCACTTTTTTTCTGCAAAACACATGCAAGGCAATGTATAATATACTGAAGCACCTCCAGATATGTGAATTCAAATTAGGACATGTCATGACCACTTTGGGGCAAGGGAGGGCCACTATATGGGGTTAAAAATGATTTTTTTTCTCTGATGAAGAACAGCAGGACCAGAGTGACTCGGATGAGCGTTGTGGCCCATGAGTCTCCTTTTTGTTTGTCTGTTTTAAAGGAACATCATGACTATGAATGAGAGTTGAACAATCGTGTGTCAGTTTCCCTACTCCCTACAGTGTCTAATGTCCGTATGTTCTACGTGTGTCATCTATAAACATTTCACATTTTTTCCAGGGTTACGAGGATTCAAGTTTGTTCAAATAAAGAATAATGGAGAGATAGTTAAGAAATATTGAAAATATGGTTGGATCATTAAAAAAAAATCATCTCAAGATCCATTGATGCAGAAAAGATTAAAATAATGTGAATAATAACGTCCTTATTTTGTGCAGATTCGGGTGTCTTCAAAGCTAGCCCCTGTGCTTAGGGTGGAACCAAAATAGGGGGGGGGGTATCAAAATTATACACCCTCGAAATCTGTACATAGGAAAATCATAGAAAAGAATCTTCTTTTCAGGAGGAGTACGATATAAAGTTATAAACCATATTATTATACAAACTTGCCCAGACATTTCAAATTCAAACGTATTCAAACCGGAATATAAGTTATAAACCATATTATTATACAAACTTGCCCAGACATTTCAAATTCAAACGTATACAAACCGGAATATAAGTTATAAACCACATTATTATACAAACTTGCCCAGACATTTCAAATTTAAATGTATTCAAACTGGAATATAGATGGGTTATGATAGGGTTTAGATATTCACATGGAACATGCATATAGGGAAACAATATTTTAAAATCCAGGCCTGTAGCAACGGTTTCAAAATGGGGAGGAGGGAGGGGCCAACTTCCCAAATTAATTTGACATTAAAAAAAAAAAAAAAAAAAAAAAAAAAGGAAAGAAAAGAAAAGCCAGTGCTCTACCTTACAGCAACATAAAGTGGGCGGGGGGGGGGGGGCAGTATCTAAGGTAAAATTTACTATAGCAAAATACTATATTTAGAAAAAGTGGATAGGTGGGGGGACTGAAATCTTCTTCTTAAAAAAACAACAGTGCAATAAATGGTTACTCACACTAATATGCAAGCATCCCAGTATAGTGCATTTTTTTCATGGTCCCAGGGGGTTGAGTCAATGCGACTAAACATATGGTATTAAAAATTTGAAATCAGAAAAATCGAGAGCAGCTGAATGACCAAGAATCATGTTAATTGAGACAAAAACATTCCTACACCGTATGGATTCCAGTTCTTTCAAAGGATGAGGATCATATATTCCATAAATAGTACAAATATGTAGAAGAAAATCTTTAAAAAATCTTCTCATGAACAGCAAACCCCATGCAATGTGTTTAAATTTGGTTAAGTCATGCCCCCCCTGGGGCTAGGCTGGAGCCGTAACATGGGATCAAATATACAGGGAACTTCTGGCCAAGGTGTACTCAGTGCTCGGGTGAACGTTGAGGCCCTTTTGGCCTCTTGTTATTCACTGTTAGATATCAAGGTCCGATGCTGTGGTTCGTAAATGTATACAACAGTACATTAGAATTCGTTATGGCAAACAAAAGTTACCGCCATCCCTCAAAAAAAAAAAAAAAAAAAAAAAAAAAAAAATACGTACCTGATATGGCAGGGACCCCCCCCCCCCCCCACACACACACAAATACATAAAAAAGACATAATTGTAATGTTAGCACTGAAAATAGGAAAATTGGTTGTTCAGTGAAGTATTTCAAATTTTCTTATTTATTAATTATTTTATGTTTTTGATGAATTATTTATTATTATTATTATTATTTTTTTTTAGATCTCTCTATATTTCCGGATCGTTCACGAAATAAAAAAAAAATCTTTATTTTTTCATAACGTATATTTGCAACATCCATTAAACTTGGAATTAAAATGTGATCCACCTCTTTCGCATCAAGCTTAAACGTGGTTTGGTGAACCACGTGTTATCCATATAAGGATAGTATCACGTGGTTTTTACCTTTCCACAACAATTTATTGCCAGGACAACGCCCACTGATTACAATGTCTACGTGTGTAATTACATGAAATGCAAAACATAGACAAAATTTACTTGATTTCAGTGCTAATCTAACTTCACACGTGTGCTTATTTACAATCATTTGAATGTTTTGGTGAATTTACGGGATTTATTTCGACAATAAAAATCAAAACAAAACATGTGATTTCTAACGTGGTGTATTGATGACGTCAAAATAGTCAATTCTGATTGGTTGTTCAATGACAGGTGCCACTCAAAAACCACGTGGTGTATTAATATTTTCCTAGCGTTGAGTGTTTTGGTCGGGCCGCGCCATCTTCCTCGAATGTACGTTGTTTTACGTTTCTTTGGACCAACAATACAGCCCGGCCTTTTAACACTCAGCAAAGGATATATTCGTCACCTCTGCTTGCTAAAAATTCAAATCGAGAACTGAAATGAGTCTGGATACACTGCTTGAAGCTGCTGAATTTCTGGAATGGCGTAACCAGTCCAAAACACGTGGTATGTTTCGCACATGGCAAACTTTGGCTGAAAATGCTAGTGTAATTTGTCGTTCTTAAAGGCTAAAATGTATTGAATATGTTGCAAGCATTATTCCCTTTATCGATTACGGCACAATATTTGTATGTACTTTGGTAGAAAACAATGGTCAAGTGATTAAAATTTGTACACAAGATCGGTGTACAATCGTCCGGTCTCGCTTTCATTTTTGTCTCATTTGCATATGTATGAGCACGCCATTAACGTGATATTTACATTCCTTGTAGTTGATGAGTCTGCAGGCCGAGTATCGTCAACAAACGGATCTGATACTTCACAAGATTCCTACAGCTCTGCAAAAATCATCTACATGGATCCAGACGACGCAACGTTACGTCGGCGTGCAGGAGGGTAAGCCGCTGAAAATGTAAACAGACTTGACCTTGAGGTATCATCCACGTGCTTGATGACGAAACAGTCGATGTGTGCATTGCACATCATATGGAGGAAGTGACGAGAAGTCTGTCATTTAGGGGATGAAAAGATAAAGAAAAATTATAAACACTAATTTAAAACAATAAAATTTTATTTACAAATAAATACGTCATCCATTGCAATACTCACATGCACACTGTCACACTTGCACACATTCATATGTTGTATCACATCTAGGAAAGTCATGAAAATAGTGATGGTTTGTGAAAATGTACACATGGTACATGATTGATGTTAATTTTAAAAGCTCAAAAACATTTACCTTTACTATTTCCACCAGGAACGGAACAATTTTTATCATAAATAATGATGATTAAGTTATTAAGATATGAAAGATTTGAATGTATATTACTTCCAAAATGACTGTTTTTGAGAGTACAAGTGATATTTTGATGAGATTGATTAACATTTCAGAGCTGGGACCAGAGAGGTTCACAATAAATTAGAGAAAAACAGGTGAATATACCAGTTGTCATATTGGTAGATAGTTGTTATAACCGTGTAGATGGTGATTAAGAACTTAGTTTATGTGTTTGAACATAAAAAGGAGATACAATGTATTTCCTTTCATTTTTTTTTTGCATATAATATTACATACATAATAAGTTTTGAGTATCCTTTAGTCATTGTTCCATATTTGTTCTTATAGCATATGGTCTTCAAAACTTTCTCATGGTAAATATACTTTCATAATATGTGTACATGTTTATGCAAAAAGCATAGCTAGGATCATACAGGACACTAGAACAAATGTAGATTTGAGCATGCTGAATATATCAGTATTAATATGATGCCACTGGATAATTATAATGAGAAGATAATTCATATTTCTATGAAATATTTGTAGGAGGGCACATCTGAAGGAATGCTTTGATATTTTAAAGAAACAGATTCCAACCTTGGAGGATAAGAGGACTTCAAATCTCTGTATTTTACGTGGCTCTATACGATACATTCAGGTATTTTTGATATTTTTTAATGTACAAAAGCTAAAATTTTGTCTGTCAGACACCATTAACTATCCTCAGTACAGAAATGATCTAGAGGCCATTAGGTATGAAGTGACAGAGAAATTACATTTGTAATTTGATAAGATAAAAATGATATGGACATGCTTGTGCAGATTACCTATAATTAGTAACGAGAAGGGGTGGAGCCAACAGAAGGTACAATAAGTAGGTCAACCTGGGAACCATGGCTTTAAATCCAGTACATGTTGAAATCTGATTGGTTCGTCATATATAAACACTAGCACGTGAGAGGTCACCTGGGGTGAGGGAGAAAGAGAGACAACTCAAATTGAAATTGTAAAATGCTAATTAAATCATATGTTTAAGAAACTTTTTAGTGTACTTCCACATTTTTTTTTTGTATTTTAGGCAGTAAAAAGGAAAGAGAAAGAATATGAACTAGAAATGCAAAGATTAGCAAGGGAGAAAATAACACTTCAAGAGAGAATCCACAATTTAAAATCCGAGTTAGCCAGGATGAATATTGAAGTGGATTTAAATAAGTGGGTTACCCTCCCTGATGAGCAAGACACCAATTCCACATCAACAGCTACAGGTAATAGTAGATGTAACTTTTGAAGATTGTATGATTTTTTAAAAAATGATTATTATCATTTGAATCACCTCTCTCCCTCCTAATAAAGGAAACAATGAAGTAAATGAATTGATTAAAATGATATGAACCATTTGTTAAAATTATACAAAAAATGTGAAAAGAAGTAAATAAAATTTTATTATAGTTTTATTAAGTAACAAGCCATGAAGATTAATATTTTATTTATTTTATGGAGGTGAAATCAGCTAGAAATTAAGAGTCCACTATATACTGCATACAAAAGAGTTCTGATTATGTGGTAATTTTTCACCAGTGACAACCATGAGATATGGTATATTGCACATGAAGTTGATAAACATTTTTCATTCATGATATCAAAGATTTTGTTTGACCACACATAATTATAACATTGTTGTAATGAAAAAAAACAAACTTCTGGACTGTGCATTTGCTCTATTGAGTGGCATTAATCTTAGTTGCTGTATCTAATTCATATAAGACATTGTTTATAATCAATTTTTTTTTTTTTTTGATTCTCATCTAAACCCTTTTTTTTCAAATTAGGTTGTCCGTGAGTGAAATTATTTGCTGTGTCAGAGAATAAAAACAAGAATTTGTTTGCAAACTATCTTTGTATATTATGACATAACAAATATTAAGACCAATTTTTTCAGGTACCTCAAAAATGTATATTTTCTTTTATCTTACTATAAACATTAAAAAAAAAGCACTAAAAAAGTATTTATTTGTCATTATTACAGAACAAGGAAGTCCAATATGCAGTGATGATGATGATGATGATATTAGAAGTCCCAATAAATCATACATGGGTAGGTTAATACAATAAATGTTATGCAAAGTGTATGGAAAGTGATGCATTGCTGTAAGTTAAATTTTCTGTTACATATGATTCAAGTAAAAAGAGAATGATCTAGAAATGTCAAGATATACATTTATTTTTTTAGGTGAAAGGGACATTGTAAAGAAATTATTCCCAGGCAGCAGCAATCAGAATGCAATCAACCACCAGAGAGAACTGACAATAATAAAGGTCAGCAAGCCTGACCACGTCAACATGCCAGCAGCCACCATATTGAAAATTCCAACCTCTAAATCTCCTCTTCAACAGCATTTAATGTCTCCCATACAAGGGAATTCTCTGTTAACAAAGCCTCCTCTTCCAGCTCGGCCTGAGCAGACGTCATCTGCACCTGCTACTGTGACTACCTCGAATTCCTTAGATACACGCACGCCAGTAACGCAGCTGTTGGCCAGGACATTAGAGAAAAGACAGAAACAACAACAGAGTGCCATAGTCACAGGTAATCATCTGTAACATTCGTGTCTTTCATAAAGTACACATCAGCACAATTAAAACAATTTTACTCACATTATGAGTCTTATGGATACAGTGTCCATAATTTATTTTTGATAGAAATTTCTTCATTTGATGTAATGATAAAATTATGCAACAGATGTTAAAGTTCCATGGTATAATAGGCATAGCATTTATTGTAAGGTGTGCCTCTATATCTTGTCTGTCTTGGTTTTCAGTGACAAGCGTCAGTCCCAGTGTTAAACCACCACCAGTACCAACAGTACCATTAAAGACCATTCCTTTGAGACATTCTCTGGGCATTCCAATAGCAACACAGTTTGTTGCTGCCCAAGGAGCAGCCCAGTTAGCAGCAATTAATAAACTGGTTTCCCAGGGTACCTTAGCCATGCCGGTCTCCATGGCCAAAGGATTTGCCCAGCCCATTCTGGTATCTACTAACCTGATGACAGGACTAACTTCTAGTCAGCAACAACAGATATTGAATAGTGCTGCAACACAGAGTATGGCAAAACAGACTGCAGCTGCCACTTCTTCAATTGCTACAGCAACCACCACTGTCAAAGTCACAGCACTATCCGCCACACCACTGTCAGCTACAACACTATCAACTACACCATTGTCAGCTACACAGCTGTCGGGGACTCCTTCTATGGCTACCTTAGGAAATGTTTCCAACATCAGACCACTTGCAAATACAGGCACAACTCACATGCTGGGACAAATCCCCTTCAACATTCTAGCTCAAGCACTGCCTAGAACATCTTTAGGACAAGTCGTGACACCATCCACTTCCACAGTGTCAGTCTCTATTCCCTCTAGTCTGCCACAGAATGTTAACATGCAGCAGCTTATGTCACTTGCTCAAATTACTCAAGGGACACAATTGGTGTCCCCCATGACAGTTATGTCCCCTGGAGTGCAGTTTGCACAGGGATTAACTCAGACACAGTTAAACTCTATGCTTTCAAGTCCTCTTTTAAAGCAGATTCCCTTGATTCCCCATGGATTCTTGCAGGGAGCTCAGATGGGGGGTGTTTTAGGACAACAAGTGGTGAAACCTGTTGTAGTGGTCAGCCTGCCCAGTGTGGTGAGCACCACTGCCACCACTTCTACCATAGCTGCTACTACCACCACCACCACATCATAGGAATTGAAGGAAGCCAACTGAGTCATTATTGAAATCCAGACAATTTTAGCAGAAACTCACAACCATGTGTCATCAATACAGATATGTAATGATGTAAAATGTATCACAAACTGTTATGTTATTTTGGGTACAGTCTAGTAATTTTAAATTGATGAGCTTAATATCTCTCATTGGATCATGTATATGTATTTTCTCATTGGATCATGTATATGTATTTTCCATATCGTGTCAAACTGATAAGTTCAAGAATGAGGAGTACTTGAGAGAAAAAATATGAAAATATTGCTTTCATGTTACATATGGATACGATATGTCATTCATTCTGATAAATATTTATAACCTTTCATGGACCTGATTTGAAGAATAATCACTTTATCAATTGTTACAGTAATTTGTAGTTCAATTTCATCCAGCTTTCTTGAATAATCATTCACAGACCTTATTTCACATATATGTATTTATTTTTACAACAATGTATTAGTTTATGCTAACTTAATTCACAGATTTCCAAATGTGGAATGGCTTCTCGAAGCATTTTAATAGCTCACCTGAGCAAAAGGCACAAGTGAGCTTTTGTGATCCAAATTTGTCCATTATCTGTTGTTTTTGTTGTCACAAACTTTTCTCCAGAACTACTGGGTCATTTTCTACTAAACTTGCCTCAAAGCTTCCTTGGGTGAATATTTTTTAAATTTCTTTATTTGAAGGTCCATGTCATCTTTCAAGGGGAGATCATTAAGAATTAGTGGAAATTTAATGGCATCTTTTAAAAATATTCTTCTCAATAATCACTCGTCAAGACAAGATTAAACGTATTTAAAAAATTCATTACATAGTGTAGATTCAAATTTGTTAAAATCTTGACCCCCAGGGTAGGATGGGGCCACAATAGGGGATTAAAGTTTAACATAGGAATATGGTGGAATTAAAAAAAAAATCTCAAGAACAGTAAGGCCATGATAAGTCATATTCACATGGAAACATCCTCAGGTAACAGTAAGGCCATGATAAGTCATATTCACATGGAAAGGTAGATTCAAGTTTGTTAAAATCATAATCCCTGCGGTAGGGTTGAGCTACAATATAGGATCAAAATTTAACATAGGAATATATTGGGGGGGGGGGGGGGGGGCTTATGTTAATGGAGAAGAGCAGGGTCTTAGTTACTCAGGTGAGCGATTTTGTCCATGTGCCTCATTTCAAACTGTGACATAATGCATTCAACTGTTGAGGTGGTAAAACAATGCATTTCACGCCATTTCTGTAAAGTGCTACATGTATTTTTTTTTTTCATTTTGAGAAAGTTGTATATGTTTTTGTTAAATCTGTTGTTATTGTTGATGACTGTAAATATTTCTGGTTTTCTGTTTATACAGGCCAAATCACCTCTGTCTGTGATCTTATATTAATTATGTGGAACATATTTACCATAAGCATTTTGTAAAAATACAGTGTATGTAATGATGCAGAAATTTTAGAGAGAGGGTAGAAGACTTCTACGTGAAGTGTGTAAGATAAGAACGATATATGTTTTTGAGGTATGGTTGTTTAAAATGCATGATATTTTGGAGAACATAGAGATATTTATGAATGATACTAATAGTTAGATTTAAGTACAAGGTATTGCATTATAAAATTCCCTTTGGTGCATTCAGTTAATTTGTACAGTATGTATTGTGACTATGTGTTGAATTTGGATGATGACAGCTACTCAGTTTTAGTGAAGATACAGCTTGTACACATTATATATATAGGTACAGAATGTGATGTTTTCGAGAAATACTGAATGGTAAAGGTTTACTCCATTTGAGTATATGTATTCTGACTTCAGAAGTAAGAGAAATGATGCAGAATTTTTTTTTTTCATTTGGGTTTGTTTTTCATTTGCAATTTCATTTTGTGTAACAAAATCTAGCTGAATTTCTGTTAGATTTTAACACGGATAAAAACTTACTGTAATTCAGAGTTGGAAACTCCTGAGGAGCATCATAGATAATAAAGATTTAAAAAAATGTTTTCTTTCAACAAAAGCTATACTTAATTGTCTGATATTGGAAAGTCTAATATAAACAAAAACATGCCTCTACATTTATATTAACTGTGTATAATAATGTCAGATTCATTCATCATAGAATACTGTATGTGTACTTAAAAAAGCGGGCTTCATATTTTAGTGGCTTTGGTGCAGACAGCGATGCGCTAATTCATAAATACCACTAAGAAATCAATTATATATATACAAAACATGGCATGGAAATGTGAAGCGCTAATTTATGATTATGCCAACAACTACATGCCCAGTGATTGTGCTAAATTTTGAATACGCCAATTTATGTACACATACAGTATGTATAAAGATCTACAAGAATTTGTAAACCATTACTGTATTATAAATTGGATAGTCATATAGGAATCTACAAACACCATTTGTAAAAGGGGGGTAATTTTATTCATTTCTAGCTGTTAAATTACATATATACTATAAATATTTGAAAATTAATCCAAAAATAAAAGTAATCAATATTGATGACTTGTGTTTGAATACTTTGAACATCAAGAAGTTCAAGTTTGTCAGAGTATGGTTTACGTGTATTTGACAAACATGATAAATTGCAAGTGAATTCTCTAAGCTCTGAAGTAAGAGACAATCATAATTTTGAAACTAAATTTTTATACATAATGTTTATAGTGTAAGTGGTTTGTGGATCTCTAAACTGGACACAGACCTAAGTGTGTATTGGTATTGGGGGGGGGGGGGGATATGTTGTTTCAGACAAAGATTTGAACCTGGATCCCCTGAACACTGGACAGGTGCTGAGCTAAGATTTTAAGAACAAAGCTCTCTGACCAACCACTGCCACCGAACCTGTCTGACCATCACATTCCTGCCTCCTGAAGTACATTTGCTTCGGAAGACGATCCATATTCATCTGGGTGATGGGACTTTCTCGTCTACTTCCAAGGGTTGGCATGGCACCGAATATAACGGGGAGAACATGAGGGAACAACTTAAGTGAAATTCAGTTTATACCATTTCAGAATTCTGCGCAGAATTTCAGTCACTGACTATTAATTTCCAAAGCAGTTGGTATTACTTTCCACTTTTATCATAAACCTATGGTTATTATATGATATGAAAAGCATAGGAAATCTTATGCTTCTGGTATCAAACATAATGCTGTATGAATGATCAATTTTCAAGCAAATATTAAATCGATCGCCACAGTGTTGATAGATTGATAAATGTTTCAAACAGGAGTAAATGGCAGAGAAGAAGTAGGAATATTTATTTTGCATTTATCAAATTGTAGTTTTAGCAAGTGAGTTAAATATTAACAATACAGAGTTGCTGACCAACTCTTACATTAATATTTCTGTAACAATGAAATTATAACAAAATGAAAATGTTCTCAATGGATTATTTAAAAAAAAAAACCCAAAACTTTTCCCACATGGTTTTGTCAAAACACTTGGTTGGGCGAACTTAGAATTTGAATGTGGATGATTCTTATTATTTATGGATATAAAATTGCAGACTTTACGCCCTTTTTGACACATGTACATGTATATTTTTTCACTATAATCCATTGATAGTTTCACAAAAGGCTTTCCTGTCACTCCTAAGGCCCTAAAGGTGTTCTTGTACATCTTGCTTATACAGCTTTACATGTATTTGTCCAATAATCTACATTCAAATGTTCACTTGACAAACAATATGAATGAGACTGGAAATATTGAATTATACAATGCTGAGCACTATACATTAAAATATTCATATGCATTCCCTCCTAATCATGGCACAACAAAGAGAATTTAATGCAGTAATGCTTATATTTGTAGTGTGTATTGATGTGTTCAGTAAAATAGATATGTTCAATAAAATACACGTACAAAGTTTAGGTGAAGGTAACTCTGTTTGGAGTAATTTAAGATTCACTCAGGCAAAGTTTAAGTTCATTTAACTCTGCCCAATCATGTTATTTAATTGCTCAGACTATAAAATTCTTGAAATTTCCATTTATATTGTAACACCATGAAACTTGTAAAATATTCCGCGTTGTTGAAATAAGACTGTACGTAATTCAGTTTTTATTGATTCCCATCTTTGTTGCAAAAAACAAACCATCCCCTTGTGTTGCTTGCTGAAAGAAAAGATAAAACAGAGATTATTGTCATATAGACTTTATAGTATACATGTATAGAGAACATTCAGGACTCTACAATGTACTTATATCAATAATTATATAATCTTGAAGTTTTGAACTTTGACCATAGATTTCCTCAAAGCATGCTCCAAATACACATGCATGTAGTACATGTATAAACTAGCTAAGTTACTAATTGAATGGGTAATTGCATCCCAATGTTCATGCCAAAAATCTTGACCTTGAACGTAATGACCCCCTCCCTCCCCATCCAAATATGTAGGTATATGTACATGCATCTTTTCCAAATTACATGTTTTATGCATCAAAGTATAAATGTAACATGGTCATAATTAGCATTACCTTTGCAATAAAGCAACCATTGTATACTCTTCTCTACTAACATTTTCTGGATAACAATGAAATGACGAGTCTTAGTGTGTATGTCACTTGCCATAAAAATTCAGGGGCACTGATATCTCACCTTGTTAATTTGCTTGTGTCGCTCCTTACTCACAATTTCCTCCAAAATCTCCCCATCACCTTTGACTAACCTAAAATTGTTTAAAGATAAAAATTTTCTACTAAATTAATAATAATAATAATAATAACTAGACGAGCTTGTTGCAAAGCAACAAATAAGTCTTCCATCTAAATTTTAAGGAGATGAGATCGAGTTCGGGAGACATCTACGGTCATATGAGCAAGAATGAGCCATTTACCATTACTTCCGGTGTGACCGGAAGTGACGTCATTTTGACGACTTTTGATGATCTCCTTAGCTGCTACTTGTCGTTTTGAACAACTTAGCTTCTATGATGCTATACAAATTCTCAATACTTTTTGAGATATCAGGAATACACTTTTGGCCCCTCTAGCTCCCTGATTTTAGGGGCCAGCCCCTTATTGTTGATATCTTTTGAAAGATCATATCATTCTACACAACTTTTGCTCTATATGTTTTAACAAAATATTTACAGGTAAAAAGATATTGTAGAAAAAGTGTTAGAAATTTTAAAAATCCCGATAGGACTTTTTTCGGGCCATAGCGAACGACGAAGTACGGCACTTCCGGGGAAAAAGAAATGCGTATGTCACATCTACACATAATGCTCTATCATCGCTGAAAAATTTCATGCTTCTACCATGAAGCCCTTTTGGGGAAACTGACGGACAAAGTGACCCTCCGAAAATCACTAAATCGCGGAAAGCTCGGAACCGGAAGTGACGTCATCAAAACAAAAAAATATACATCTAGATTTTTTAATGTTCTATCAGACCTGTAAGTTTCATGAAAATCGAGCGAGCCGTTTCCGAGAACTCGCGTGCACAAAATCGGTAAGAAAAAAAACAATAATAATAATAACAAAAAATAGTGGAAAAGAAACCTAAGAAAAACAAGAAGGTCTTCCGCTGAAGACGGAAGACCTTAATAATAATAATTTTTTAAAAACCCATAAAAATATACTGGGACTATAGTGTATTACATCAAATCTTGCTCTTTGGCTTATTATACCAAGCTTTATTTTCTCTAATCCAAATGAATACATTCTCAAGTTGAAAAAATAATTCAATTCAAAAGCCAAAACACTGTAATTTGTATTCTCACATTTTTCAAATACATGTGTTAATATATCACACTTATATTTTTACTTTTGCAAAGGGAAGAGCTACTGCATATGTCTTTTTTGCATTAATTTTATTGATTTCTTTTTCTTTTGATGAAGAAGTAAATAAATAACTGCATTCAATTTTTCTGACATCTCATTTTACACTCAGAATTTATTTAAAACTCAGATGCTCTTTATTAGAATTCTTTCTTTAATTTATTTTCCTCCTTTTTTTTTTTTTGGTTTTACAAGTACTATGCAATTCATCTGTTACCAATTATTAGCAATAAAAATGAATGTCATATAATAACCTGTGAAAACTAGGTGTTCTTGCTAGTCTTTCCTACCTGTTTACCTTTTTATTATAAACAGATAAACAGCAGTGAAATGAATGTCATGCTATAAATTGAGATTTTAATGATCATCTAATTTACCCGATAGGCATTACTAGCAATCGTCTTTGCAATGCTATAATTAGATGTCACTAATACATGTAATTCAGTTCCATATTATCGTTGAAGTAAATGAAGAGAACAATCCCTAAAAATGCTAAAGGTTTAAAATAAATGAAAATTTTTAGGATAAAACTGCTAATTCTTCCAGTCTCTAAAATAACAGTATTATACAGTATAATTGCCTGTGAAAACTAACTGTTCTTATTATAGGTCATTCCAGACCTGTTTTACCTATTGCGTCCAGTTTCGGGGTCATATACCCTCCTCACGACACTTTGCTGTTTCTCCCATTCTTCCTTTGTCATGGGTTTCATCATGCGAGGAGATGGACCACTACTACTACTGCTAGCTAAACATAAAGAGATTTTATTAAATGAGGTCATGAGTAGATTAAAGCACATGATGCATTTTAAAAATAAGTAACATCTGATTTTTTTCAGACCTACATTTGAAATACTTAACTTCAGGAACACCGAGTTCAAACCTGGTATATGTACCGGTACCACCAGAATTTGAAGGTCACCATACATACATGTGTGTTTTTCAGGCTAAGAAACTTTTCACTTTATCATAAACCATTTTGGACACTTGCCTGTAGGTTTTGGGACAGAGTTCTTGTCAATGATACATGTATTTTTATTCATTGTAGATGGAAGGTCAGCTCTCTCCTTTGATTTGCTTTTCTTCAATTTTTTCTTTGATTTCTTCTTTTTATGCTTTTTGTGGTCTTTCTTTTTCTTCTTTCTTCTAACAGGAGATGGCGATGAAGATGATGATGAACTTCTAGATCTTCAGTTTAAGAAAAACTTTGAATCATATTGAAATCAGAATCTAATTTCTTTTGATAAAGATAAATATTACTTCTTTCTCAATGACAAGAGTCATGGGAAATTAAGGTTCTCAGATTCTAGATTCTCAGATCCAGATACTCAGATTCTAAAAATCTGCAGTTAAGTCACTGAAAATGCTTACACAATGCTTTTGGATTCACCAAATAAAGTGTCTTAATCTTCCACTATTCTTGTTGTGGTACATCATTATGGTTAAACATACATGTATAAGATAAAGAATATACCACAAATATGGGAAATATGAATAAGAACGACATGTCCATGTTTAATGCTCAATGAAAATTTGTCAGATTATATGTGCTGTTGAGAATGAAAAATCATAAGAATTCAGACATGTGAAAAAATGCTTTTTTTTTCATTCTGATAATAATAAATTGTGTATATATATGTAGGGTTTGGAATTCTTGCCATATATTAAATTTTATGCCCATGATAATTTTAAGCCAACAAGCATATGTGTATAAGGCAAGTATAAGGGATATCTGGTTTCTTTAAAAATGTCAATATTTAATCCTTAAATAGGGAATACTGTATGTGTACTTAAAAAAGCGGGCTTCATATTTTAGCAGCTCTGGCATAGACAACAATGCTCTAATTCATGAATACCGCTAAGAAATCATTTATAAATACAATATAATACAGCACAGACATGTTTAGAGCTAATTCAGGATTTCGCCAACAACTCAAAACCCAGTAATTGTGATAAATTTTGAATATGCCAATTTATGTACACGTACTGAATATACCCAGTATATAAACTAGCAAGATCATTCAAGGGCTTGATATAATTTTGAATTCTAATAATTCTGAAGCATGAAATGAAGATTGTCACACAAAGATTTACTCAAATGGTAATTTTGTGATGGTGTCACATAATATACGTCCAGTTATCATTTTAGTAAATATTTTCTGTGATGAAATGTATTAAGGAATCATTATTATGATTTATTATTTTTTCAATTGCAATTTGATAAAAAATAGAAGGGGAATGGGTCATTAAGTACAAGTATGTAACTATGTTTATCTGGGATATCTTTATTACATGTACACAGTATTACAAACATATATGTATAAATCTGCTCTAACAATATTAGTTTAGATCATGTTAAATTGTTTGATAACTGTAAAACCCACAAAAAGAAAGAAATGAAATGTTTAACAAATGATTAATGTTTGTAAATATTTAATATTACGTTTTAAAGGGTAGTTGGATGCCCAGAACTAATATGATCATGACTGGAAGGAAAATTATGTTGGGCAGCACCTTTGTTATAGCTCTGAACAATTATTCACAGGTACTTGTGGACAGGACCCCCCCCCCCCCCCCCCCCCGATATATGACCCTGGGCTTGTTGGAATTCTTTTTTTTTTTTTTTTTTTTTTTTTTTTTTACAATTTATACTTATTACACTTCCTTATCACATATACCATACAAAAAATTATTATGTATAGTGAGGTATTTTTTGTATGGAACGGTTATTTTGAGTTTTAACCCAATTCTTTTTGTTTATTTTGTAAAAAAAAAAAATTCCAACAAGCCCGGGGTCATATATCGGGGGGGGGGGGGGGGGGGGGGGGGTTCCTGTCCACAAGTACCTGTGGAAATATTCAGGTAATTTGCCTTCTGGACGAAACTATAAAATTACTTCCAACCATAATTATTTATGTGACAGTGGTCAGAAAGGTTTGATCACTTGTGGTCAGATAGTTCAGATGGTAAAGAACTTGTCTAGTGTTCGGTGGGGGGGGGGGGGGGGGGGGGGGAATGGGTTTGAATCCTGGTCTGATTTCAATATAACCTTTCCTATTACAATTTCACGAGTTAAAGTTTCTAACTAAGGACAGACATCCCTAAGCAACATAAGTATTTTCCAAAAATACTGTTTTCATCAAATAATTTGCTTGTAGTTAATCCCAAATGTATGATCATTTGCTCTAAAATGCCTTCACCCTTGAAGCCTTACACCCTAATTCTCGTTCACCCAGAGTCAGTTTGCTCTAAAACTCTTACGCCCGAGGTGCATTCAGCCTACTTTATGTTGAATATGTTAGTTGGTTAATTTTCAAAATTTACGTTATTGAATTTTTATGATTTTTTCTGTATGAAGACAAGTATAAATCATTACATTAATTTGTAAATAAAGTAAAGATAAACAAGAGGCCCATGGGCCACAACGCTCACCTGAGTCAATATGGCCCTGCTGTTCTTCGTCAGCAGATTTCTTCTCCTATATAATCATATAAATATGTCTAACACCCTACCCTGTGGGAGGGGGGGGGGGGGCTTGATTTGAACAAACTTGAATGTACACTACCTGAGGATGCTTCCATATCAATATGACTGATCATGGCTTTGTTGTTCTTGAGATTGAAGATTTTTAAAGATATTTCCTGTATATGTTCTTTTGTAAAACTTTGATCCCCCATTATGGCCCCACCCTACTACTTGAGGATGCCTTGAACAAGCTTGAATCTACAATATTTGAAGATGATTCCATATCAATATGACTAATTGTGACTCTGTTGTTCTTGAGAAGATTTTTTTCTATATACTCCTATATAAAACTTTAATCCCTCATTGTGGCCCCACCCTACCCCCAGGGGTCATGATTTGAACAAACTTGAATCTACACTACCTGAGGATGATTCCATATCAATATGACTAATTGTGGCTTTGTTGTTCTTGAGAAGATTTTTAAAGAATTTTCCAATATTTTAGTATGTAAAACTTTGATCCCCCATTGTAGCCCCACCCTACGCCTGGGGGTCATGATTTGAACAAATTTGAATCTACACTACTTGAAGATGATTCCATATCAATATGACTAATTGTGGCTCTGTTGTTCTTGAGAAGAAGATTTTTAAAAATTTTCCCTATATATTCCTATGTAAAACTTTGATCCCCCATTGTGGCCCCACCCTACCCCCGGGGGTCATGATTTGAACAAACTCAAATCTACACTACCTGAGGATGATTCCATATCAATATGACTAATTGTGGTTTTGTTGTTCTTGAGAAGAAGATTTTAAAAGAATTTTCCTGAATATTCCTATGTAAAACTTTGATCCCCCATTGTAGCCCCACCCTACCCCCGGGGGTCATGATTTGAACAAATTTGAATCATCACAACCTGAGGATGATTCCATATCAATATGACTAATTGTGACTCTGTTGTTCTTGAGAAGAAGATTTTTAAAGATTTTCCCTATATATTCCTATGTAAAACTTTGATCCCCCACTGTGGCCCCAACCTATCCCCGGGGGTATTGATTTGAACAAACTTGAATCTACACTACCTGAGGATGATTCCATATCAATATGACTAATTGTGGCTTTGTTGTTCTTGAGAAGAAGATTTTTAAAGATTTTCCCTATATATTCCTATGTAAAACTTTGATCCCCCATTGTGGCCCCACCCTACCCCCGGGGGTCATGATTTGAACAAACTTGAATCTACACTATGTAATGAAGGTGTCTGATAAGTATAAACTTTTCTGGCTTAATGGTTCTTGAGAAGAAGATTTTTAAAAGATGACACCAAATTTTCACCAATTCTGAATTATCTCCCCTTGGAAGTGGGCGTGGCCCTTCATTTGAACAAACGTGAACCCCCTTCACCCAAGGATTCTTTGTGGCAAGTTTGGTTGAAATTGGCCCAGTGGTTCTGGAGAAGAAGTTGAAAATGTGAAAAGTTTACAGATGGTCGGACAGACAGACAGACGGACTACAGACAAAATGTGATCAGAAAAGCTCACTTGAGCTTTCAGCTCAGGTGAGCTAAAAAAAATGCATGCATGCATTAGACAAAAGAAAATGTATGCATGCATAAAATGAATAATTTCAATAGATCAAAATGATTTTTAACTGTAGTAATATACTCATTAATTTATAAGTAACGTTATAAACATTGGAATAAAAGATTCTTCAAAGATAAACCAACATAATAATTACAAAATTAAAATTAACAACAATTAAACCAATTTCATCTACGATAAAATTAAAAAGTCGAGAATGGTCAACTTGACTTTAAACGCAACAGAAAATTTACAATAGGCAAACTAGTTAGAATAATCTGACTGTGTCTCGGGTCAAGCCCTCACCACAAAAACCGGGTCCGTAGGACAATATCATTTTAACGATAGAACGTACTATCTACAATTACCAGAGACCCTCCACTTTCCCAAAAAAAAAAAATAATAATAAAAATAAATAAATAAAAAAGACCGTAAACATGTGTACACCTTTTATGCTTCGTTTTTCTTTTACTTTTCTTGTGTTTTCTAGACCGGTCATCAGTGTCTGAGGAAGAGGAATCACTAGAACTAATGTCACTGTCACTTTCCTCAGAAGAAGAACTGCTACTTTCGTATCTTTTCTTTGATTTCTTTCGCTTTCTCTGATTCTTTATCATAGAAGATGCCGATGTAGACCTTTCTTTCAAACGACAGGATTCCATATTCAATTCAAAACGAAAAAACACGATTAAGAAATGTTGTTTTCATAAAACTGATCAACTTCATGGGCGCTGACATATTGGTTTGTAAATATTTAGGAACAAATACTTTTTTGCATGAAACGGAATATATTGGGAGTAAGATTATAGGAAATTAAAATATAAAATATTGTTTACCTTATCGCGCTATGAAATAAAATTGATATTAAAAAATGTTATTCTATTTTCATAAAGTCTTGATTTAAAAAAAAATCTTTATACGTTTTTCAAAAAATCCCCCTGACAGCGGAAGTGAACACGAAGCGCGTCAAAATGGAGGACTAGGTTACCAAAAACAGAAATTTACCGCGAAAATGACAGCAGTTAGCACAGAAAATGCATTCTCCGCATTTGAAAAACAACTCAGAACTTTATGTTTAAGAGAATTTCCATGTGGAACGGGTTCATGGGTACTCTTTCTTATGCTTTTATGCGAAATATAAAGAACATTTTCTTCATCAACACCTACATGCACATGTATATACCGTACTAACACCAGAAGATGTTACGAGAGGCATAATTTTCTTTATACATTGTCAAACACTGGATGATGATATTTTATTTCAATATCTAAGGTTATTGTGTGTAGAGAATTGCCAGTTGTAAAGAGATGCTGATAGTATCCAATAAAACACATTTTTGCCATCCTTATCAGTTTTATGTATAGGGCCAAAACTTGTTTCCACCACTTGTGATTCACTAAAGTAATTGTCTTCATGAAAAGATTTTTACTGTTCTTTTTCTGAAAAAAGTTTTGTCTTCAAATTGTGAATGCAAATGTCACCTTAATGATTTATGTATTTTGAGACAGAAAAAAAGTGCATTCCCTTAAATTTTCTATATATCCAAGAATGACTTTAGGTAAATAAGAAAAAAAATTGTAAATTATGTTAATCCTGGTAAAGAAAATATGTTATTTAAGATTTTTTTTTTTCAGAGAGAAACTAAAACAAAAAATCTTCAGCTTCTTAAATCAAAAGACAATGTGGATAGCCGCTTTTCTGTGACATTAAAAGGTATCATTGATTGACCTTGAAGAAAATTTACTATTTAATTTATTTAGAGTTTTTTAGTTTGCTGGTTTTGGAGTCTTTTAAGTGAATAGAGATTAAAAAAAGAATTTTAATCACGAAAAAAGAGAGCTATACCAAGTTACCTGTTGAACATACATTATAAACAGGCATCTGTTTGTCAATGTTTTATTTTAAACTTTTTTTGTATTTAGATTTTGGTGCTAGTCATGAGAAGACAGAACAATTAGAAGAATATGTAACTTCAAAATACTCTCCATGGCATTTGGATTATAGTTGGAGCAAAGAAGCTAGGAAACTCCGGGAATTAGCAGTGAAATCCCCATGGCTTATAGATGACAATTTTATTCTCAGCTTTTTCAAAACACTTAGAATATGTGATAAAAATGTAAGTATCAGGTAGATTGACATCATGATTTTTTTTTGAGTATCATATTTATTTTTAATTTTTTTATGTTTAATGATCTAGCATGTGTTTTTTATATTTAATACTGCAATAAAGCATACTTGTGATAAAAAGTTATTACTATTCAATGGAAAATTTACCAGTCTGATTAAATTCAGGTGTTCTGATATGCTACCACTTACAACAGCTGATTTAATCAGATTGAAATACATATTGAATGCTGCATTGTATGTAATAGAGTTTTGTTGACAGAAAACATAATGCTTGACTAGAATTAGTTGTTCGTATCATTGCTTAAATCCTGTTGTTTTTTTTTTTCATTTTCAAGGTAACAGAAGTGGATGGAAATCTATTGAAATTCAAGGATTTGGAGGAATTGACACTAAGTGCTAACAAAATCATTACAGTCAACTCAAAAAACCTACCACCATCTCTTAAGGTATGTTGATTATCATGCATTACTTTAATTAAGACAGGTTAAAGTGTATGAAAAAGCACACACTATAACATATTATTTTGTTTTCATAAAATCAGAAGCTTAGTAATCTTTGATAAAAGCCAAGCTAAAGTGTAAATATGAAGCAAATTTCAATGGAATAAAGCCCTTAAAAAAACTTTCACCACAAGCATCTTAAAACTTTTATTTTAGGAATTCTGAACTTTGCATTTTCTGTATGAGAAGTATAGATCTGCACATGCTCATTAAAAAAAGATAGAAAAAAAAAAATTTCACCATTTGATATGAAGAAAATGTGAATTTCAAAATGCATGTTTGCTTCTAACTTTTTCACTGCCATTTCTTGCAGGTTTTGGAATTGTGTGCCAATCATATCAGTGATATATCTGCATTATGTGTCCGCCCTCCTCCCTTAATTCATTTAGGATTAGGATCCAACAAGATCTCCTTCATAGGGGATTACCTGACTGGTGATTATTGGTAGGAAGATACACGTAGTTATGTTTATGATATATAATGAACTGTACATTCATTGGAATTTCTTTGTTTTTGAAAAGGAAAGGAAATTTAGTCTCTTTGATGTTTGTTGTAAAAATTATGGAAATTTTTAAGATGTTTTGCAAATTTGATAAAATAATGTTTACTTCAGGAAAATGAATAATTGCTGTATGGATAACTTTTTTCCAGGCCCAACCTACTGTCTTTAGATTTAAGCCATAATAATTTAAGTGATCTCCTGGATGTAATTAGAAAACTTGGATCCTTGCCAAAGTTACGGAACCTTATTCTCCAAGGAAACCCCTTATCAGTGTGTATAAAGTGACATCAATTAATATTTTCAGATAGTCTGTTTGTTAAAGACAGTTTCTATATGTGAACACAGGCATTAAGGCATTGTAAGATTAAAAAATATTCAATTCTATGTCAGTCTATTTTTATAAAAGGTGATACTTACCAGGTGAATTGCCTGCATACATGGATATTATAAATAACATGGAACTATATTTAGTAGAAATTTATGACTCAGGTGTAATGTCTGATTTAAAGAATTATGATATTATGATTGGTACAGTTGATTCCTGGGTATCGTGGTTATACTATAGACAGTTTACGGAAACTAAGTATTCTTGATGACATCATGATATCTGCAGACGAAAAACATCATTACAAAGGTCTAGCCAGAAGGAGAGGTAAAAAGTCAGACTTGTCTAAAACATTTTTTATTATTTACACAAGATATTATGATTTCTCTTTAAGACTCCTTTGAAAAAAATTGTATGTTCACATCCTGATGAACTACAACCCATGGGAATAACTGTAATAATTGCAGTCATGCAAATGAGGAAATATATGTAAACCCAAGACTTTTATCAATTTCTTTGTTTGAATGATATAAATGACTAGTTGGAATGTAAAGATAATGAATGTATTTCAGTTTTGAAAGTTCATGAAGATATGGCCTGATACTTACTAGGAAGCATTTAGATGACAAGAGATTAATATTAAGAGTGTTTTAAAATGCTTGTGCTCTGTTCTTATATATTATAACCGTGTTTATTGTAATCCTTGACATACAGTCCTAATTTACTCATGTATTCCTTTCAAATTTTGTAGAATACGTCTTAGATGAAGCTAAAGTGTCATTAGAAGTCACATACATCAAGGGTGTGCCAATGCCAGAGGAATTGAAGGTTAAGATTTTATATATTTAAAGCTTTTTTGGCTGCTTATGAATTCTTTCATAGAATTTCAGTCAGTTTAGCATTTGGTAACTGTGTTCATGCACACATATATTGTAAGTTTCTAACCCTACCTACAAATTTACAGATTTTTTTTTTATTTTCCTTTTAGTTGTTCTGATATACAAGGACTTATTTATTACACAAACACACCATGCAGATATGTTCATAAAAATCAAAGTTATAGAAGTTTACTTCTTATTTTATGTTACATATATTGCCTTGTTTGAATCTTAATTTCTTGCAAAAACTGTAGTAGTAATTTATTTTTCAACACTAGAATCCTGAGGATCAACCAGAATTCCCCAAAATAGAGAGGAAATATTTTGTCCAATTCATGTTTCCTCAAGATATGTCCCAAAAAGCAGAAATCTTCCAAATCACAGATAACGACCTAGCTGGCCTGTCTCCCATGCCAATGTCCGAGAGGTCACAGTTCACACCACAACCAGTAAGTGCAAATACCATGAAACTTGTTTAATCCAGATGTTTTGATTTCCCAAATCTTGCCTAATACGATCTAAACTTTAAGTCCCTTTCATTTAATTCAATTGTTTAAAATGGTGTCTAATCCAGAATGTTGTCTAATCTGGCCAATTTCTTTGGAACCAGTGGTGTCCAGATTAGACAAGTTTTACTGTAGATAGAAATCACAATCACCAGCACAGTCAAGCCTGTTAATCTAGATGCTTGTGTTTCTGGATTAATGAAGCATCTGAATCACTGAAACATACTTGGTGTATCTACATATAAACTGTTCCCAACAATTTTCATCTGGAAGATTCCGAATTATTGGCATCTGGATTAATGAGGTTCCACAGTATAAGATTTTCTAATTACCTCAATTATTTTTACCAGAGATATACATATACATAGTTTAACCTAAAGACATTCATGTGTAACATGCCCGAATTTATGCCATTTTTACCATGTACCATAACAAATTCTTTGAGTGTAAATAATTCTTTACAGTTACATGTATGGTGGTTTGCTCCATAGTAAGACTTGAGAACACGTGAAATCTTTCTGAATACATTCATAACTGTAAAATTTGTGTCTATGTTAATATATGTAATATGTTAAGCAGAAGAAAAGAGTCCACTTTAAGGTATGTTCAGTGTTAACTGGTGATGAGATATTTCTTGCCCATCATTTAGCTTTTGTTTTTAATTCTGTTAAAAATGCTCAGGATTACTGCACAAGGTTTTTACAATGTTTTTCGTGGTTGCAATTCGGTTTTAATGTTAAGTTTCACTGGATTAGCCTGGTATTTTTTTTACTTTATTTATTGTTCTTAAATGCACACATGTGGGACTTTTGGTAAGAAATCTTGCCATTTTTGACACAAAAGACATCCAATCATCAAAGCCTTCTTCAGTCTTCTTAAGTTCCTGTTCATGCTTACATTGTATAAATGTAAGTAATTCATCCTGTTAATAATGTCAAAAAATATGAAAGATTTTCCCCAATTTTGCATGCTCAAGAACATATGCTACATTGCTTAAATTTTAAGAAGTCCGTCATATTTTGGGGATGATGTCAAGTTTAAAAAAGCAGACATCTCAGCTTTGTTCATGTGTCACAATTTTGGTAAATAAAAAAATTCTCCAAATAAATATAAAATAAACTGCAGATTTTAAAATAATCATAGAATATCTATATATGTACACAATTTGTCTGATAATTCCATTATAATTGTAGACTAGTCCAATACCTGAAGAGCAGGAGATACGCTCATACTCACAACAGAGCCAAAACACAGAGGCTGTAAAAAATGTCAACTTCACTGCTCAACCAGAGGTCGTGTCAGCAAGAGAACCAACAGGTAAAATTACGATTAAATTCAGTCCATTACTGGGTATATAAAAACTATTCAGGCGATAAAATAATAAAATCAATACTATTAACAAATCCTCTAGTTTCTATAATTTTAAATGCTTATAATTAATCTTTTAGTTATAAACTTTACAAATACGCAAAACAGAAAATGTTATTTTTTAAAAAAAAAAAAGGGAAGTTAACGAAAATATGAATTGCATGGAGGTTTACCAGCAATTTAATTTACCGATTGTTCTGTTTGCTGTTTGTCCAACAATATTACTCACTTCTTATCCTTTCTGTGCCCTGGATGATGCATGCAGCTGTTCTGTCCATCATTTGCTCAAATTTTAAGATTATAATGTTTGAAAATATAATTTAGAACATTTTATCAATTAAATAATGTAGAAAGGAGTTGGTCATCAAAATAATCATATTGTTTTTCACAAATCTATATATGTGTTTTTAAATTCTATCGATTCTTGAATATGATTTCCACGACAGCTGAACATGAGCGACCTCCAGATGAGATCCCCTTCTCTGTGACCCCCAAACAAAGTGAGGCCATGGATCAAGAGGAGGAGGAGGAAACTAAAACACAAATTCAGGTGGAGGCCATTAAGTCTGAGGGAGGGCTCTGGGCAGAGGAGATTGAGCTTAACTGGTCCCAGGTGGCTGTCAGAGATGAACTTCTGACCCTGAGAAACTTTTTCAAACAAGGAATGGATTTTTCTGTGGTTGAGGAATTGGTAAAAAAAAAAAAATTTCATAATTTAATAAATTATTATTTCAAACATTTTTGTACTTCACACACACATTATGAAAAAAATCTGTTAAAAAATAGTGCACCATATAAAATAAATTATTTTTGTTTAAAAATTATTTGACATTTAAGAAAGGGAATTGAAGTACAAATAACATGGTAATTGATTTTCACAGGCTTTGTAAAAACTGTTTGTAGATATATATACAATGTAAATATTTTCTTAACTTTCTTTCTTTTTTAACTTTTTTTTTTTTTGGGGCATTATAATTTCTATCAGTTTGAGTTCACACTTTTCACTAATTATATTTTAGTATACCGGTATATATCATTAGATATTTATTTTCCTTTTAGCAGTGAAATCAAGTACTTTTCTTGTTATACTTTTCATTCATGTAAAAATTCTCTCATCATAGAAATTCCCAGTCAGTATCATCATCACCTATACAAACCAGTGTTTGCTTAGCTTTTGTACATAAATTACGTTTACGGTAAATCTGGCTAATTTTAGACCAATATGGTGCCCTTATCTCCCGAGCATTCTGAGAATGGGTCTGTGCATCACCCTGCCAATGACAAGAAGGTTGTTAGTTAGCCAACTATTATCTGGTGAACCATGAGTTGTTTGTGGTGACTTTGTAGTAGTTTATATTGTAGAACAAAGGATGAAACTGCCATTCAGTCTGTTGAATGTGCACTGAAAGGTCTGGAAAGGTGGGTGCAGTGTTTTCCCTAAGAATTGCTACCGGCCAAATTGACCATTTCCGTTGATAAAAATGCCGCTTAGAAATCAAAAATATAAAAATTAGTTGTTGTAAAGTCTTAGGAGATTTTGTTCATAAACTTCTACTCCTAGGCTGTTACAATTGATCTCCAAACCTTTATGTAACAGAGACATTTATGTGCCTCTGCTGAGAATTGAACCCGGGGCCTCTGGCTTGCCAGTCCAGTGCTCTACCAATTGAGCTAAAGGGTTAACCCACTAGCCCAAGGTAATAGGAAGCCATGTACCACACTCTATCACGTCCCCCTCCAGAGAATGAGATGTCCTCATCTCTTCTGGAGTGCCGACGCCTGTAGGGTGAAGTTCTGGGGGCAATCACTCTCACCTGCCAGAAAATACCCAGGTCCCAACGTGGGCGCCAAATGTAACAGAGACATTTATGTGCCTCTGCTGGGGATTGAACCCGGGGCCTCTGGCTTGCCAGTCCAGTGCTCTACCAATTGAGCTAAAGGGTAAACCACTAGCCCAAGCTAGTACCACACTCTATCACATTTATTTGAAACAAAGGGAAAATGCTGTGGGTGAATGGCAGAGCTCTGCCATTTAGTCACCTTTTAGTAAACTTAAAGCCACCTTTCAGTTAACTAAATGGCATAGTTTCATCCTGTGGAACATTTTGTAATCACTCAAAAGCATAATATTAAACCGAAGCTCTGAAAAAATGGACTTTAGTTGACACAAGAATAACATTTTTGTTTTTGTTTATTGAAGAAAATGGCAGGGGGTATTTATTTTCTTCTAAAATGGCAGTTATACTGTGTCTTTCTGAACAATGACCTTAGTTTTCTCATAAAAGTCCTTGTTTTCAGAGCTTTATGTTATGCGCTTCAAATAAACTAAATCTAAGGAATGGCCTTGGAAGAGTTTTTGATGTGATACAGTAAAGCCTTGTTTAATCTGGATACTTGAGTTTCCAAGCAAATTGTCCAGATTAATAGGAAATCCATATTACTGAACATAATTGATAGATGTACCTGTGAATGTGAATTCTGTTCCCCACAATTTTCATCCTGAAGCTGATGTGTCCAGATTAGGGAGGCTCAACTGTATACCAGTATATACAAGGTGCTGCTATTGACAACAACTGTTTTAAGCCATACATGAGCAGTTTTGAATTTGTGTTTGAAAGGGGGAATATTCTGATTTGCAACAATCAAATTTAGAAACAACATCATATGAAAAAAAATCTTTAGAAACACAATTTCAGACTTCAAGTGCATGCATGCATGCCATCCGTAATAAACCATAAGTGCTGTTTGCTTCTTGACATATATATGTGCAGTTGTCCAGTGCTATATTTTTACTGCATTATGATTTTAAAAATTCTATGCTTATACTATTGCTGTTGCTGTACACCTTAAGCCACATGCCTTATCTTTGCCCTTTAGTCTCCTGCTTTTTGTGCTGTGCTGTTTTGGATGTGTGTTTGTGCTGTGTTTACATAGATGTGTGTGTTACAGGTTCTTTGCTATCAAAATGATGACCCGTCAGACCCAGGTACACCAACAGCCAAAAGCAAGGAAAAGAAAGACCCCAAAGATGCCAAAAAATCAGATAAGAAAGAAGAAAAAGGAAAAGTACGATGCTTACTTGCATGATGCCTGTTGCTTAATGGTGTTTGAGTGGTTCTTTGTATGACTATGATTTATACATGTGACCAATGGCTTTTGTTTTTAAAAATCATTTGGCTGGACTTAAAAGTCAGAGTTTAGTTGATTATTCAAAAGAAAAGTATTTCTTTCCTTTTTTCTTGAGTTTCAATTTGAAATTTATCAAAATTGTTTACTGGTAATGGAGAGAAAAATGTATTGAACTTAAATACTATAAATACAGAATTACTGATATTGACTGCACTTGCAATGATTTTTTTTTTTTTTTTTTTTTTTTTTTTTTTTTTTTTTTTGTGAAATAGTAAGTAATAATTTTTTTGAATCTCATAAATACATAATAAGTATAAACTATTTTTAATCAAAGGGAAGCAAAGAGGAAAAGAAAGATGATAAGAAAGGAGGGAAAAAAGGAAAGAAAGAGCCAGAGATGGAGTTGAAGCGAATGCCACCCACCTACACGACACTTGCCACGTGGCACATTCCACTGGTGGATTTCCTGGAGGGAGAGTATGAATTTCGATCGGTCTTCACTCAGGGTGGAGTGGAGGTGGCTTCTACAGTGAAGAGTATGGACATTAACAAAGTATGTATCAAAATGGTCTCCTTGGTCTTTGTATGCAAAAACTGTAGAATTAACCGTACTTTTTTCCACTTGGTATTAATTTACACTACGTATGCAGTCAAAAATTTTACGCGGAAATTTGTCCCAACATACATAAAGTACATTTAAGGCATAAAGTGGCAATCTAAGAAATCTACGTAATTTCTACCCATGGTTTGAACAGCTAGGAAAAAGATATGTTTACAGTAGTTTAAAGGGCAAATTTGTTGACTTTTCAATGGATAAAGTTGATATCATTAATAAATTGAAGGAAAACTTTTAACTTTCATTGGGTTTAGTAACAAACTAGCAATTCAATATTCTAATATACTTTATTTAGTAGTACATGAAGAAACTTAATTCAACTACATTTTAGAAATTTGAAATTGATTGAAAATGAATTTAGATAACAAAAATGCCAAAAATAAACACATATTTACTGAAAATGTCTATAATTTCCTTCTCTGCATTTTCTTTTAGAAAGACAAGGACAAGAAAAAACCTGGATCCTCCAAACCAAAGAAAGATGATAAAGGAGGAAAAGGTCTGTATTAGTGTGAAGGATAAAAGAGTCTGCCATTTTTTCTTGCATGTGCATTTTTTTTTCTCGAGTTATTGGACTTTGACATTATTTATTCATGTTGTCATTTCACATTGCAGGCACCCCAGGTAATTCATTGTACTTTGTATATATGTACCAAATACTCCATATAATTTTTAATCAGCTCATATGCTAAAAAGAAAACTCTCATTTTATAATATCTATAACCCATATATTACTATAATACCTGTTAATGGGATGAAAATCCCCTGCATATTTTTTACTCCCCAAAATCTAACACTAATCTTTCATACGATGGGTAGCAGTCAAACTCCGTCATTTTTATATTCATTCCAGCATTGTTTAAAATCTTGGGAAATATTTCATTTTGCTTAAATTAATTTGGGCAAGAGTTTTTTTTTTTTTTGTTATATAAAATAAGAAAAAGAGTGTGAATGCTTAATTGCAGGTTATTGGGACCTCAAAAAACAAACTATCATGAGTTTAATATTAATTAAGTTAATTAATGCATACTATTTCACAAAAATTTTCCTCCTCACTTAAAGTCAGATTTTTTATTCCTGTTGTTATATCACTGAATAAATGCACAATATACATCTCTGATACACCAGTGTTTAATATGCATGTTGTAAAATCAATGTATGCAATGTGTATTGTCCCGATGGGATCCCTGTAATAATAACTTATTCCTTCTGTCAACAATTGTATGTCATGTGATGCAAATTATGTATATTTCAACATAATGATTTTGTATTCATACTTAAGTGGAAAGTAACCAAAAGAAATCACCTATAGATTCTTAGCTCAATCGGTCCAAGGTCAGCATACCAAAAAAAAAAACCTTTCAAAAACTAAATGTGAAATTTGTATTCCAACCTTGCATCTTCCTTCTCATTTAACATGTAGGTGTGGAATGGTTAAATACAAGAACGTCTAAATATAAAGATTTTTTGTTTTAGGTATAAAGATAATAGACCCTGAGTGACTTTTTCAGTTTTTCTAGGTTTTATTTTTTTCCATGAATTTCAATACACGTTTGTCTATTGCATACTGTACATATAATGAAAAATACATTGTAAATGAGAGTGCAAAACTAGAGCTTTATGTACCTGTACTGCATGTGAAGGGAATTGGCATTGTAGTTTATTTCAGAGTACATAGTTTAAACATTTGCAGGACTGCAGGAGCTTGTTTAGTGCCACAACACACAGATATCTACTGCAGACAAAAATTGTGGGGATAATATATAACAATTTTAATATCCAACTTTTGCCTGTCACAGTTCTACTCAATAAGACTATTTTGTTTACCTAGCATTAGAAGTGATTTTATAATATATAGAATTAATATAGAATTTTGGTAATGATGATCAAGAATCAATGCATTTTTTTAAAAAGTGCAAAAAAAAAAAAAAATTACTTACACTATCTTTAAAAAAATTGTTTGTTTGCCCTCTCCCAATTGACTGGATAAAAACTGCCCAACACAAATTTTTTTTAACCTCCAGCAAACAGTTTTTTTTTTAACCTCCAGCAAACAGTTAACACCTAAAAAAAAATTTATTCATTCCGGAATTTTCTCATCCCATCAACAACTAATTTATAATTAATTTTATAAATACCTTCAATTTTAATAGATTTTGAAAATTCAGCATTGATGTAGAAAATTTCAAGGGGAAAACTTTTCCCACCTACATACTGACCCAATTTTTAGCTCACCTCAACGAAGTTGGGGGAGCTTATGTAATACCCTCGGCGTCGGCGTCCCAGGTTAAGGTTTTTGGAGCAGTTTTCTTTTCAAGTACTTCTATGGCCTATATTAGTCAGAGATGCATGGAGGATGCTTCTAGTGTGTTTCATTGTACCAGTCAAGGTTTCAGATGCTGCAATTTCAGCTAAAGAATGACCAGGTTAATGTTTATGGAGCAGGTTAAAGTTTTTGGAGCAGGTTAAAGTTTTTGGAGCAGGTCTCATTTCCAAGTAACTATAAGCCCTATATTGACCAAACTTGCATGGATGATACATTTAAGGATGCACACTACTGAACTTGCTTCAGATGCTGAATCTGACCTATATTTTCCGGATGAGTGACCAGGTTAAAGTTTTTGGAGCAGATGTCATTTCCAAGTAACTATAAACCCTATATTGACCAAACTTGCATGGATGATACATCTTAGGATTCACACTACTGGACTTGCTTCAGATGCTGGATCTGACCTATATTTTCCGGATGAGTGACCAGATTAAAGTTTTTGGAGCAGATCTCATTTCCAAGTAACTATAAGGCCTATCTGAACCAAACTTGCATGGATGATGCATCAAGGGACGAACAATCTCAAAACTTGCTTCGGATGCTGGATTTGACTTACATTTTCTGAATGAGTGTCTAGTTTAACGTTTTCAGATAAGTCCATTCCCAAGTAACTGCAAGCCCTATCAGACCAAAATTGCATAAATGTTGCATCTAGGGATGCACACTCCTAGATTATTAGTTTAGTGTGGGACTTTGCCTTACTTAAAGACAACATTCGTTGAGGTGAGCTCTGTAATCTCTGATTACCTATGTTTTTATCCTGAGTTTTTTTTTTTCAATCACATAGTCAAGAACTACTATTGTAGTAAGTACAGTATCAAAAAATCCTTTTTGGGAGGGGATGGGGGATGTTGATTTGTACTTCAATACCTCAGTTTGAATTTGCATCTGTGATAAGTTGTAGTTTTGGACAGATTACTGTACATCATCAAATTTTTGTGACATCTTATTTTTGCAAGAGAGAGATATTGGTATCTATGAGCAAGACAAAATTTTCATGAATTCTGCTTATTATTTTATACATGCTAAATCTTTAATCATTGAAATTAAAAATATTTATCTGTTTATATGTTATTAGATATATATTTGCATATAGTGTATAAATCACAGAGAAATGTTTGTAACTAAATATAATTTTGCCTCCCTAATGTATCAAGGATTACAGAATCTTCAAATTGAAATACTTGCTTGCATGTATTCTTACATTATTTGAAAAGGGGGACAGGGTGTTAAGAGTTGGTGAAATTTGACAGTGAGAAATTATTCAGTGAAAATGATAATGCAAAATGCAGTCTTCAATCCATAGAAAATACTTTTTACAGTTGAATATTAGTATCTCTTACATTTTGGGTTTGGGTTACCCTAACCCTAACCCAAAACATGTATCTCAAATACCATGGATATATTTATATGGGTTGGGAGTCCCAAACACTTTTTATGCCCCCGTATCAAGATTTGGGGGTACATGTATAAAGTTTTTGCCCTGTCCGTCCATCTGTCTGTTTGTCTGCAAAAACTTTAACCTTGCCCATAACTTTTGATTGGTTGGAACTATGGCTTTCATATTCCACATATGTATTCCTTGTGACAAGACCTTTCTTTGGGTACCACCATATTTGACCTTTTGGCCTTGACCTTGGAGTTTGACCCAGTTTTGCAAAATTTTACCAAACTTTAACCTTGGCCATAACTTTTGAACAATTGGTGCTAGGGCTTTCATACTTCACATGTGTAATCCTTGTGACAAGACCTTCCTGTGGATACCAACAACTTCAACTTTTACCTAGGAGTTGACCTACTTTTGAAAAACTTTAACCTTGGCCATAATTTTTGAACGGTTGGTGCAAGGACTTTCATACCTCACATATGTAATCCTTGTAACAAGACCTTTCTTTGGATACCAACAACTTTGACCTTTTGACCTTGATTTTGGAGTTTGACCTACTTTTGGAAAACTTTAACCTTGGCCATAACTTTTGAACAATTGGTGCTAGGGCTTTCATATTTCACATGTGTAATCCTTGTGACAAGACCTTCCTTTGGATACCAACAACTTTGACCTTTGACCTTGGAGTTTGACCTACTTTTGAAAATTTTTAACCTTGGTCATAACTTTTGAATGATTGGTGCTTTGGCTTTCATATTTCACCTGTGTATTTCTTGGGAGAAGGCCTTTCCTTGGACTCCATTAATTTTGACCATTTGACCTTGATGTTTGACATACTTTCGGAAAAAACTTTAACCTTTTCCATATCTATTCAATGGTTGCTGCTAGGGCTTTCATATTTCACAGGTTTATTCCTCGAGACAAGACTTTACTTTGGGTACCAACATATTTGATTTGCATTTGAGAAAGTTTAAAGGACTTATTGCATGTTTCTAAATTATTTGAAATTAAAAGCGTAAAACGTTCCTTATGACCACAGTTTATAAATTTTGTGTTTTTACTGCGGATAAACTGCGGTAATTAATCAATTATTGACTCAAATGAAAACCCCTGATTTAAAAATCTAAGTTAATTAGATAGCGATCACGTGACCCTGTGACGTCAAAGGCGACAATGGCTGATCAGCTCCACGTTAATCTTACGAAAATATACGCGATACAACCTGAATTTTCTGCGTTGTGGACGACCAAATCGCGTATTTTATCCATATGAAATTGAATATCCAACCTATATGTTAGAATTTTCAGCAAGAAAAAATCTGAAAAATCTGTTAACATTGTAAAAATAGCAGCAACGACAGCGAAGAAAACGCGGCGAAGACGAAGAAACTCGCCATCAGAATACGATTTGATTTGTCATCTTATCACATGTATTTACTTATTTGATTCACAAATTTAACATTATATAACTTTGTTGTTCTTCGTTTTTAACACAATCAGTATTTATTTAATTTATGCAAGTCTTCATATGTTTTTTAAAGGATGGCGATCTTGAAAAATAATTTCTCGATCACGAAACATTGCCGTAATCAGAGCTAAATGTTTGGAATAAAAAACGAAAATATCTCACAAGCCTTATACCTTAGAACTAGTTAATGTTTCTATAGTAAATTAAAAGCACGTTAGGAATTAATTTTTTCAGCATTTTTGATAATTAAGCTGCATTTGTCGTTGATAACTCCGTAAATTGTGTGCATATTCTCATCTCTCTATCACTGAATTGTCGCCTATGACGTCAGAGCAGTATTTCGCCGAAATCGGTCTGAAATATGCATATTGCTGTATTTGAATTTCAACTCCCAATATCTATTAAAATATGCTTTCAACAACGTTTATTGTATTCAGTATTTTAATAAACAAGGTTGTAGATAATATTTTTCATAAAATTACGATTTTTGAAAGATCATGCGATAAGTCCTTTAACCTTTGCTATAAGTTGCCATACAGGGCATCAGTGTTTCACATAGGGGTGCAACGATACACTAACCTCACGATACGATACGTATCACGGTATTCAGTTCACGATACGATACGTATCACGATACATGACAAGGTTTAACAGTCTTTCAAGTTTGTCATCATATATTTTTTAAAACTTGACAGGGTTATACAAAATGTTCATATTTTTTAAAAAAAATAATTAAAATAACATTTTGTTAACTTGAATTGGATTGTTAGGTATATCTCTGAGTTGTGACAACATTCTAAACCAATGATGAACATTTACAGGGAACTACGGGAACCTTACCTAATAATCTTCCTTTTAAATTGGAATGAAAAAGGAAAATATTCATTCTTTCATTCCTTTTATTTACGTAGAAAACCAGTTGTCATATTTCTCGTGATAATACGTTTTAGTCAACAAGACAGCGAATTTTCATCGAAATACACACGTGATGAAATATCGTGTATTACCAAAGAATACGTTTATATCTAAAGGGTTTATCATTTGTCTTAACATCTATAACTTATAATCACATAAAGTCCTTCTCCGTGTTAAATCTGAGGTCTAAGATGCTGGAGAGGAGTTTTTACTGCCGTAAATGCCTTATCGGCGACCTCACGTTTTGCGAGGAAGCCATTTTGAAATAGTAAAGAAGGAAATAAAACCCACAAAACGGATAATTCTGGACCGATTGAACCGAACCGCGATATCAGTTTAACGTATCGTGAATTGAACCGTGGAAAAATATACCGCGATATACCGTTAAACGGTTTATTGTTGCACCCTTAGTTTCACAAACACATCTTGTTCTTTTATGTTTTTTTAACCTCACTATCTCTGAACCTCAGATATCCTGTAGTTCATTGTTGGCCTGATCAAGTGTGGGTTAATTAGATTTCACTGTAATTCAAAGGTCATATGCAAATTTATGAAGTTACATGGGCTCAGATAGACTCATATTCACCGTTTGGAGTAAAAATCTTCCATAGCGCTGCTTTGCAAAATTCTGTATAATTATTATACAGTGTCAAATTTTTCTTTCAGATTCTAGACGGTCCAGTGTAATTGGAAAGAAAGGCATATTTATTTCTCATATTGTTTGATATAGAATCACTGTTTAACCCTCACCTGAGTGATGTGATTTTTTCCCCCCTTCTATTTCACACAGAATATTAATGACACCCAGTTTACCGAATTTTGTTCCTATTGCTACATGTAGTTAAAATTTCTTTTTTTATTTGAGATGAAAATGCACTGCAAATCTAATATTTCTTTGCTAGTACTTTTAATTATTTTCATTTTGAGCGTTTTGATGAGAAAATGAAGTTCTCATGATAATTTTATAAACTGTCATATCTTTATTGTTCTGCTGATAAGTAAAATAAAAAAGATATATTTCACTGTGAAAACGAAACGTCTCACAGAAATAAAGTCACTCAAATTATAAACAATATGTACAGTTTAAAAATCAGCCATTTTCAATTTCAAGTTTTCAAAACTCAACAAGTGTTTACCTGAATGAGATAATTATAGTATTTTTGTACAATTTTAGAGATTGAGTTTGTTTTTAATCCCCTTGAATTCTCTAGAAAATTATCCTTGTTAAGATATAATTTTAGTGATATGCACATCAATAATACATGTATTAATATTTATATGATATTCACAATTATCAATAATTTGATCCGTATGAATTTTTTTTTAACATGTTCATTTTTTTTTGGAACTTATAAAATCTTATAATGTTAATTTTCTTGACAATCTTTTGAATGGATATTGATTATTTTGTATCATGAAATCCGATAATTATGTGCAATTATTTATATTTCTACTATAATAGTGGATTCTTCCATATTATAGATAGTGAAATGTGCTATAAAACCAGAGTGTGACACTTCCTAGAACATTAATTTAGCTGGTATATTATTTGAGAACATAAAAACCCTCTTTCCAATCCATTTCTATGTTGTATGATAAAATGAATCTTATACTTAAAAAAATTATGGTTATATTTTTACCAGTTAATGCATTTTAGTTCAGGTTCTTGTTGTTGGAATTAATTATAAAGTTGCATTCAGAGAAATTCAGTAGTAGATACCTAATAGAATAACTTAAGTATAATTTCATGCATATACTGGGTGTACTAGGAATGTAAGAATTTAGACGGGGCTAATATATCTCAAAAGACATAATTATGACTTAGTTTGATTTTAAAACTGAATGAATTAAATCATTCATTAAAAATATTGTTGATGAAAGTTTTCTCATAAACAGTAAGGGAATTATACTCAAAGAAATATAAAAATTAATTTTTGATACTCGATAATGTGTAAAAGTAAATTCTAATGGGAAATGCAAATGTTTTTTTCACTACAGGCAGTGCAAGATCTCGATCAAGGGAAAAAACTCCCAGTTCAGTGAGCTCACGTATGACAATTAAAACAAAAATACCTGGTAGACTTTAGATTTCATTAGTGTTAGGCTGCTGTGTAGTCATGTTAGGCTCCACAATGATGTTATAGAAGTTATAGTTCATTGATTGTCTAGTAAATTGTTTATATTATAATAGTTTTCAGAAGTGCATTCTGGGAAATTTTGGCTCCAAAACTTTCCATCTACTTAGCTATATAAAGCTTGTATTCTCATTTTAGAGAAGCATTGACATTTCTTCACAATACAAAATGTTGTTATAGCAAATCTTGAAGGTAGACAAGTTTAAGTCATTTGCAGGTCAAAAAAATTTCCAGATCATCATTGGTTAGCTCTAATTCTCAAATTGCAACTTATTAGGTTATTAAGTTAATTTTTAAAGAGCAATGATAGATCATTAGAGTATTTTTGTCTTAAGAGAATCAAATTTGCCCTTTTAAGCTCTGCATTGGCGTTATTATAAAGTCAAGAAAAAAAATGAAGCACACCACTTTTGACCTAATAATCTAGAAAAATCACATATATTCATTTAGCTTTCAGGAAATTGGGAAAACTTCTCGCATTTATATTAACAAGGATTATGGAAAGCTAAGAACAGTTATCCCCAACATGAACATACCTACACACATATTATAGGACTCTTCTGTATGTTTTGAAAAATGCATTAATCCCATAAGGACAACATAATTACGTGTAGTAATTAAAATTCATTTATATTTATTGACCTTTACCTTTTTCAGAGTGCTGTGCTTAATAGGGGCAAATATAGTATACATTAGGTTTTTATTTTTACTTCTACGTCAAAGTAGAGTACGTACCATGTAATATTTCTTGATGTATGCATAACATTAATTCAGTTGCAGTAAAAATACTTCATCAGCATGATACATTTTTCTATTTAGACCAGTTTACTGAAAGTTAGTTTTCATAAACTGTTAGATGAAGTGAATAAATAACTTCTTTTAACACAATTATTATAGCATCAAAATTAGAATTTTTTAGCTCACCTCGACGAAGTCGAGATGAGCTTATGCTATACCCCCGGCGTCGGCGTCGGTGTCGGCGTCGGCGTTAGCGTCGGCGTCCCAGGTTAAAGTTTTAGGAGCATGTCCCATTCCCATGTAACTATAAGCCCTACCTGGACCAAACTTGCATGGATGATGCATCTAGGGATGGACACTACCACACTAGCTTCGGATGCTGGATCTGACCTAGATTTTCCGGATGAGTGACCAGGTTAAAGTTTTAGGAGCAGGTCCATTCCCAAGTAACTATAAGCCCTACCTGGACCAAACTTGCATGGATGTTGCATCTAGGGATGGACACAACCACACTTGCTTTGGATGCTGGATCTGACCTAGATTTTCCGGATGAGTGACCAGGTTAAAGTTTTAGGAGCAAGTCCCATTCCCAAGTAACTATAAGCCCTACCTTGACCAAACTTGCATGGATGATGCATCTAGGGATGGACACTACCACACTTGCTTCGGATGCTGGATCTGACCTAGATTTTCCGGATGAGTGACCAGGTTAAAGTTTTAGGAGCAGGTCCATTCCCAAGTAACTATAAGCCCTACCTGGACCAAACTTGCATGGATGATGCATCTAGGGATGGACACTGCCACACTTGCTTCGGATGCTGGATCTGACCTAGATTTTCCGGATGAGTGACCAGGTTAAAGTTTTAGGAGCAGGTCCTTTCCCAAGTAACTATAAGCCCTACCTGGACCAAACTTGCATGGATGATGCATCTAGGGATGGACACTACCACACTTGCATCAGATGCTGGATCTGATGTAGATTTTCCGGATGAGTGACCAGGTTAAAGTTTTAGGAGCAAGTCCATTCCCAAGTAACTATAAGCCCTACCTGGACCAAACTTGCATGGATGATGCATCTAGGGATGGACACTACCACACTTACTTCGGATGCTGGATCTGATGTAGATTTTCCAGATGTGTACCAGGTTAAAGTTTTAGGAGCAGGTCCTTTCCCAAGTAACTATAAGCCCTACCTGGACCAAACTTGCATGGATGATGCATCTAGGGATGGACACTACCACACTTGCTTCGGATGCTGGATCTGACCTAGATTTTCCGGATGAGTGACCAGGTTAAAGTTTTAGGAGCGGGTCCATTCCAAAGTAACTCTAAGCCCTACCTTGACCAAACTTGCATGGATGATGCATCCAGGGATGGACACTACCACACTTGCTTCAGATGCTGGATCTGACCTAGATTTTCCACATGTGAGACCAGGTTTAGATTTAGGAGTAGTCTCGTTCCCAAGTAACTATAAGCCCTACCTGGTCCAAACTTTCATGGATGATGCATCTAGGGATGTACACTAACCAACCTGCTTCGAATGCTGGATCTGACCTAGATTTTCCACATGAGTGAATTTTAGCCATATTTTAACCAAATTAGCATGGATGATGTATCTAGGGATGGATACTTCCAGACTTGCCTTGGATTCTGAATCTGACGTACATTTTCCAGATGAGTGACCAGGGTAATTTTTTGGAGTAGCTATATAATATTATGGCCTGTTATGATAAAACTTGCATAGATGGTGCATCTAAGGATGAAAACTTCCAGACTTGCTTTGGATGTTGGAACTGACCAAAATTTTCTTGATTACTAAACAGGTCAAAAGTTTTTTGAGCAGATCTATAATTAAACCAAACTTGCATGGATATTGATCTTGGGATGTACCCTAACTAGAAAAAAAATATTATGTGAAATTTGCCTTACATATAGATAACATTCGTCGAGGTGAGCTTCGTAATCTTTGATTACCTATGTTTTTTATTTGTAGATCTTTTTTTTTTCAGTTTAGTATATTTGAATTGAATGAATGAAAACTAAATTGTTCTGCCTAAAAGTATAGCTTGAAAAAATATTGTTAAGGATATAGCCATTTTATAATTAATATTTTAATTAAAAAGCACTTTTTAATATAGTGTCAGGATTATTATTTACCATATGTTTAACCTTAAACATTGACTGATCTTATCTCATTTTGTTCATTAGTATAGGCAGCAATATTTTTTAATCTTCATTCCTGTTATTCATTTATTTAACACTATTAATTATATTTCAGTGACCAAGTATCTTCCTTGATCCTTATTTGGCAATAACTATATGTATAAACATGAGGTTTTTTTTAGCTCACCTGAGCTGAAGGCTCAAGTGAGCTTTTCTGATCACATTTTTTTCTGTTGTCCGTCTGTCTAGCTGTCCATCCGTCTGTAAACTTTTCACATTTTCGACTTCTTCTCCAGAACCACTTGGCCAATTTCAACCAAACTTGCCACAAAGCATCCTTGGGAAAAGGGTTTTAAGTTTGTTCAAATGAAGGGCCACACCCTCTTTCAAGGGGAGATAATTAAGAATTAGTGAAAATTTGGTGGTATCTTTAAAAATCTTCTTCTCAAGAACCACTGGGCTGTTAAAGTTGAAACTTATATGAGACCTTCATTACATAGCATAGATTCAAGTTTGTTCAAATCATGACCCCCGGGGTTGGGTGGGGCCACAATGGGGGATCAAAGTTTTACATAGGAATACATGTATATAGGAACAAATCTTTAAAAATCTTCTCCTCAAGAACAACTAAGCCACAATTAGTCATATTGATATGGAATCATCCTCAGGTAGTGTAGATTCAACTTTGCTCAAATCATGACCCCCGGGGTTAGGATGGGGCCACAATGGAGGATCAAAGTTTTACATAGGAATATACAGGAAAAATCTTTTAAAATCTTCTTCTCAAGAACAAAAAATCCACAATCAGTCATATTGATCTGGAATCATCCTCAGGTAGTGTAGATTCAAATTTGTTCAAATCATGACCCCGGGGGAAGGATGGGGCCACAATGGGGGATCAAAGTTTTACATAGAAATATATAGAAAAAAATCTTGAAAAATCTTCTTCTCAAGAACAAAAAATCCACAATTAGTCATATTAATGTGGAATCATCCTCAGGTAGTGAAGATTCAAGTTTGTTAAAATCATGACCCCCATGGATAGGGTGGGGCCACAATGGGGGATCAAAGTTTTACATAGGAATATATAGGAACAAATCTTTAAAAATCTTCTCCTCAAGAACAACTAAGCCACAATTAGTCATATTGATATGGAATCATCCTCAGGTAATGCTGTTTTAAGTTTGTTCAAATCATGACCCCCTTGGATAGGGTGGGACCACAATGGGGGATCAAAGTTTTGCATAGAAATATATAGAAAAAAATCTTGAAAAATCTTCTCAAGATCTTGAAATTGTTTTTCTCGAGAACAACAAAGCCACAATTAGTCATATTGATTTGGAATCATCCTCAGGTAGTGTAGATTAAAGTTTGTACAAATCATGAACCCCAGGGGTAGGGTGGGGCCACAAAGGGGGATCAAAGATGTACATAGAAATATATAGAAAAAAATCTTGAAAAATCTTCTTCTCAAGAACAACAAAGCCACAATAAGTCATAATACTGATTCATCTTCAGGTAGTACAAATTCAAGTTTGTATCAAATCATGACCCCCGGGGGGAAGGTTGGGCCACAATGGGCGATCAAAGTTTTACATAGGAATATACAGGAAATAAACTTTAAAAATCTTCTTCTCAAGAACAGCAAAGCCATGTTCATATTGATATGGAAGCATCCTCAGGTAGTGTAGATTCAACTTTGTTCGAATCATGACCCCCAGGATTAGGATGGGGCCACCATGGGGGATCATAGTTTTACATAGGAATATATAAAAAACAAGAGGCCCATGGGCCACATTGCTCACCTGAGCACATTGGCAAGGCAAAAGCACAAATCAGTTCAGTATTGAAAAGATTACGGGGGTAGGGGAGGGGGGGCTTGAATTTTAAACTACCTGATGATGCTTTCATGTCAATATAACAAATGGCTTTGTTGTACTTGAAAGGATTTTTTAAAAAAATTCCCATATATTCTTTTGTAAAATTTGATCACCCATTGTGGCTCCTCCCTATCCCAGGGGTCATCATTTGAACAAACTTGAATCTACACTTCCTGAGGATACTTCCATATCAATATGACTTAACATAGCTTTTCTGTTCTTGAGAAGAAATTTTTTTCTATATGTTCTTATGTAAAACTTTCGATCCCCCTATTGGGCCCCACCCTACCCTCGGGGATCATCATTTGAACAAAATTGAATTTCCACTACCTGAGGATGCTTCCATATCAAAATGACTAAACATGATTTTCATTTCTTGAGAAGAAGAAATTTTCCTATATGTTCCTATGTAAAATTTTCAATCCCCCATTATGGCCCATCCCTATCCCCTGGGGTCATCATTTTAACAAACTTGAATCTACACTACCTGAGGATGCTTCCATATCAAAATGACAAATCATGGCTTTGCAGTTCTTCATCAGAAGATATCTTCCTATATATTTCTATTTCAGACTTTTATCCTCCATTGTGGCCCCACCCTACCCCAGGGGGTCATGATTTGAACAAACTTGAATCTACACTACCTGAGGATACTTCCACATAAATATGATCAATCAGGGCTTTGCTGTTCCTGAGAAAAAGATTTTTAAAGATTTTTCCTATGTATTTCTATGTCAGACTTTGAGCCTCCATTGTGGCCCCGCCCTACCCCCAGGGGTCAGGATTTGAACAAACTTGAATCTACACTACCTGAGGATGCTTTCATATAAATATGACCAATTAGGGCTTTGCTGTTCTTGAGAAGAAGATTTTTAAAGATTTTTCCTATATATTTCTATGTAAAATTTTGATCCTCCATTGTGGCCCCGCCCTACCCCCAGGGGTCAGGATTTGAACAAACTTGAATCTACACTACCTGAGGATGCTTCCATATAAATATGACTCATCATGGCTTTGCTGTTCTTGAGAAGAAGATTTTTAAAGGTTTTTCCTATATATTTCTATGTAAAACTTTGATCCTCCACTGTAGCCCCGCCCTACCCCCGGGGGTCATGATTTGAACAAACTTGAATCTACACTACCTGAGGATGCTTCCACATGAGTTTCATCTTCCCTGGCTTTGTGGTTCTTGAGAAGAAGATTTTTAAAAGATGCACTTAATTTTTCACTAATTCTTTATTATCTCCCCTTGAAAGAGGGCGTGGCCCTTCATTTGAACAAACTTGAATCCTATTCACCCAAGGATACTTTGTGGCAAGTTTGGTTGAAATTGGCCCAGTGGTTTTTGAGAAGAAGTCGAAAATGTGAAAAGTTTACAGACAGACGGACGGACAGACAGACAGACAGACAGACGGACAGACGGACTACAGACAAAATGTGATCAGAAAAGCTCACTTGAGCCTTCGGCTCAGGTGAGCTAAAAACTTTAAAAATCTTCTCAAGAACAGCAAAGCCATGTTTTGTCATATTGATATGGAAGCATCTTCAGGTAGTGTAGATTCAAGTTTGTTCAAATCTAACCTCCAGGGGTAGGGTGGGCCACAATGTGGGATCAAATTTTACATAGGAATATATAGGAAAAAATCTTTTCAACAACAGAAAAGCCATATTTAGTCATATTGATATGGAAGCATCCTAAGGGGGGTAGGTAGGGTCCACAATGGAGGATCAAATTTTTAACAAGGGAATATATAGGAAAAAAATCTTCTGCTCAAGAACAGCAAAGCCATTTGTTATATTGATATGGAAGCATCCTCAGGTAGTTCAAAATCCAAGCCCCCCCCCCCCCCCCCCCCCTTTAAACTTTTCAATACTGAAGTGATTTGTGCTTTTTCCTAGCTAATGTGCTCAAGTGAGCGATGTGGCCCATGGGCCTCTTGTTGCATTTTTGATGATTGAAATATGGACCAGCTAGTCTACTTAAATTTTTCTTTCATTAACTTGTTCATATAAAACAGGAAAGTTAAAAAAAAAATAAATAATTTATATTTTAGTGTAATAGTTCTTATTTTTTAAAGATGGTGGAAGGAAATTAAGTGCTGCTGGTCAGAAAAATGCCAAGGATGATAAAAAGGGGGATAAAGGTAAGGGAGGAAAAGGACCCGCTGCCCAAGTAACAGAAGAGGAGGAGGATCAGGGTCCACCCCCTCCACTGGAGGTCCAGATAGCAGTCAGGCTTCATCACTGGAAAACTGCAATGGACTCTCTAAAAGAGGAGGAAGAAAAGAACAAAGCAATGGCTGAAGAACAGCAACAAGGATGATTACCTTCAAGTTGTAAGTCTCTCTTTTTAATTCTTCCTTTTAAAAAGAATATGAAAAGCTATTGAATTCAGGTGCATTGTACATCTTTGAAAGCAGAGTAGACTCAGAAATCTAGTTCATTTTATAACATACTGCAGCATACATTTTTATCTTAATTTGTAGATTTATTAAACATAGAAATTCCTGTGGACTGAATGAAGACTGTTTTACAAAAGCAGTGCAGATTGTTTTCATTGATAAATATGGTAGCTGCATCACTTGTAATAATTTGTAATGAAATAATTGATTTAAAATATTAACTATACATTTGACAATCATTGTACACTTTATTGATACTATATTCTTCCCCAGTATTTCCCTGGTAATGTAGAACATTTTGCAAAAGGAGGTAGTTTTAATGAGTACACTTAAAAAAAGTGTTTTATGTCAAAAGGAAAAGTTAAAAATTAAAAATCAAATGGTTATTCCTTAGTTTATCTTTTTGAAAAATTAGTTCCTTTTCAAAACAAGAAGGTTTCTTGTCTGAATGTGATTGGAAGCAAATATGATACATGTATACATGTAAGACTGGTTATTGCATAATAATGTTAATAATTCTTAAAGAGCACAAAATTTAAATCTTGTAGTGACATTATGCATTTTTATTAATCTGATGGATTTTTATGCATATGCTATATTTATATTTTAATCAATGTCTGTGATATTGAATAAATTGTTATTTTTTTCTTGTATAACTTATTTTCTTTTAAAGTTCCCCAGCATAAGAACTTCTGTAAAATTCTGGTAATGATTTATTCAAAGATTATAGCTAATGTAAAGGACTTAGAGAAGGAAAAAGGGGGATTCTTTCGTGGTGAGGAGGTATACTCTGGTAGTTAAGATTTTCCTTAAATATACATTCAGTTGGAGAAAAAAAGTACAAAAAATCTCAAAAGAAACATTAGGAAAAAAAAAAACACCTTCTGGATCAGTGTCAAATCATCATACAAGTGACACAAATACAGCTTGGAAGAATCATAGACCTGAAGCATTAATATCTTTCATACAAAAAGATTATATATATATATATATATATATATATATATATATATATATATATATATATATATATATATATATATATATATTCATGCAATACAAGATTGTTCTAGATCTCCTAATAAACTACAATGAAAATGTTTAACAATTCTTTCACCTATAATAATTCATTTATTTGAATCTCGTCACAGTTTTACAATAGTAGGCAAAGATTACAAGAACATAAAGATGATTAATAAAAAAAATAATAATACATAGATAGGGCATGCGTGAAAAATTAAATACAAAAATTAGTACTTGCTTTAAAGTGTTAAAAACATCAAATTACATTTTAAATTTTGATTACACATTTGTGACAAGCCAAGGCCGTAACAAGGCTCATATTAAATACAAAAATCAGTACTTGCTTTAAAGTGTTAAAATCGTCAAATTACATTAAATTTTGATTACACATTTGTGACAAGGCAAGGCCGTAACTAGGCTCAAATTTTTAGTGAGGCAAGGGATCTGGAAGCCACCCGAGTCCTAAGCCGGTCTAGGGTCCCGGTAGGGGTTCTCGGTGGGAGGGGGTGGGTCCTGCAACCTGGGTTTAAGCAATTTAAAGACAATCTTTGAAAGTTTTTACGCGTTAAAATTTTTTTTTTTAATTCTAAACGATAATGAAGCTCCTGGTGAGATGATCTATATACAGAAATTGAAACAGAGTATTAATTTAGAATAAAGACACATCTAATTCATTCAAGTTCGCAGTAAAACTTTTTCATTTTTCAAAAACTCTAGATCTAAAATTTTAGTGAGGCATTTGCCTCACTTGCCTCAATGGTAGTTACGGCCTTGCAAGGACAAACTGATGATCAATGATTGTTACGATTTTTAATTCGATTCATACATAATATATATGATATGCATTATACATATCAATGTATGTTTTGACCTTATTAAGCTCCCACGTTTCGTTCAATTTTTGTTTGTTTGTTTTTTTTATTTATTCAGGAAATGGCATATAGAACATACATGTATGTTGACACATGAAATCTAAAGAAATTATAAAATACAAGTAAAATTACATAGGTTCTTAAAACAATAACATATTATAAAAAATACGTAATTCTGAAGAAAAAAAAATTATATTGATATGTCTAAATGAACATAAATATAGCACTGTATATAGCCATTTTCCCGAGGATGACCCATAAAAGCCCTAGAGGCTTATTTCCAATGGGGTCCTCATAGATTATAAAAGCTTTAGCACTAATTTTATGATATAAATACAATAAATAAAACATAAATAAATAGGACAAAATATGTATTATAAGATACTGATAATATAAAAACTCATTTTCAGACATAAATTTAAATTTCCAAGAGGGATGTCTATGCAGCTTGTTTATATCATATGCAATATGATGATATGTGTTCCTTGGATTAGTCTAATCCATTATCAGGGAGCACGAAAAACATTTTTGATAACAAAAATGTGTGGCTTTATGACTTACAACAGTAAAACTTTTACTTCTTATTTTGACATATCTTGCGCTGGCTTCCATGTTTTCGAAAGTTGATCAGATGTAGCTGATCCCACCTGTAGCATTTCCAATAACGTCATAGCGGTCCAATATTTTATCGACAAGGCCAATATATCACTCAGCGGTTGAACATCGATATTTTGGACCGCTCAATAAAACATTGGAAATATAAGACTCTTTTAACTATAGATATATATAGAAAGCAATTTTAAAAGGTATAACAATAAACATTGTCAATTTTGGTCATATTTTGGTAGCCCCACACCTAAATGATAGATATGCATACCGTGATACGCAAACTCAGTATTTCTATAATTATGAACATGTCCTCTAACAGATTATTAGTTAATGTAATTTCAAGTGGATTAAAACACAATTTCTGTCCTTTCCTATAAACTTAAAATTCTTGAAACGAGATTTCAGTTACTAGTATGCCATGTCATATATCATATCACGAAAATACATAGCACAATTCATGTTTTTTAAATCATATTTTCATTAGTTTGTACAAAACATATACTAGGTTTAAGGATACATACTGATACATTATAACATTTCCACAACATATATTTCAACATAATATTATATTTAAAATAAATATAAGTATCAAATTTAAGGTACTTACCGGTATATAGTATACAATTATTGATTTTTTTAGTCAATGCGATGATTAAGCCACCTGAGGAGTACAATATTCCCCAAGCTCTTCGGGCTCGGTGAAGATTGTACTCCTCAGGTGTCTAAATCATCGTATTGACTGAAAAAATACACAATTTTTATTTTATTACATGATAAATGATTAAATGATACAAACTCGTTAAGCAAACCATGTCTCCTCTCTTGTTTACATTTGCTGAAGTCCTGTCCAAATGCAGTGAAAGACGTATGGTTAAAATAAACATAGCTAGCTAGTTGTATAAATTTTCCAATTTCTTAATCTAGTTTTGGTACGATGTAGAAAAAATAAATGTCAGGCATGTAGCATCGACTTTGAAAAAAGGAATGAACCAGACTTTCATTTTCAAACTAAATCAATACCAAAAATTTAGGTTCTGAAAAAAGGTGACACACACCAATTATACGTGCCTGAATGTTACGTTCGTTTCAGTGGAAGTCGGGGGCAGGTTAAATAACTTTTCAGAACTAATTGTATCAATTTAGAAATTTTAATCTATTTTTAGTCCAATGTAAGAAAAATAAATCCTGTTCACCTGCAAGGTTACGTGCAGGTGAATATAACGTAGTATTTTTTTTTTTTTTTTTTTTTTTTTTTTTTACAACGTTGGATCTCAGCCAATCAGAGAGCTAAAAAATAATAAAAACAAATTATTTCCGGTTTTCTTTTGTAAACCTCCTAAAAGTCAGTGCAGGACAGTTTCAGCAATCCCTCTCCAGATCCACTTTTCCTAGATGCGAGTTGTTTCAATCGGATTATTATAAATATAACCCCGATAGCTATCACAAATACAAAAACAGCCAAAACTACCAATAGAGCAAGGATTATGTTCCAACGATTTTTGTCTATCCTGAAAGAAAAAAATTTCGAAAAAGATTGAAAACGGTTGAAATGACTCTTCAGGTATTATATACGAAACAGTAGTAATTATGTTTTTCTTTTTTATATCGCATGATCTACTGAGATAAAGTAGAGGAGAAAAGTGATGATAATATACTTACACGATTCTGTTTTGATTATCGATCTTGTTTACAGAAGTTTCTTTAGAACTGCCTCTCACCAAATCATAGCAATGTTGATCTTAAACGAGAAAGAAGTACCGGTAGATATTCTTATCATATACCTTCGTATACCAACCCAAAATACTTTTGGCTGATACATTTTAAATCATCATCTTTCTAATATAATTGTATTGGCCACTGATGTATAATGTACTGAAATTTTCAAATTCAAAAAATGGTAAATTGTACCATAGTAATTCTAAAACTACATGAAAAGTATGTTGCTGTGACCTTCAATTTGACATATATAGATGGTATATCGATGACGTTTTATCAAGTAATAAAATAGATGAAGATAACGAATAGTGATAGATCTTTAAAAAAAAAAAAAACAAAAACACTACAAATCTGTGAACAAGGCATAAAATACTGATCCCTGGAAATTCCAGGTGGGATCAAGTACCTAGGAGGAGTATTATAAGCATCTCCTGTCGACCGTGTCGCATAATATTTGGTCCGCCTCGTTTAAAGGTCCGGGGGGACCTAATACGATAACATATAAGGTCCGCCTTTTATAAGAAAAGGTCCGGTCCGTATAAGAAAAGGTCCGCCTAAGTTTAAAGGTCCGGGTGGTGCAAAATGTTTTAATCTTGACTTAAACACATAAAATTAAAGAGAGTTTGTTTTAATTACATCATATGAAGAAAGATGAAGGATTTACCCTAGCTGTTGTGTTTATTTTTTTGTACAATATATCTCTTAGGGCAGGAATTGCTACTCCATGTTTAGTGTGCTTTTAGCAATGCCGTTTAGGGCAATGATTATAAAAAAAAAATGCCGCATTTATTGGGCTTGTGTTTGTTTTTCCCCAGCATTTGCTTTGTGTAAATTAGGACGATTAAAGGTGTGAAATCTGCCGGTGTGTATAGGCAATAAACCAATGGGGGTGTGAAGTATTCGTATACCTGACAGGTACCCGCAGGTAGAGCCCGCGGCAGATAGCAATGACAATGTAATGGTCATGTGTTTGCTTTAAATCAATAGATATGAATTCTCTATTTTAATAAATTATGCTGAAGAACAAATTATAATACTATTATGATATTCATGCGTACACATCAAAATTGTGATATAATTATATAATAATATATAGTCTATTTTTATTACAATATTTAAAGAAATTTCTTATTCCAAGTGTAGAGTTTAATACTAAGACCGATAAAAAAATAAAAGTATGTATATGCTTCCCTTTAGTTTTAACAATTAACTTGTTTTCAGTTTATAATAATATTTTGCCCTTTATTTGTGGATAGGATTATATATAGCCTAATATTGTATTCGATCTGTATTTACTGCAGAAACAAAATACATGTAATGTTAAAGCTTAAAACAGGTAATTCAATATTGAAAACATATACATCAGATTTAAAGTATAATCATGGTTTGGATTTAATTCTTTCTTATAAAAACTCATCCTCGTCATAATGAACTACATATGAAATAATATTTCATTTTTGTATTTTTTTTTTTTTTTTTTTTTTTTTTTTGCCAAAAGAAATAGAAATTACACATTTTACTGTGACTATAATAGACAGACTGTTGGATAATCTAGCAGGCTGTATTGCATGACCGATTAAAATTTGAAATCATTATTGTAAAATATTTTCTTTTATTACCGACATTAAGCATTTTGGGCAAAGTTGAATGTCCAGTTCTATATACAAGTCATTTACGTATCTCACGTCTGTATGAACGGGGGAAGGGGGAGGGAACATCAGTTGATCCTCTTCCTTTTTTTTGCGTATCAAGGAATTTCTATTTTCTACATTAATTTGTGCTATAACCCCCCCCCCCCCAAATGCACCCAGATATATACTGACTGATTGTTTCTGTTGTCAAGCGTGAGTCATATTTCCCATTTCAAGCTATATGATATGTACATTTTCGTGATGTCGACTAGAAGCGTTTCAGTCTAATTTTAAATAAAAATATATTTCTTTTATAAAACGCTGATTATTTATGATTATTTATTTTATTCATTTATGGAAAGTGGCAACTCACGGTTATCCGGAGAAAAAAGGTAATTCATGGGGTTTTCCATCATGAGAGTCCAAGCTGCAGACAGCTCAGTATTACGTTACGCTACAACTCCATACCAAGTAGTCCCGGAGAATTGACACTGTATGGAGTATGACTGAGAGTCATACTCCATACTCTCCGGGACTTCTTTCCCTACGAATAATGATATGGAGTAATACTGAGCTGTCTGGAGCTTGATTGAGAGTGATCTCCCGTGTAGAATTTTCTACGCGGTGAAAACCAATAAAGTGTATTGTTTAGTACAACTACACCTGCTCAAGAGTTTTTGAAAAATTCTTTACGAAAGCTAGGAACTTTGCCAATCTCCTTAAATTATCCTTTTCGAAGTCCTCAGTCATTCTCCGTGGTAACCATGGAGGAAATAATACAATCGGTCTCATGTAGTCATGACAGAATTTTTGAAGTTCGATTTTCATAAATGCTATACATTGCACATATGTTGTTTCGGATATTACCTAACAATTTTGAATAATGATTATACAGGCGCGGATCAAGAATTTTTCGGGGGGGGGGGGGGCATCCCAGTCAAAAAAATTTCTAACCCAAAAATTTCTTGACAAGGAAGAAAAAAAAACCGTAAAATCCAATTCCATTTCCAAAACGTGAAAAACACCTATTTCGTTGTGGTGATGGTAGGGTCCACGTTTTCTAAGGGGGCCCAAAGTCATTTTTTATTTACTTCAGTATATACTTTTAATAACTCTGCAAATTCCAGATGCGGGGGGGGGTCCCCCGACTCCCCCCCCCCCCCCCAGATCTGCGCATGTTATATGAATAATTTCGGTATAGTGGCTGGAGAAATTTCCGGTAATACATTGCATCTCAGGTGAGGAAGAGGGGGAGGGGTGGCAATAACACCTTCTTTAAATTTCCATCTGCTCCTTGCGTATCAAGTACGTAGAAAATAAACACCATCTGGTGTATTACTGATTTCTTTTTACTTGTCACACAAGGCATTTACCACATACATTATGTACGTAGTGTTGATGAACCCCTTTCTTATTTTTAAGGTGATTATTTTCCCAATTCATTGTATGAATACAGAAACAAATACTCCCTCTTTTTCATGCTATATGAATCAAAGTCTATAGATACGGATACAGTACAACTAATGATCATTCTAACATAACATTTTTGTGATATACATGGATAATAAATCTGAACTTATATTTTGTTTGTATGTGGTGAATATATTCTAGATAAATATACATTGTACTACCATTATACATTCAGATTCGTCACTGCCTTTTATAAAAGAATCGTCCTACATTTTTCCAAGATCTTGACATAAGATAAGAGGCCCATGGGCCACAACACTCACCTGAGTCAATAAGGCCCTGCTGTTTTTCATCAGCAAATTTATTCTAACATATCTTCCAATGTAAAACATTAATCACTATTGTGACCCCACCCTACCCCAGGTGTCATGATTTTTATAGATATAGCGCTAGCCCCACCCTACCCCTCGGGGTCATGATTTAAACAAACTTGAATTTACACTACCTCAAGATACTTCTATATCAATGTGACTAAACATGGCTTTGTTGTTCCTGAAAAAAAGGTTTTAGAATTTTTTTCCTATACATTCACATGCTAAACCCTGATAGTGCATTGTGGCCCATCCTACCCCTAGGAGGTCATGGTTTGATTGATTGATTGATTAGGGTTTAACGCCGAGTCGGCTATATTTCAGCCATATTCCGGCGGAAAATTAATTTTATATGACCTGTTATCATGGTTTAAACAAATTTGAATCTACAATACCTGAGGATGTTTCCATATCAATCTGACTAAAGATGGCTTTGCTGTTCTTGTGGAGAAGATTTTTCGATATATATATCCTATGTAAAACTTTGATCCCCCATTGTGACCCCACCCTACCCCGGGGGTCATGATTTGAACAAACGTACATCTACACTAACTGATGATGCTTCCATATTAATATGACTAATCATGACATTGTTGTTCTTAAGAAGAAGATTTTTGAAGACTTTTTCCTAGATATTCCTATGTAAAACCTTAATCCCCCGTTTTGATCTATCTATTACAAAGAGAAAATTACAGACAGGGTTTTTTTCTGTAGCATGAAAAATAGAGAAAGGGGCAGGGCGGACCTTAAAACGCAGTATAATAAAAGCCCCGCCTTCTATATTTCAGATATCGTACTATTACAAGGCGAAAATTTTGAACAGGGTTTATTTTCGTAGCATAAAAACTAGAGAAAGAGGCAGGGCGGACCTTAAAACGCAGTAAAATAAAAGGTCCGCCCTCTGTTTTTCAGATATTTTACCATTAGAAATCAAACATTTTGGACAGGGTTTATTTCCGTAACATAAAAACTAGTCAAAATGACAGGGCGGACCTTAAAACGCAGTATAATTAAAGGTCTACCCTCTATATTTCAGATATCTTACTATTACAAGGCGAAAATTTTGAACAGGGTTTATTTTCGTAGCATAAAAACTAGAGAAAGAAGCAGGGCGGACCTTAAAACGCAGTATATTTAAAGGTCCGCCCTCTATATTTCAGATATCTTACTATTACAAGGCGAAAATTTTGAACAGGGTTTATTTTCGTAGCATAAAAACTAGAGAAAGAAGCAGGGCGGACCTTAAAACGCAGTATATTTAAAGGTCCGCCCTCTATAATTTAGATGTCTTACTGTTAGAAAGCAAACATTTTGGACAAGTTTTTTTTCGTAGCATAAAAATTAGAGAAAGAGACAGGGCGGACCTTAAAACGCAATATAATAAAAGGTCAGCCCTCTATATTTCAGATGTCTTACTATTACAAGGCGAAAATTTTGAACAGGGTTTAGTTTCGTAGCATACAAATTAGAGAAAGAAGCAGGGCGGACCTTAAAACGCAGTATATTTAAAGGTCCGCCCTCTATATTTCAGATATCTTACTATTACAAGGCGAATATTTTGAACAAGGTTTATTTTCGTAGCATAAAAACTAGAGAAAGAAGCAGGGCGG